CCTCCTCAAAGGACGTGTTTACGTTACACACTACACACACACACACACACACACACACACACACACACACTCTGCTATACATCAGCTCACGGACACTCACCCCACTCAGAAAACACACCCACTTGTGTGCACCCTCACAGTACCTCCTCCCCCCTCCTGCCTATTTGGTTATGTGGTCAGCTGTACCCAGATTAAACTTCACTGACCTATTCTCTGTCCAGATTACCTTTTTTTAACCTGGCTCAGCACACCTTCTGCAGCTTCATCCCTTTGAGCTGAGTGTGTTGTACACACTCTTTGACACCCCCCCCCCCCCCCCATCGGTCCACTCCCTTTCTCCGTTTCCTCCCTGCTCTGATCTATTTCAGTGTGTTGTGGCTTGCTGGGTGTGTGTGTGTGTGCGTTAGTGGCCCTGCCCTGTAAAATACAGACTTTTCAAGGAAGTCAACTGGATAATATGGTCGCTTTATTGTAATTATAAGGTTCTCCTTTTGGAAATAGCCCACAGAGAGCGAGCTGCCCACAGGCACTCACTGGGTCCATCCTGCACAGTCGATGCCACCTCTGCTGCTCTCTGGCCTCCCGTCTCCTCCAGCCTTGAAGTTTCCCTTGCTTACTTTGACCCAGATGTTGCCGCACCAGGCGGTTTAGTCAGCTGTACTAATCACTCTTTCATTTTTCACTCGGTCACACGTCGGGTCTGTCTGGACGACTCGTGAGGATTCAGTTTCATGGGTGGCTACATCTGATCCCGGTTTTCTTCAAGGCAACGTGGTTTCTGGCTCCTTGTGTCCCTTTAAGTATCATCCCAGCTAATTACAAGTTTTTATTAATTCAGACGTAGCTGACAGTGGAGTTTAGTTTTATGATTGGAGGGTTTGTTTTAACCTTCTGTGTAGGTTTTCATCAGGATGTGACGACTAGGAACACCTGCCTCAGCATCTGAGGAACGCCACAGCTCTGTTTCAAGAGGATGAAGTCATGCCGAGTCGTCTTCGGAGTTTATGGACGTTCCATTATGTGGATGCTCAGTTTGTGTGGATGAAACTGAGCGTGGGCGCTGGAGGAAACAGGTTAAAGCCGCATCAGACTCTGATGATATTTGCTGCAACAGCACAAATAAATAATTAGATGTGATAAGACTCGTTTACAATATTAAATCAATACAAAATAAAAATTTTAGATGATGTTTTAAGCCTAAGTAAGCTCTAGTTTACAAATCAGGTTTTTTTAAGCTATTGTTGGGAAAGACGGAACACAAAATCGATAGGTGGATTGGTGCTGCGTCTGCAGTGATGCGGGCGTTGTACCGGTCTGTCGTGGTGAGGAAAGAGCTGAGTCAGAAGGCGAAGCTCTCGATTTACCGGTCGATCTACGTTCCTACCCTCACCTATGGTCATGAGCTTTGGGTAGAGACCGAAAGAACGAGATCACGGATACAAGCGGCCGAAATGAGTTTTCTCTGCAGGGTGGCTGGGCTCTCCCTTAGAGATAGCGTGAGAAGCTCGGTCATCCGGGAGGGGCTCGAAGTAGATTAGCTGCTCTTCCACATCGAGAGGAGCCAGTTGAGGTGGCTCGGGCATCTGGTTAGGATGCCTCCTGGTGAGGTTTTCCGGGCACGTCCAACCAGGAGGAGGCCTAAAGGTAGACCCCGGACACGGTGGAGGGACTTTGTCTCAACTGGCGAGGAAACACCTTCAGATTCCCCCAGAAGGAGCTGGCCCAAGTGGCTGGGAAGAGGGAAGTCTGGGCCTCTCGGATAAGTGGATGATAATGGATGAATGGATGGATATCAAGCTAACACAACGCCCTCAAATTCTTCCTGTTAAACTTAATTTTGACTCTAAATCCTGTAGCTGGGTCAGAAGTCTAGTAGGAACATGTAAAGCCTAATTTACTCGAGAATCCAACACCAATCATTAGGACATTCCATAAAATCTATTATTGCTTCACATATTTTTTGTTTTTGGTTAAATCAAGACCCGAGACCAAATCAATAAATCTTGCTCTTACAGGCGACCTCCAGCACCAGCATAAACCTCTCGTGTCTCTTGGGGTGTCTCTTTTTACAGCCTGCGGTGTCTTCTTTCTGAGCAAATTGAGGCCAGAAACAAACAGCCTGTCCTCAAAAAGAAACACTCGGTCCAGTGTGTGCAGACCGCCAAAATAAAAGCCAGCGCTGCCACGATGAGGAAGTGTTTCCTGGAGTCTGATGCAAAACAAAACCTCCTGCAAAGAAAACAACATCTCAGTAAAGATAACACGGTTGCACATAAGATAGTTTAATGTCATGTTTTGAATTCAGGATTTTTATTTAACTTTTATATTAATTACATTTAGTTTGCATCCCTGCAGCTGCTCTGTAGCCTTCCACAACACACTGGTTTGATTTTATTGGGTGAATGGATTTTTTCTTCATTCAAGAACCTAAAAACGTTATTTTTTAGTTTAATCTGAAACGCAGAACTTTGTGCATTCCTGATTTCTCATGATGGTCCACGGCATCTCAGCTCATTCTTTTGCAGAATCACTGATCGAGTGACTCTTTATTAAAAATACAGCACTTAGAGATTTAGCAGCACATTTTCTTCTTTTTACAGTCTTCAAATTTGCAGACAGCCAAAAATCTAAAACACTGCAGCTTTTAAACTCTTGAAAATATATTGACAAGTTTTTCACCCACTAATCCCAGGAAACAAAATTTATGAAGCACCACAAAAAAGTTTTTTTAAGGGGTATTCCACCCAAAGTGATAATTTGATGAGTGGGAAAAACATTTGTAACCAGCCCAGTCATTCTTCTGACCCAGCTGTACTCCCTTAGCGTTAGCTTAGCATAAACACAGTAAGTGAATGGGACCAACTAGCATTGTGAGCAAAAAAAATAAAAAATCCTTAAAATCACTCAGTAGTGATCCTAATTCTGTTAATCAGATTGACTGCAAGTGAAAATAAAACGTAACACGAAGGAATCACAGGCGACATTTTAGACCTGGGACTACTTTATGACAACGCACAGCTGTAAGCTTCCACCAAATTTGTGCTTTCATTCATTTAGAAAGATAAATCCAAATCCCCGTGGTCACCCTCTTGCATTTTGCTGTTACATCATATTACTGCAATAATCCAACGGGGGCAGGCTAAATGCTGCTTTAGAGCCGGCTTTTCACATTTCATCACCTTAACGACCAGAAGAAACTGTTATTGGCTACAGAGGGGTTCACGTTTAGACTCAGAGTGATCCCAACCTGCAGGCGTAACACATTCTGGTGTTGCCTTTAGATTCTTTTATTTGCCCCAATGATGGAAACCTAAAATATAATTTTAGTAAGTAGCAGGTCATGATCTGCTTGGAAATTCCTGCCAGTATTAGAAAGTTTTGCCTCATTTATGAACCCAGTTGAGCAGAAAAGCCTGTTTGACACGCGTGACATTTAGTTTAAGTCTATAAATTATAAGAAACACTCCTCACCTCATCAAAATACATTAAAATGACCTGTTACTTCAATATCATGGGACACATTTTTATTTTTATTTAAGGTGTAAACACAGATTTCTTCTTTTTCAGGCGTCTTATTTAATCCAGGGCTTGTAATCTTTCCTAATCCAGTCGTTCTGTACACAAAAGCAGTTTTTGCACACTTTGCTGTCGTTTCTGAGGCCAGAGAAAGAATTAAAATGAGGGGAGTGATCCTGGAAAGTACCACAGATTACAAACACACCCCTCAGAAAAGAAAACACAAATGGGTGAAGAAATGAAAGGTGGCAAGAAAGAGTGAGTGGTGCAGCGCATCGGGGATGATTACGGTTAATTACTGCTTTGTGGATCTGAAGTCTGCTTTCAAAGAAAGTGACTAACCATGGGCTTAGAGGCAGGAACGTTTAAGAGCCAGACGGCTGCTGGGCACATGGGAGAGCTTTGAACATGACACGGAAGATGCTTTAAGTGTTTATGACAAGTGGATGTGAACGTTGCTTTGAATTTTTTCTTTAGTCTGGAAGCTAAAAGTGTTTTTGCACAAATGCAATCAGTGGCAATTTAGGGTATGTGTGCATGTGTATGGGAGGTGGAGATAATTGGAAAACTTAAGTAAAATGTGATATAATTCCAAAGATTTGTGGTCATTTTTAAGGATTTTTAAAATAATAATTTATAAATTTGAATAAAATTTAGATTAAGATAAATCACATCACAGGTTACATCCATGTTTAAATCTCTCTTCTACATGAACTGATGCTTTAAGGTGTAACTGACCAGTCAGATTCAGAGGCGATTTCCGGATGGAGCAAAGGGGCGTGGTTAGTTGCGCGGACGGAAATCTGATTGGTTGTTTCAGAGCTGGCTCTATTCTGCCTCTCAGCTCATTCCAACTGGTTCCAGTTTATCTGCCCGGTTCACCAAAACAGTTAGACACAAAAAAGAGGTGGAGAAATATAAAAATATCCCTTTTCTTGTAGCATTTTGAAATATTTATTATATTTAACAGAAAATCTGAATGTATACGGTTTATTTCCCCCTCAGCTGTCCCTCTGACCAGCATCAGACCACAAACACGCAGCTGAAATAAAGACGCCATTGTCGTTTGTGTGTCAGCTGAAATGTTTCTAAATGCCTCTCATTAACAGTTCGACCTACTCCCGTAAACTTCTGAACATCTGCGTGCGCCGAGCGCGCAATTACGCACGCCCTCTCTTCCTCTCCTTTACCATCCACTCTGCCCATTCCACGCATGCACGCACTCACTTACACATGCACGCACTCACACACACTCACCGGTCGCCCTCTGTGTGAGAACGTAAAGAAGGGGAGAGGGAAAAAAGAGCGAGTGAGAGGGAACGTGACTCCAGGTCTCTCTGCACTCTGGGTCCTCGTACCCAGTCTGACTCAATGGGGCTTTAGCACGAAGGGGTTAAACGTTAAGATTAAAGATATTTATTCGCCCAAACCCCGTTTTAGTGATTAGACTTCATGTGCTGACACACGCTGTTGTACCCCATCAGGACGGAACGAGGTGAAGACGTCTCCAGAGGCGTGCCTTTTTGTCTGCTGCCTCGCAGAAGGTACAGTCGGGCTCCCCTTCGCGGCTGACTTTCTCTGAGAGGAACTAACACCCCCACAAGCTACAGCTACAGCTCAGCCAGGCCGGTGAAACTACTGCAACACTATGGATATTCGAGACTGTGCCTTCCGGAAGAAACGGAGACCGTGGCGCATGGACTTCTCCTCCTTCGCCCTGGTTACGGTGGCGCTCACCTTGTGCCAAACGACCGTGGCTCGAGCAGGTAAGCCAGCATCTCTTATTAAAACTCATAATTTCCCTTTTACTACACGACCAGTGCACGCGCGCGCACGCACACACACACCTGTTGCGTTTAATCGGTTTAACAGTGTGCGTGATGAATACGCGCATCATCCATTATCGGACGCTGGCGCACCTGACCTGCTTCTTTACGTTTTCCCAAAAGAATGTGGTAAACAATGCCCCGCAGGCAGCGGTGGGCCCCGCAACATGTAAACCTCTCTGGCATTTGTTGCACAGAGATCTGCCTGTTTAGGTCTGGGACTTTATGCGTTGTGCACTTTGGTCGAATTCCCAGAACCTCCTGGTTTCGCGCAGTTATGACTGGATCATGCTGCTGGGAATCAGGCTGGAAGTTTGTTTAGATTCACCTGAAAAACAAACAGCAAGGACACAGATGATGTTTTTGGCTTTAAAGATTTTTTTTAATAACTCAGGTCATTTTGATGAATACTTTTATCAAAGGGTTCATTAAAAAGCTCAATACTGAAAATAATTTCTAAATAAAAATGTTCCCATTGACATAACTCCCTCAACTTTCTGTTCCTCAGCGTGTTTGCAGCTTACTGGTGGTGACAGGTGTCATCCCATGCAACGCTGCAGAAAAATACGTTGTTAACAAGTACATTTAATTATCTGTAATTAATAGCTGTGCAAGTAAATTTAAATATCATTTTCAGACATTTATAGATTTAAATTTCCTCCATGTTTGTTTTACTTGTTATCAGAAGAACATTTTGACCGGGTAGGTGGGTGGGGGTGGGGGTGGGGGGGTCCGGCTCCATCCAGAGGGGGGTGTGGGGTAGGATGGTGCTAACACCTGCTTTAGTTGCTTTCTGAGGATTTACCTGGTTTGTAATATTTGCTTTTGGTTTTTCTGATTTATAAATGAATCTGTTCACTCTGGCTTGTGGAGGCAGGTTGCAGCTGGATCCTGAGAGGTCGGCAGCTGTTTACCAGTTCAGCCTGTGCACCAGTCCATCCATCAGAGCCTCAGATGGAGGCATTTCATTATGATGATTAAGTATTTTAAGCATCCATTGGTATTAGGACTAATAAGATTAATATGATCTGATGAATTGGTTTGCTGTTGTCTCAGAAGATCATGGACCACCTTCACAGATATGATCAGAATTCAGTTTAACGTTTAGGTCCCCCCCCCTCCCCCCACGATCCCCACCAGCTGATTAGCCGCCCCTGGAACGACGGATCTGTCCCGTAACCCGCCGCTAGTCCTCTCAGAGCTGTTCTTCACAGAGAACCCATTTATTCATCCCAGTTCAGATCTCATAGGATCAGATATCATCTACAGAAAAATCTAATCAGATTCAGTTTACACAAACTTTTTTCTACTCCCAGGTGCTGAAGTTTCAGATTATGCAGACGAGTGATGTCGCTTAGATCATTGGAGGTTTTTGTGTAAATCTTTCTCCTCCTGTATCCTTTGGCCACATTTCCAGTTTCAGATTGTGAGATTGCACCTTCTCGTGGTCTCTGTGTGTATTTTGGAGGTGAAAGCCGAGACATTTTTACTTCTCATGAATAGGTTGCTATGCGGCAGAGCACCTCAGAGGCTGGGGCTTGGGGGTGAAAGCTCATAGTGTCTCCGTGTCTATGTGAGCTTTGTACAGCTCTGTTTGTGTATACGCGTCTGTAAGCTACGGAGCTCAGGGTGTGGAAACGTGTGCTGCATCGGTGTGAATGTGCCTCTGTGTGCACGCTGCATATCTTAACCTGAAGGATGCTGAAGACGTTGGACAGAAGAAGGTCTTTAAACACACCTGTTGTCTGAAAACTCATGTTGGGTCCGGCAGACTGAGCTCCAGACTCTCATGGTGTGAGTGCACTTTGTGGTGCAGGAACAGATGTGGGCGTAAATGGTGACAGCGCCCCACCCAGGCAGTGAAAGCCCTATTTAGGGAGAAAAGTGGTCAGAATCTCACATGTTTATTCATTCTTCTCTGGGAGAATGAAGACAAAACAAGGAGGGGAGGATGAGCCGTTATCCAGAGATCTGCAGGCTCAGAAAGTCGGGCTGAGAAAGTCAGAGGGCACATTTTTCTTAACCTCATTTCAAAGCAGAGAACCTCTGAAAGGACAGTCTGTCTCCATCTGGCTAAACATAACAGAGCACAACCCCGCTCTCCCTCTCATTCTGTCGCTGCTGCTGAATGGAGCCACTGTGGAGGCAGAGCCGGGCATCCTCAGCTCGTACCTGTGAGTGTGTGGAAGTGTGTGATACTCCTGGCGACACCAGACTCAGACTGACATCGCTCACCTTCTACCCTCTGGTTTCCAAGACCTCATCATCATTTCCCAGGGATCTCTGTGGCTTTGGTGATTCACATCTGTCTTCCCTTTAATTTTCTCACCCATAAGTTCACCAGGTTCAACATCAGATCCATATTATTCCAGTTTGTCTTGATGCTTTCCATCTGATACGATAGTGGGGTGTTCCTAATGAGAGCAACTGCCTGAAGCTGATTTCAAAACGTTCAGCTGAGAATTTAAAATGAAAAACATTGTTTTGTAAAACCTGCCTAATCCCAGTTTGTGACACCTTATTTTAAAACGTCATAATTTCCTCAATAAGTACGTTTATTTTTAATAATTTCTATCCAATTTGAGCTTTTTCGCCCTCAGTGAAGTCTTCCAGGTGCTAGTTTCTTCTGTCCTGCGTCCACATTTCCCCACCAGGATTCACAAACCTCACCTAAACCCTAAATTCAACAATGTTCTATTCAGAAGTTGGTAGAGAAACACACCCTGGGAAAAAAGGCTACATGGAACACAAAGTTCATAGCAAACCATCTGTTTTTGGTGCCGATTAACGTCCACCAGCCCAAATGTTTGTCTTAATGATGACTCATCCAGACTGAGACTTTATTTTATTCTTTAATTTGTGTCTCTTGCATGAAGTTTAGTTCGAAGTTTGACAAAGTTTCTTTCTTTTCAGTGGATTTGGATTCCCTGAACTTGCCTTCAATCATTTTTTCAGGCTCAACCAATTAGTCCAAACCCAGACAGCGGTTTGAGACAAAAACACGCAGAAGTCACAACTGAGATGTGATTCACACCTCCAAACCTCCGTTTTACACCAAAACATTCCCTCAAAATGTCAACTTTCAGCAGCATCTTTTAGACAAAACCACATCGGCGACTCAGACTTGACGAGCCAGAGTGAGTCGGTGATAATTCTTTGGTTTTATAGGTGATGATTTAGTGGTTTGTTTGAGCAGATTCCTCCTGTTTGAGTGGAAGATGTACGACGACGGCAGACAAGCGTGCCAGCTTCATAATGACAGGCTGTCTGTGTAGGACGCTATTCTGAGTCACTGTTATTTTCTAGGAAGTCTCTGTAGGAGGCCCGTCGTGTGCTCTGATGTAAAAGTCAATCCTCTGGAAAATAAATGCTGGTTTTGACAGAAAGATTTAGATGGAGGACTTCTGTAGAACTTTAGTATCCTGACGCAGAACTTTATCACACATATTCTTGTTTATGTCCTAAAATCTATCTCCAAGCTGAAAGATCTGTAAAGCCCTACAGAATAAATGTAGTTTCCCAGAATGCACTGGGAGAAAAAGAGAAGAGAACTTCCTAAAGAGGCTTGACGTTTAAAGAGCGTCACCCCCTACCAGAGTATTACTCAACTCCCACTTCCTGTTTGAAAAATGCAACCAATGCTGTTGCCTAGCAGACCGAGATGGCGGAGCTGCTAACAAATACACACACAGGCTCACAACGACATTGTGACATCATATGGTACCAGCTAACATTCTAGGGTACCTCTTAGCCAATAGCGATGGCAGATTTAAAATGCCTTAAAAAATGGCACAACAATGACAGTTTTAGGCAGAAAATTAAAATTTTACTAAAATGCACTAAAGTGCTAAACTGTAACTATATAACTATAACACGTGTCTGCAGCATGATTAGACACGCATTTATATAGTTTATCAGAAAAAAAGTAGATTTGGGAGTGACTTGCTCTTTAAAGAAGGAATGCAATAAATACTAGAATAAATCTAAAACGTGTGGTTCAGTGAAAAAACATTTTGAATGATTACCTCTGATTCTAATGGGTCACTCTGAGTGTTTCATGCAGGCTAAACATGAAAATAGTCTCCTACACCTATCTCCTGCATTAACTTCTGATAGAAAACAGACAGTGAAACTCTAGGATTAGAAAATCCTGACAGATCTACGTCACACTGAACATTCATGGACTCACCCAACTTGGCTCACCACGGGGAAGGCTGTTGTTGGTTTAGCATCCAGGAAATAGCAGAGAACGTCTCTGCTAGTAGAAGCTAACCATTAATATTAGCAACTTCACCACACAGCAGAACTCCTCCAGGCTTGTGTTATATGTGGGGATAAAACATCAACGTTGCCAAGCAAACAGAGTCAGACTGGTAGAGTTGTGTTGCTTCAATTCAATTCAATTCAATTCAAAAATACTTTATTAATCCCAGAGGGAAACTGATTGCTGTAGTAGCTCAGAATAATAATAATAATCAAGTCATCAAAGAGTTGTTGTATATTACAATGGCTGTTGGCAGGAAGGATCTCCAGTAGCGGTCAGTGTTGCAGCCAAACTGAAGAAGCCTCTGACTGAAGACACTCTTCCGTTGTCGGACAGTCTTGTGAAGAGGATGCTCAGGGTTGTCCATCATTTTCTTGATTCTCTGGAGAATCCTTCTTTGCATCATCTCCTCCAGCGGTTCCACAGTCGTCCCCAGAACAGAACCAGCCTTTTTTATTAGGCTGTTGAGCCTTTTCAGGTCCCTGCTTCTGATGCTGCTACCCCAACAGACGATGGCTGAAGAGATTACACTCTCAACAACAGACTTGTAGAAGGTCTGCAGCATCTTGCTACAGATATTGAAGGACCTAAGCGTCCTCAAGAAGTGCAGTCTGCTGTGTCCCTTCTTGTAAACGGCTTCGCTGTTCTTTCTCCAGTCCAGTCTGTTGTCCAGGTGAACTCCAAGGTGTTTGTATTCCTCAACCACCTCCACTTCTTCTCCCATGATGGAAACAGTGTTTGACTCCACCCTGTTTCTTCTGAAGTCTAAAATCATCTCCTTTGTTTTGTTCACGTTCAAGGTCAGATGATTGTTTCCTCACCATGCCACAAAGCGCTCCACCAGCTCTCTGTACTCAGCTTCCTGTCCATCTCTGATACACCCGACAACTGCAGAGTCATCTGAGTATTTCTGTAGATGACAGGTCTCGGACTTGTACTGGAAGTCTGAGGTGTACAGGGTGAAAAGGAATGGTGAGAGTACAGTCCCCTGTGGTGCTCCAATGCTACTGATCGCCTGGTTTGATGTGCAGTTCTTCAGCCTCACAATCTGTGGTCTGTTTGTCAGGTAGTCTTTAATCCAGGCGATAGTTGAGGCCCCCAACTGTGTCTTCTGGAGTTTCTGGCAAAGTATATCAGGCTGGATTGTGTTAAATGCACTGGAGAAATCAAAGAACACGACCCTCACAGTGCTGCCTGCTTTGTCCAGATGACAGTGGATTGGTTGAAGCAGCTGGATGATGGCATCTTCAACTCCAACTCCATGGCGATAAGCAAACTGCAGCGGGTCAGACTGAGGTTGAAGAGGTGCTGCAGAATCCCACAGAGCTGCTCTGCATAGGCCTTCAGTACCCTGGGGCTGACACCATCTGGACCTGCAGCCTTGTTCCTGTTCAGTCTCTCCAGCTGCCTCTTCACCTGACCTCTAGAGACAGATAGGTGGGAGGGGGAGGTAAATGGGGCAGCAGCATCTCCTGACTTGGTTGAAGACAGCTTTATAGAACCAGAAGAGTCCATGATGGCGTTAGAGGACAAAAGAGCTGGCGTGTGACAGGAAAATGTTGGATCAGAGGAGGATGGGATGTCTGATTGGCTGGGGACAGGCGAGGAGGATGCTGGGTTTGTTCCTGAACTGAACCTATTGAAGAACTTGTTCAGTTCATTGGCTGTGTCCAGGCTGCCATCTGTGCAATCCTTCCTCTGCTTGAAGCCTGTGATCTTCTTCATCCCTGACCAGACATCTCTGATATTGTTCCTCTGTAGTTTGTTCTCCAGCTTCTTCCTGTATGCCTCCTTGCTGTCTCTGATCTTGATCTTCAGTTGCTTCTGTGTACTCCTCAATAATTCCCTGTCTCCCTCCTTGAAGGCTCTTTTTTTCTCATTTAGCAGATTCTTCAGTTTACTGGTGATCCAGGGTTTGCTATTAGCAACACATCTCACTGTTCTGGTGGGTATGATGTTGTCCACACAGAAGTTTATATAGTCAGTGACACATCCAGTCATGGCATTGATGTCCTCTTCATATCCTTGGCAGAGAGTCATCCAATCTGTGGTCTCAAAACAACCCTGAAGGGCTTCTTCAGCATCCTGTGACCATTTTCTCACAGTTCTTCTTGTCACAGGTTGCCTCTGAACAAGTGGTTTGTATTCTGATCAGAGAAAAACAAGATTGTGATCTGATTGTCCCAGAGGAGGTCTTGTTTTGGACATGTATGCATTCTTTACATTTGCAAAACACAAATCCAATGTCTTGTTTTCTCTGGTGGAGCAGCTGACAAACAGTTGAAATGTTGGAAGTGTAGCAGAGAGTGAGGCATGATTAAAATCACCAGATATAGCCACAAATGCATTGGGGTGCTGGGTTTGTAGCTTAGCGACAACGGAACTGATGGCATCACACTGATGGCATCACATTGGAAACATTGGAACATCACATAAGGAATGGAAACCAGCTTGTTGCCATGGTTACACATCATAACAAATGCTCAAAAAGTGAAAAAATAGCTGTAAAAATCCTCCAAGCTTCACAGCACCAGAAACAGAAATGTAAAATGTCCAAAAAATACTGTTTTTCTTAAGACGCTAGAAGAAAAAATGTCCAAGATAAGGCAGAAAAAATGTCCAAGAAAAGGCTGTTAGCTGTTAGCCAAAGAGAGGTCAGATGTCCAAATATCAGGAAGTAAGACTCCAAATCCTGTCATCTGAAGCTCTCCTCTGACCTGGCTCACTTCTAGTTCCTAAAACGGGAGCACCGGGGCTTTTTGTACCCAGAGAACAACTTACAAGGCATTCATTGCTACTAGAGACCATTGCAAGTGTGTTGATTAAATGAGTGAACCACACCTTTAATGTGAGGTTGTTTTGTTCCAGTTCCAACTACTTTGTGTACTTTAAGCAGTAAGAAAAAAAATAAAAGAAATATGATTTCTAGCATCCAGTAACTACAGTTTTCAGTCAAACATTTCTACTTATCTGGAATCATAAACATGATTGAACAACATTAATGCAGACTCCTCCCAGTATAGAAAGTGTAATAATAGATGTCACCACTCCTCAGACCCCCTCACCCACCACCTCTTCACTGTTAATTATACCCATAAAACGTGGTCGCCATGTTTCTGACGTGGGGATTTCCAGACTGAAATATCTCGCTGTGATCATGAACGTCATGTAGAGCTCTTGCGATCTTCTCTTTAATAAAAGTCTGATTTGTGACTTCAGCTGGTTGTTAGATGTATGGAAATAAATGAGGTGCACACTTTTAGATCTGAGTTTGAGTCTTATCAGGATTAGAACGATCAACTGGTGAAGCCATCCTTCACCAGCTTTTTGTTCTTCTGAGGGTGCTCGTGTTCGCTAGTGAAAATGTTTAGTTTTAGCATCTTTCTGGTTATAAAAGTTAAGCTCTGAGAGCATGACCTTCCAGGATTCAGGAGCTCATCTTTGTGCTCATCATTCCTCACCAGTCTAGTGTGTAATTTGTGTTTCCTAAATCTGAGCGGTGGAACGGAGCAGGGAACCTCTGACTCTCCTGGTCAGGCTGCTTTGGTCCCATGCAGGCATGTCAGGATCCACCCTCTGATCCAAACTGGGCCTGCGGCCTACAGTGCAGAAACCACACCAGACTCCACCACGATGCATGTCGGCAGCATCAGTGGAGCATGTGCAGACTGGCACAGACCACATAATGGTGGCTGGAATACTGTAAAGGTTGGTCCTGATCATCCAGATCCATCCCAGAAGACTCCAGAGTCCAGCTGCTGGTGCAGGTGTATGTCGATGTGTGTGACAGAGGAAGGCACAGAGAGATAACACTACAGGATTAAGACTTTTTGTCTTAGTATTTACTGGAATGATTGACTTGAATTGAGAAGAAATTTGTTTTTTGGAAAATAAAAGCAACTATGAGGAAAAAGCATCACATTGTAAAGATACGAAGTTAAATCTTTCTCACACTTCAGCAACAACCAGAATCAGAGGCAAACTCTTTTTAAATGCTTCAATATTTGATGTTTAGCTGATTTTATTCACAGCACAGCATTGAAATTATCTTTTTTTTTCATAATCTTTACAAATTCTCTGCAGCTTTTTGCAGGTTGCACATTTTTGATGACTTCCTGTTTTCTCTGCAGATCTCCCTCAGGTTTAACAAGCATCTCAGTTGTATTCATTTAGGAATTACTCATAAATCAGATTTATATTTTTATCATTTCCTTTTCTGAGCTACTTTCCAGGCACAGTCACATGGTGGAACGTCTACATGATAATTAAAGCCACAACGACAAACCAAACCCTGGTTTAAGTCGTGTAAGTTTTAATAACTCCTTCTGTCCAGCGTGGACACTCATAATAGCTTTGCTGTCTGTGTGTATGAGGCTTTATAAATAAATCATAACTATAGAATCCATTTTGAAAATTATAACCTGCAGTTTGAGAGCTGCTCATACTTTTACCACTGTGGTCGGCTGGGAGGATGAAGGCAGAGCTGAGATCAAAGTTCACTTAGAAAAAACTCTGCATCCTCTGATGGGCCTGAGATGCTCCGTGCTACAGCTTAGCGAGGCCGTTGTGCACCTGCAAATGTACGAGTGTGTGTGCTTGTGTGTGTGTATGTGTGCGTGCGTGTGTGTGTGTGCTCGTTTGTGTGCATGTGTGTGTGTGCATGTGTGTGTGTTCTTGTGTGTGTGTGCTTGTGTGTGTGCATGTGTGTGTGCTTGTGTGTGTGTTTGTGTGTGGGTGCTTGTATGTGTGTGCATGTGTGTGTGTGTGTGTGTGTGTGTGTGCTTGTGTGTGTGTGCTTGTGTGTGTGCATGTGTGTGTGCTTGTGTGTGTGTTTGTGTGTGGGTGCTTGTATGTGTGTGCATGTGTGCATGTGTGTGTGTGTGCTTGTGTGTGTGTGCATGTGTGTGTGTGCTTGTGTGTGTGTGCTTGTGTGTGTGCATGTGTGTGTGCTTGTGTGTGTGTTTGTGTGTGGGTGCTTGTATGTGTGTGCATGTGTGTGTGTGTGTGTGTGCTTGTGTGTGTGCATGTGTGTGTGCGCTTGTGTGTGTTTGTGTGTGTGTGCTTGTGTGTGTGCATGTGTGTGTGTGTGTGCTTGTGTGTACTCACACGTCTTTTCTTGGCAGAACTTTGCCAAATACCAGACACACACTCCAGCTGACACGTTGACCTCGTCACCTCTCGCCTTTACACAACAACCATATTGTTATTCACACAGAGCAGGAAGAACGTGTTATATTTACAACAACGCCACACACACACACACACACACACACACACACACACACACACACACACACACACACACCTCAGTTTAATGTTAAAACTGGAAAACATAAAACATTTTTTAATGAAAATTTTAAACTAAACTCTAATTATTGAAGTCATGAACAAGAATATTTGTTCATGAATTTGCCAGGTTTGTTTTTTGTTTGTCTTTTTTTTACATCAGGCCAGTTGTTCAATTCAATTCAAAGATGCTTTATTAATCCCAGAGGGAAATTAGAGTTTCAGTACACACAAGTCTGAGATTAGACATACAGACATAGGCAAAGACACATGACAAGAATTGGTGACTGTGGTCATTCGCAACCCGAGCCGCGCTACCTTAAAAGAGATCAGAGGGGTTTACATGAGGATTGGGTCAGGTGGAGGAAAAAAAGGCACTTCAGAGTTAAGCCTGATTTATGCTTCTCCGTCTGCGTCAGTGCAGAGCACACGCAACGCCATTATCCGTCCTTGCGTAGGGATCCGGCAGGCAAGCAAGTACGTACGGAGTCGAGCCCAGTTTTTTAAACATCCGTCGAACGAAACGGATTACACGAGCTTGTGACTGGTCAGGACGCCGCTGTTGTTTACAGCGCCGCCATTGCAAACAGAGCCGAGTTTAACTAGCGGCAGACATGGAGAAGCTTGAAGAATACCTCGCGAAAAAACTCTAAAAATATGAACGTTTCATCCTCCCGTGGCTGGAGGAGTGAGAAGATGCGCAGCAAGCGTTTTATTTGTGGACGGAAATGACAGGAAACGTGGGTTTAGAGGTGAGGAGCGCATGAAGCGGTGGGAGAATGAGAGACAAATATGTCCGTGTTAAAAGTCTCTTATATACACCAAAAACACAATATAAACACACTATCTTGGACCGATACATGACAGGATACCACAGAACAGCGCTACGCCCTCTGTGGTCCTGCCGGGCAATTGCTTTGCAACACTCTCCAGGAGACGGAGAAGTAAAAGAGCAAAACGCCTCCCTCAATCCGTGCGTGTCTGTCCCTTGCGGAGCTGACGGAGAAGCGTAAACCAGGCTTTACCCTCCACAGGGAGGGCAGCTTTGCTATGCAAAAAACACCCAGACAGAAATGCAACAGACTTCAGACATCACACAAAATAAGTGTCCACTAGGTGGGAAGGTAGGGTTGGGGACTCTCCACACATCAGTGCATGCAGCCGCGATGAGCAGCGCTTGTCACCTCCTTTTGGACAGGGGAGGGAGGTCGTTAGGTGTAGAGAGCACAGTGACTCCTGGAAACGATTCAACGGCCTTCACCGGTCGCAGTCCCGCCCAGGCTGGGATAGGGAGACAGAGTTGCCATGGTGACGGTAGCATTCAACATTTCTTCTGAGGGGGAGTAATCACTTCAGCTTCACAGGCTCAAGGGCACCAGATTCAGATAAGAACTTGTTTTGGGCCAGACAGATAATTTCTTCTCTGTCTTAAAGTTCCGTTGGTCCTCAACCCCTCTAAATCCAATAATGGCGTAATTAATCTATCCCAATCCGTGCTGATACGTCCACTTTCTCCTTGATCGAATCCACCTTCTGTGCCAGAGCCTGAATCTCAGCCAAAGTTCCAAGCTTATGACTCATCTTGACAATTATATGAGTTTGTGCGTTCACAGCGCGGTGCAATCCATCCCTGAGCTCCGGGATTGAGCCAATATTCCTCGAAAGCTCGTTAATTTTCCGGCAAGCCAGGTAACCACTCAGGCCAAAAAGCAGGAAACCTGACGCCAACACCACGAATATCCAGACGTCTTCAGAATCCTCTACAGACAGTTGAGAAAGGCAGATCAGGTTCCACTGTTTCCAGGAGTCCATGATATACCCAGCTGGCTCTGTCCCAGAAGGGCAACCGGGAGCCCCTTCTCCCGTTCTCATCACTGAAAAAATCTTGTCAATCGCGTTGAGAGACCAACTGACCAGGTCCATTTTTAATAATTTCCAGTTTCCAGAAAAAATGCAGAAGCGCCGTCCACCCAAAGACAGACAAAGAGCCTTGGGATAAGATAGGGAGGAGAGGAGGAAAAAAGCGTATGTGCTCTCCAAGAGCCGGAAGAAGTTCTTTAAGATAATAAGATTTGCAGATTGACATTATCATTATTATTATAATTTAAACAATGAAATTAGCCTCTTTACACTCTTCTATTCATAATTTTAGGAATGTTGAGATGTTAGCTGATGGATAGCCACATCCCCTTTTGTTTCTACATGCGGCGCCTGTTCTTTAGAACGTCTTACCTTACGATCCGCCAGTCAGCTTCTATTGAAGCCTTAAAGTCATGACTAAAAACCCACTTTTATTTACATCTTGACTTGTTCCTTGTTAAAGTATTACTTCTAGTTGTTTTCATTCATATTTTTATTAGGTTTAACTCATTTTTTAGAATGGCCATTCTGGCAGTTTTACTTGTTTTATCCTTTGCTCTGTTTATGATATGATCCATGTTTTAGTACTTCTGTACGTAAGGAGCTTTGGTTGTCTCTCATGTTGTACTGAAATGTGCTCGACAAATAAAGTGGTATGACTATTTTCTGATTTAATTGATGATCTCTGATCATTTTTACATAATCGATCAAACCTGTCTCTAGATGGAGCGCTAATCTCAATTATTGTGACGTGTTCTTGCTATTAAACTTACACTTTTGTCATTTAACCGGAAGCATTGTGTGTGTGTGTGTGTGTGTGTGTGTGTGGCTGCAGCCTTCCATGCAACAAGGGTTAATTAAATCAGTTTTACTGCCATCTAGCGGTCATTTTGACGAATTTCAGTTAAATAAACATCAAACTTTAGAAGTTTCTCCTTTTATAAGGAACCTGCCTCCATGTGTAAATGTTGTTATGTGGCTGGTGTTGTCTGGAGAACAGCTCTGAGATAACTTCAGTCATGAAAACCCTGTTTAAAGTCTCACTGACCCCAATTCAATCCAAGTTTATTTCTATTGCGCCAAATCACGACAAGAGTCGTCTCAAGGCACTTCACACTGCAAACATTCCGGTACAGGTCAGTTCATTAAGCTAATCCCATAGTTTAGTGTTCTATTATTCACCAACACGTCATAATTTAGCTTTAACTTTTAAAGCTATTTTTATTAATTGCTCAGCTGAATGAGAATAAACCTTAATGAACAAATAAAATTTTAGAATCTGTTTAAATTAAATGTGAGCCCATTCCATTTATTTAATGGCTTTATTCAGATATTTCTGAAACCTTCCACAATGACTGTGAATATGAAATAGGTAGTGATGATTGTTTGTAAAATATATAAAAACCACATCTGGACTGTGGGACAAAGAATGTTGTGTGAACGGGTGAATGTGGTTTTTAGTGTGAAAGGCAGAGTTCTTGAAATCCGTTCTATTTACCTTTGATAATTTTCTTGGGGAAATTGTCTTTTTACTGGATTCTCGCCAGTCTGGCTGTCGTTTGCTCTAACTGGACTGCTACTGGAATCCTTACAGCTCTGGTTGAAGCGGCACAGCGGACCTGGAAGCCTGTTTCCTGTCTTAATAACAGCAGAGTAATTGGCCCACACTTACATCAAAAGGGTGAAGCCATCTGGGAATGCTTAAAATGAGGGAGATGGAAGAGGAAGGAAAAAGAGAGTTAAAGTGAGTTTGTGCCCTCAGCTGTCTGCTTTCCTACCTCGTCTACTTCCATTTGTGTCACGTCCTCGTCCCACGAGGCGTAGAGGTGCACCTCACGCTGCCTCCGCTGTGAGCACCTCTGCAGCTCTGAGTGTTATTTTTGGTGGTGATTGTGGTCCTCCAGGCAGGAAGGGCCTCAGCTGCAGATGTGAGCTGGGCTGGGAGCGGGAACAGAGCAGCACATTGTACTGGACATACTGGGAGAGCTCAGGCTGCAACCTGATCCAGTATCCTGCCATCACAGAACCATGCTGTCTACTGTCACTGCCTCACCCCCCACCCCAGCACACACACACACACGCACGCGCGCACACACGCACGCACGCACACACACACACACACACACACACACACACACACACACACACACACACACTTCCTTCCATGCTTCAGACATGATGTTCTCTTCTAAATCTGCAAAATTCTTAAAAATTCGTTTCAAAACAGATTTTAAATCGACATAAAATCTCCATTGATCATAACTCCACACTCTCTACCAAGTCTTCTGTTAAAAAACCCATTCAGACAACCTTTTCTCACATTTCTGCGTGAGCTTGTTCATTTAAACTCACATTACCCATTTTACCTGCATAATTTTAATTTCTTCATCTTGCACCCTCCCTTTCTCCCTACCTGCTTCCCCTCGCTGATGCTTCTCTCCCCTTTTCTCTCTGGTGTAGAGTTACATTTGGCGGAGGTCTAGGCACCCATATGAATGCACCATTTGGCCTCTCTGGGTAAATATTATCATCTGCAGACCCATCTGAATAACTGTTAGCTCTGAAACACTGGGGGTTACCCTAACATAAGCACCTCTGAAGGGATTTGCAGGAAATGAGAACAAAAACAAGGAAACGTCGCATCAAATTTTATCCTATTTTCCTGTAAAAAGTTCACTCCATCCGATGTTATAGCATTACTACGTTCATCCATCTTTTATTGTCAGGTTTGCAGGTGGGTTCAACTCTTTTTTTCAGAATCTGCTTTGAAGAAATCCTGAGTTAAGTTTTGTAGCTAAAATAAGTTTGGTGGATTTTCTCTTTTAACTTTCTGACTTTCTACAAGAGTTTGTTATACTTAACCCAGCGGTGTCCTCGGTGGTAAAGGGGGTCCCTAACAGCTGTGCTAGCTGTGATTTTACACATCTCAAGGTCAAATTACTTCATTTCTATATAAATATTTAGCTTTTTGGGGCACTAGAGTTTATTATTGTGGCTTTAGATCTTGCATTGATTTAACCAGAGAAAAGCATCAGTGACCCTGTGAGTTTATTATGGGGAGTGCCGCAGCAGGGCTGGCTGCAAATGGATTTAATTGACTGTTAAAAACTAAACTGGCTCTCTGCTGCAGCTCGAACACAGACCGAGGGAGGAAAACTGGGAAAATGTGAATACAGGTTCCTGTTTTAGTTCTATGGCTGCCTCACTTTAAACCTGTCCGTAACTGGTTTAACTGGGATAATTAGATTTAGTGGCTGCGCAGTGGCACAGTGGTTAGAGCTGTTGCCTTGCAGCTAGAAGGTCCTGGGTTTGCTTCCCGGCCTGGGATCTTTCTGCTTGGAGTTTGCATGTTCTCCCTGTGCATGCATGGGTTCTCTCTGGGTACTCTGACTTCCTCCCACAGTCCAAAAACATTACTGTTAGGTTGATTGGTCTGTCTAAATTGTCGGTGTAGGTGTGAGTGTGTGTGCATGATTGTTTGTCCTGTGGTCTTAGGTGAAGGGTGAGACAAAAAACGGTTCAGAGGATCTTTCATGGATGAACTATCAAGGAGTCGGAGTACCCGGCCCGGAGGGTTGCCGGGGTCCCACCCTGGAGCCAGGCCTGGGGTTGGGGCCCATGAGCGAGCGCCTGGTGGCCGGGCTTTCGCCCATGGGGCCCAGCCCGAACCAGATACATGGGCTCATCCAACTGTGGACCCACCACCCGCAGGAGGAATATGAAGGGTCCGGTGCAATGTGGATCGGGTGGTACCAGGGCAGCCTAGGTTGCAGGTCAATGATAGACTTTGTAGTCGTATCATCTGACCTGTGGCCGTATGTTTTGGACACTCGAGTGAAGAGAGGAGCTGTCAACTGACCACCTGGTGGTGAGTTGGATCAGATGGCAGGGGAAGATGCTGCGTAGACCTGGCAGACCCAAACGCATAGTGAGGGTCTGCTGGGAACGCCTGACAGAAGAACCTGTCAAGACGGTCTTCAACTCCCACCACCGGCAGAGCGTTGACCGCGTCCCGAGAGCAGTGGGGGACATCGACTCCGAGTGGGCCTTGTTCCACTCTGCGATTGTTGAGGCGGCTATTGCTAGCTGTGGTCGCAAGGTGGCCAGTGCCAGTCGTGGTGGCAACCCCCGTGCTCGCTGGTGGACACCAGAGGTTCGGGGAGCCGTCAGGCTGAAGAAGGAGGCCTACAGGGCGTGGCTGGTCTGTGGATCTCCTGAGGCAGCAGACAGGTACCGGATAGCCAAGCGGGGTGCAGCAGTGGCAGTTGCCGAGGAAAAATCTCGGGCGTGGGAGGAGTTTGGTGAGGCCATGGAGAAAGTCTATCGATCGGCTCCAAAGAGGTTCTGGCAAACTGTCAGGAGAGGAAGGCAGCAACTCGCTCACATTGTTTACAGTGGGGATGGGGAGCTGCTGACGTCAACTGGGGCTATAGTCGGACGATAGAAGGAATACTTTGAGGAGCTCCTCAATCCCACCTACGCGCATTCCGAGGAGGAACCAGAGCTGGGAGGCCTGGGGATGGACTGTCCAATCTCGGGGGCAGAAGTTGCTGAGGTAGTCAAACAACTACACAGCGGCGGAGCCCCGGGGGCGGATGAGGTTCGTCCTGGGTATCTCAAGGCTATGGATGTTGTAAGGCTGTCATGGTTGACACGTCTCTGCAACATTGCGTGGTCATCGGGAGCAGTTCCTGTGGAGTGGCAGACCGGGGTGGTGGTCCCCATCTTTAACACGGGTGACCTGAGGGTGTGTTCCAACTATAGGGGGATCACACTCCTCAGCCTCCCTGGAAAGGTCTACTCCAAGGTACTGGAGAGGAGGGTCCGATCGATAGTTGAATTTCAGATTGAGGAGGAGCAATGTGGTTTTTGTCCTGGCCGTGGAACTGTGGACCAGCTCTACACCCTTGCAAGGGTGATGGAGGGGGCATGGGAGTTTGCCCAACCAATCCACATGTGTTTTGTGGATTTGGAGAAGGCCTATGACCGTGTCCCCAGGGGCACCCTGTGGGGGACGCTCCAGGAGTATGGGGTGGGTGGCTTTCTGTTAAGGGCCATTCAGTCCCTTTACCAGAGGAGCGTGAGTTTGGTCCGCATAGCCGGTAGTAAGTCGGACCTGTTCCCGGTGAGGGTTGGACTCCGCCAGGGCTGCCCTTTGTCACCGGTTCTGTTCATTACCTTTATGGGCAGAATTTCTAGGCGCAGCCGTGGTGTGGAGTGTGTCGAGTTTGGTGGCAGGAGAATCTCGTCTCTGCTTTTTGCGGATGATGTGGTCCTCCTAGCTTCATCCAGCTCTGACCTTCAGCTCTTGCTGGGTAGGTTCACGGCCGAGTGTGAAGCGGCTGGGATGAGGATCAGCACCCCCAAATCTGAGACCATGGTTCTCGAACGAGAAAGGGTGGCTTGCCAACTCTGGGTTGGGAGAGAGGTCCTACCTCAAGTGGAGGAGTTTAAGTATCTCGGGGTCTTGTTCACGAGTCAGGGTAGGAGGGATCAGGAGATCGACAGGCGGATTGGTTCGGCATCTGCAGTGATGCGGACGCTGAGCCGATCTGTCGTGGTGAAGAGGGAGCTGAGCCAGAAAGCCAGGCTCTCGATTTACCGGTCGATCTACGTCCCAATCCTCACCTATGGTCATGAGCTTTGGGTAATGACCGAAAGAACGAGATCGCGGATACAAGCGGCCAAAATGAGTTTCCTCCGTAGGGTGGCCGGGCTCAGCCTTAGAGATAGGGTGAGGAGCTCGGACATTCGGGAGGGACTCGGAGTAGAACCGCTGCTCCTCCGGATCGAAAGGAGTCAGTTGAGGTGGTTTGGGCATCTGGTCAGGAAGCCTTCTGGACGCCTCCCCGGGGAGGTGTTTCGGGCATGTCCTGCCGGCAGGAGGCCCCCGGGTCGACCCAGGACACGCTGGAGAGGTTACATCTCCAATCTGGTCCGGGAACGCCTTGGGGTCCTGCCGGAGGAGCTGGTGGAGAAGGCCGGGGAGAGGACAGTCTGGAGCTCCCTAGTTGGGATGTTGCCCCCGCGACCCGGACCCGGACCCGGATAAGCGGAGGAAGACGACGACGACCTAAGTCAAACTTTTGTAATGCATGCCAGTGTTTGGTTTTTAAACATTTGTTGATTTTGCTTTAGTTATTAGTGATGTTCCTAGACAGCAGGGCAGAGTAGCCATGAAGAGATACTGATGAAACTATTCATGTTAGAATGAGCAATTATTTAAAAAACAGCGTTAATATGGGAATGTGTGTTCAAGTTAGTTCTGAGATGCATGATTTGTTTTATGTCAGCACTTGTGTGTAAATAAAATTTGTCTTTTTTAAAGAGTCGGTATTGTTTATTTGAAGTGTGTCAGGAGGCTGCAGCTCAGACTGGAGGTGGGTAAGCAAACTAGTTTAGTGTGTGACAGGATGATAGACTGGCTCACTGTCTAACTCTGTATTAGTGTTATATTAGAGCATCACAGGAGTTTGTGTGGATTTCAACATTTTAGATCCCATATTTATGTGATATGAATCAGTAACATGACTGTGATACCAAATAAATATTAATTTGACTCAGTACTTTATCACATCAACAGCCACTCGTCCCAGCTGCTAACAGACGAGATCGTCTTCATTCAGATGGAAGCTGAGCTTTGCTGTGCCCACCGTGCACTCGCTCATAAATGGTGGTTGGACTGTTGCCCATCTCCTCCAGCACAGAGCATCCTTTCTTATAGTTTACCTAAATGTTCAGTGAACACCTCCGATACTACATCCCGTATCACATTAGTACAGCTGAAACATTTAACATCAACTTTATTGAAAGCAGAGTCAGTAGAGCTGTAAAGTTGTTGGAAACAATAGCTGCATTATTCATCAAACTACTAAATAGCTTGCTTAATGGTATGTATGATATGAAATTGTAATTGTACGTCAAGTTTAAGCTACATAACATTTGATAAAGTGTTCATTGTTTGTTTATTTAGCAATAAAATTAATTTCTTCACTTGTTTCTCTTTTATCAGATCCAGTTGATGTGCTGCGGGCTCTGCAGGTTCCCTCTCTCCCCGAGGGTGTGAAGAAAGTCCCTGGCTTCTGCACATCCCGTCGCTCCAGCAGCCCTGATCATGCTTACCGCATCACCAAGAAGGCCCAGATCTCTGCCCCCACCAAGCAGCTCTTCTCAGGTAGTTCTCAGACTGATGCATAGTATTTAAGGTGACTGCTTCACAATAAAGATATTTATTTTTATATACTAAGTCATGTTTTAATATAGGTTTCATGATTTCACATAAAGAGATACTAAATTGATGTTTTTTTCTTCATATTTTCTAATGGTAAAAATTTTTTATGGAATTTTTATTTTTATAGTGGACAAAGTAGTGAATCTCATTAAATGTCATAGAAACAAATTTTTAGGCTTATATGAACGGATGACAAATAGAAAAACATAAATTACCTGGCTATTCCAGTTTAAATGTGAAATTTTGTTAAGTAAAAAGTTTTTGAGTCAAAATAAAAGTTATTTAATATTTATAAACATTAAGACGTGCAGTAATGCTTTACTTTTTTGTAAGAAGAATTATGAAAAACATCTTATCAAAACGCCTCATTCATTCAATCAATCATTCATTCGTTGGTTGAACTTCAGAGGAAGCGCACGTGACCTTCAGGACAACTCCAGGCTAGGGCTAAGCTAGCTTTTATGGGCACGGATACAAGCCAAGATATTTGTCATAATAGATAGTTGGCGGTTTTCTAACATTTATTTTGTTGTTTTACCGTGAATAACTGCGAAATAGTTAAGTAAATTTATACAGGAAATAGTAGCGAATACAAACATTTATGCTTTCTAGCTAGCTAACGAGCAGCTAATGTTAGCTATCTATCGCTAAACGACTTTCCGCCTTCTTTGTCCTGATTTCTCCCATTAATATATTCATGTAAGTTTTGATGATGATGATATATTTAGATGAAAGATACGATGAACGTTTGTTTTGTGAAGCAAAGGTTTGCTTATAAATTCGAGGCTAGAGTATTTTGAATACTCTTAATTTCCCTCTGGGATTAATAACGTATCTTTGATTTGATTGATTGATTGTTTTATAATGTGAAACGTAATTATTGCAGCTTGCTAACTAGCTTAGCTTTGAATTAATTTTGAAGCCTTTTAAATTTCAGAGAGAAAGTTTGTGCTTTGTTCTGATTTGTTAATTTGATAATTATGTGATTCTGCACTGGTGAATAGAAAATAAAAAGCCTCACTTATGTTAAGTAAAATCTTCTTAAGTACAAAATGATTTCCACCTCTTTTTATGTTTGTTATTTTTTTGTACAGCCTGTTATTATTAGCTCACATCTTGATTCTTTCTGATGCATTTTAGTGTGGGTGAATTTCTCTGATTGCTTTATTTTCAGCGGTGCCACCAAACACAGCTCCTAGTGTCTTGTCTACTTTTTTGTGAACTATCACTTCTCATTTAGATGTTACCTGTATCTTTGATCAGTTCTTTCTATTTTATTTCCCTTATTCAAGTATTCACTATAGTCACTTATTCACAGCACCAGAGAGCCACTATATTTTATACACAGGGTTTGGGTAATCTAAACACACTTTCTTCTAAAGGGCACATTTATATGATTTATTAAATCTTTTTATTGGGGCATTTCTACCTTTCCTTTCTGCTAATATTTATTAAGTTTGTTATCTTTCCTTCCACCTTTAGGGCGTTTCCCAGAGAACTTCTCCATCATGGCTCTGATAAAGGCCCAGGCTGGTCTCCAAGCTTTCCTCCTCTCTATCTACAGTGAGCAGGGCATTCAGCAACTGGGCATTGAAATGGGACGCTCGCCTGTTTTTCTGTACGAAGACCAGAATGGAAAGCCAGCTCCTGAGGACTACCCGCTTTTCAAAGGCATCAACCTGGCTGATGGCAAGTCAGTAACCAACAACACCAGTTTGTGACTGGTTGAGATAAGTTATTTGTGGTTATGTGGGTGGTGGTGGTTAGGAATAGTATGATCTGCATGATGTAGGAGATGGTTGGTTTCTTTAATCTTTATTTGACATAAATGTTTGCTCACGGATTCTTCTTCTGTCACTAGGTGGCATCGCATTGCCTTCTCTGTTTCCAAGAAAAACGTGACTCTGCTGTTGGACTGCAAGAAGAAGATGACCCGTCCTCTTCCCCGGGGCAACAATGCTGTGATTGACACCAATGGCATCACTGTGTTTGGAGCTCGTCTGCTTGATGAGGAGGTTTTCCAGGTCAGAATCTTTAGAAAGTAAACCTTATTGTTAGGTGACTGAAAGCACTTCCACTGGTTCTACAAAGATTAAACATTTCTGTTGAGTCTGAGATCATCAATAAATTATAATTGTTTTTGTTTGTTTTACAGGGAGACATCCAGCAGCTGTTAATTGCCTCCAACCCTCAGGCGGCCTATGACTTCTGTGAACACTACAGTCCTGACTGTGACTCCCCTCTTCCCAAGACCCAGGCTCAGGACCCAAACACATACGTGAGTAACACCACAGAACAAGTCCATGCAAATATAAGTTTCACCAAGGTAGAATAGCTCGAATAACCATTATTCTTCCCAAATTCGATCGACATTTATGTAGTTACAAAATGTCACACAGCCACATGGAAATCTAATTAGAACTAGCAAGACAAATGAGTAATTTGACCTAAAGTAAAAATCCTCAGACAGATATTGTACGCTGTACACTTTTAATTTTAGGCTCATTTATAGCTCCAGTAAAGCTGACCCAATAAGAGTCTGGGGACTTTATTTACAAGGGTCATGTTCTCCATAGACTTGAATGACAAAGTAATGTAAGGACAAAAATTAACTGCATCTAGATTGGATTTTTTTTAATAAACCTTTTTCCCTTGAAAATAAATGGCCGCTTTTGTAGCGTAACCCTGGGTCCACACCGGGGGCATCAGCGGCACAAAACTGCAGCAAGACGGTTTTTTTTACTAGGTGCGTTAATCCACACTGCAAGCGATGCAGCATCTCTAACGTCCTCCTTGCTGGGCTTGTGAAGTCATCAAATCCCTCAAGACTTAATTCACCATTAAAGCAGGAAGAGGAAAAAGGACATCACATCCATGAAGAAAAACACGCTGTTGCACTTCTTGAAAGATCCTGGGACTAAATAAGCCGTGAGATCACACGTATAGATGTTATCTTATCTACATAGATAAGAAAGCACATCTCTGCAATAGACTTTTATTTTGAAAATTACTGGACGTATTACACTGATACCAAGTGTGAATTCCTGTCTAGCCCTGTGTTATTTGCTGAAATTGACGCATCCCAAAAAGCGGCCCACGGCTAAAATATAACCCTGTCATGTATTTAGCAGCACACCACCACCTGAAAAGTTGGGTGCCATTGCCAGTTTGGATCAAACCCATAGACTGTATGGATTATATTTGAATTTGCAACGTTCTGCTGCTGTTCAGCGCCGCTGATGCCCCCAGTGTGGCCCCAGGGAAGATCAGGGGAAAAAAAGAAGAGAAATATTTAGAATAAGTTAGAAGTCCAACAAAATACCAGAGGCCACCCAACAGCGTAGACCTATTCACTTTTTTGCCACTGGTGGTGTGGTCCAGTGGTTTTTACTCACGTTTCCCATTACAAAAAAAAAAAGAAAAATTCTTTGTAATGTAGCCGTTTTCCTTTTACCCTTTTAAAGGAAAATTGTTTAGATTTTTTATTTATCATTAACTATATTTAGTAACAAAGCTTCAGCAGATGGACAGGGTGGTTAAAAGGTCCTCAGGCTCAGATTGGGTCATCTAATAACATCATCAAAGTCCTGCTCACCCTTTCTGTCTTCCTCGTGCATCCTCGTCTCATCAGCAGCAACAGGTTGTATCCATCCGATTTTCCCCTCACCATCACAATCTGTGTGTCCTGTGGTATTTAGAATAAACTTATGTTGCTCATCGTTTACTTCAAATAGATGCAGATCGAGCTAGATCCAAAGAGGCAGAACAGTACTCCTGCACACTGCCAACATGCAGTGGGAATTTATGTGCAATATTTCAGTGATTACACCATCTGAGATTGTAATCACTGAAATATTTCACATAAACAAGCTTGCTCCTGATATTTAGAAAAGCAGGATAGTCATGTTCCTTACAAAACTTTTCCCACTATAATGGACATTTTAATCACGATACACACTTTCAGTAGTGGACTAGCTGTCACTGTTTCCCGCTCTACTGCAATGGAACACAGAAAGGTAGGGGAAAAGGATGATACAATAAAACATGAACGTCTCCTTGTTTTATTCTGATAGATTGAAATGAAGAGAACCAGCTGAACACATAATTTATGGAAATTAAATTCAGATGATTATTCTGGTAAAGTTGTGACATAAAATTTGGCTAAAGTTTGATGTAGGAGGGGTCTTCTGAGACTGGTTGTGCACATCACATGCATAATAGGCTTTGCAAGCTTTTCCCAGAGTCGACATTCCTCATCGTCATTATCACAGATTTATGTAAACAAATAAATTTCATCTGCATTCATTCATTCATTCAAAATACATGTTTCCAAGCTTGCATGCCTGGTCTGAATCAGTGGGTGTTTCTCAATGCCAAGGAACCTTGCCTTGATGTTTTGGCCCCGCCCCGGTTGCCTAGGAGATTGAAAGGTAGCGCGACTCAGGGTTGCGAATTACCACAGTCACCAATTCTTTGAACTGTGTGTACTGAAACTCTAATTTCCCTCTGGGATTAATAAAGTATCTTTGATTTGATTTGATCAACGGCCGCCAAGACGTGTTCCAATGTTCATGTTCTACCGAGGCGTGTGTTCTCCGTTTGTTAGCCGTTTAGCTAGCTGAGCAGGATACACGGGAGGTGTCTTGTAGCCTAGCCTTGGTCAAAAATTGCCCACAATACACTGCTGCATTTTCAAAAAGACGGCGGACCAGAAGCCGGCAGCTACTTCAGGGACAATTTTCAAATTTAAAAGTAAGTCCGCTAATTTAAAATGTTTTTTTTTTAGATCCAAAGAAGTTACCTATGGTTGGTTAGTTGCTTAGTAGTTGCAGCTTCGGTGGCTAGCGGGTAGTAACTCACTTATATTTTTAATTTAACAAATATATTCACAATTTAAAAAGTAAAATGCTCGTTATATATTTATATTGAAACTAATACGTATAAAATATAACGTAATCTCCCGTGTCACGTGACTTTACGTGACCACCGTGGAAGCTGCGGTCACGTGATGCAAGTCTTTTCTAGTCTTTCCCCTAGGAATTTTTCCAGCTGTGGTGGTGGTGGTGGGAGGGGTGAAATTATGACGATGTCTCACCTTTATGTTAATATTGTTTTATTTGATGCACTCCACTTTGAACTGCACCAACCCAGCAACTGCTGCATTTTAATAACTAGTATTAAAGGTGATTACACCAATATTTGCACAAGAATAATTTTTGTTTTAAACTCTGTGACACACTTTGCAGGGGGGATTTGGCATTTAATTTTTCTTGGTGTCGGGGAAAAACATCTCCTTCTGCCCCCCTTTATTTGACTTTCTGCCCCCTTTATTTTGGTCCAAGATCATTACTGGTCTGGCCCTCTTCAAAACCTTCTGAACCCATGCTTAGTGGACTTAATGAAGTATTTTTAAGCCAGTATAAAAATGACTGAAACACAAATGTACATGTTTGGCATTATTGACCAATACCTTTGATTTAATTTATTTGTTAAGAACATCAAGATACATAACAGTGAACATTATAATAAAGTACATTTTTCTAGTGCCGAGAGGAAACAACCCATAGAAGCACTGATTTGTTCTCATTTCAGAGAAAAATAGAACAGGTCAGATGCACCTAATAAATAAAATTACTAACAACTAACAAACTCAGGAATCTGTTTCTTTGCTTCATTGTTCTGGTGCTGAAAACATCACTAATGCGGATCAAAGGACATACACCGATGAATGCACCTCCTATTTATAATTTGGAAATTAGTGGGTGTGGTATACATCAATACATTATTTTAAATCTGAAATTGATATGGATTGATCAGAAGTTGTTTATTTATAAGCTATTGTTTATTTGAAAACTATTTACAGAGCAGCCTCAGAATTGAGATTAAACATTTTTATCACAATAGTAAAGGAACTATTACAGAACAAGTTTTTCAATTAAATAAGAACATTAATATTTAAGTGCATGAATTGATACATCTGAACTCATGCAGTAGGAACTAGGAAATATGAAATACTAGAACCAGACACAACTTTTTAATTTTGTTTTTATTTTAATTTGATTAAACAGAATTTTTTCCTAACGTTGTTGGCATTTTTCCCACACACAGTTAAACAAAACAATGTTTATTAAGGTGTGTGTGTGTGTGTGTGTGTGTGTGTGTGTGTGTGTGTGTGTGTGTGTGTGTGCGTGCATGCGTGCGTGTGTGTGTAAGAGAGATAGAGAGAGAGAGAGTTAAAATTTAAAAAACCCGACCGTAGCGGAGGCAGTGACTGACGCGACGCAATCCGTTTTTAGCTCTGTCTTGTCAAATGCACCACATACGTTACAAAAAAAAGTAGCTTTAAATATTCAACCGAAAAAGAGGCGAGCTGAAGAAAACCTAGGGAGTTCTGAAGAAACGTGTGCAACAGTGAGGCAAGCGCAGAGAGATCCGTTGTCTGTGTGCGTGCGTGGATGCATGGGCTGGACTGAGCTCCCAGCTGCAGAGTTTTGTGTGTAAGGAGGGGCGGGCGCTCGATGTGACTGGCCAATCACAGAGCGTGAAGACAGTCAGTTACCCAATCAGGATTTTCCTTCAGCACGGTTACAGATTTTTACGAGTTTTACTTGTTTAATGCTCGTATTCGTCAAAAATGCTTTATTCAATTCAATTAAATTTTATTTATAAAGCGCCAAATCACGACGAGTCGTCTCAAGGCTCTTCACATAATAAACATTCCAATCCAGGTCAGTTCATTAAGCCAATCAGAATAAATGTTTCCTATATAAGGAACCCAGCAAATTGCATCAAGTCACTGACTAGTGTCAGTGACTTCACAGCAATCCTCATACTAAGAAAGCATATAGCGACAGTGGAGAGGAAAACTTCCTTTTAACAGGAAGAAATCTCCAGAGAATCCTGGCTCAGTATAAGCAGCCATCCACCACGACTCACTGGGGATCGAGAAGACAGAGCGCGCGCGCACACACACACACACACACACACACACAATGATGTGTCTATGGTTATATTGTGATTTCTTAGTAAATATTCTACTTGGTGAGAGATAAACTTTATTGTATTTATCCTAGTGAATATAATTAAGCGGGTAAACTAGTAGTAGCACATCCAACGTCAAGGAAAGCAAAAAGTTATCATCAGGAGAGGGAGAATGTTTAAGTGGTTAGCAGCAGTGTGCTAGACGATGGCCCCTCCATGAGGCCACCACAGCTCAGCAGAACATCACTGTAGCTTCTTCTGGGGAGAAAAACACTTAGAGCATACCGGATCCGGCTCATCCCTAGCTGTAACCACCCTGCCCTGCCTCCTCCTCCTTGCTGCCTGCCGGCTGTGATCACAAGCAACAACAGAGTAGTTCCCGCTGCTTCTTCGGGAAACAGCGCAAAAAAAGATAAAACCAATAAAACTTGGGATCTTGTAGGCGTGGCGCTGGGATTTCAGCCATGGCAGGCTGCCACGGCTACGCCTATGTAAGGGAAACACTGTGTTCCATTTAACCGTTTTCGTTGACCAAGGAAGGACGGCGTTCTCGTAAGTAAGGCGCCTCGCAAGGCCAGGCGCCTTGACGTTGAGAAACACCCAGTATAAACGTTTGGTTGCTAGAGGACTCTTACTCTGTCATGTTGAATCTGTTGAGATGACTGCTTCTTGAATGAATATAAGTTAGTGTGGTTATATTCATTGGCTTTGTTTGTTTATGATTTTCTCTTTCATCAGGGTTGATTTTCTGCTGACATCTTTTTGTCAACACCTATAAGCTACTTGTGCAGACTCTGATGAACTGAGAAATTACAGCTTTAATTTGTGTCTGTCTATTTTGCTGTCTGGTGCAGTCTTTCAACACATGACTTTGGTCTTTTACCTTTGGCCTTTGCAGTCTCTCATTCTTTCTGCTTTTCACCTGCTTTCATGAATCCTCCTGCCCCATTCAACCCACTGCTTTGGTTGTTTGCTTACAACCAAACAAAACCTCCACCTTTTCTTTCTTTTTGGTACTTTGATGAGGAGCAGGATGACCATGAATATCCATATTATTATGAGGAAACCACAGGCCTTCCCTCCTCATCTTCATCCCCCTCTCCCCAACCTGGGGACCACAAGCAGCAGGTAAAGTGGGAGCAAGAGAGAGGGAAGACACTAGTTGGGTTTGTGGAAGGGAAGGGCAATGAGAGAATGAGAGGAGCATTCAAACAAAAACACATTCTGATCATTTAAATATAATTCAAATTATCATAATTGCTGAAAAAAATTATTTGGAAATGTTTATAAAAGTTGTTTAAATTTAACTTCTGAAAGCCTCTCATCACTTCATACTTCCCTTTTATTTAATGTCTCATTTCCTCATTAAGAATGATCTCCTACACATTCGCCTTATTTCATCTACTTGTGTCACACAGGATTACTTTTGCGCCTTGTGATATTTTTGTCCTTATGTCATCCACATGTTGTCTTTTAAGTATGTGTGTTCACACGTGGCCATGTGAGGGCACTGGGGAACTGAAGGTCCAGCTGTGTCTCACACACACACACACACACACACACACACACACACACACACACACACACACACACTTTCTATGTTTTTTTATTACTCCCTCTTGTAGAAGTAATTTGTCCAACTATTTTATTTTGTTCTTTTACAATTTAGACATAAACTAAAAGTCTTTGAAATTAAATTTCTGAGAAAATATAATTAAAGTTTCCATCATATAATGTAATATAAAAAGAGAATATGCAAATACAACTAAGTTTAGAAAACCTGAGTTATTTGATCTTCCTTTTTACATTATACATAAATACCATTTCATAACCACACAAGAAGACACTAATACTTTTGGTTTTCTGATTCTTTCTGGTGTTTCACACATTTTACTTGCTTTCCTTGCATGTTATTTTAAAATAAACTTATTCTGTTTGGGTTCTTAATTTTGCACGATTGTTTAATGAAGGATCCTTATTGTCCTGCTACTTGCATGTTTGTTACGGAGATTTAAGAACACCGCATGCACTTACTTTAGTTTTGCATCATCTGATTATCTTTTTTATAGATTTCAAAATAGAGATATATTCAATGCCTAGTTTTACATCAAAGGTTTGTATGATGGACTGTGAATGCTTATATACTAGTTTAAAAATCCATTGGTGCTGTATTACATCTATGGGTTGTCAGTTCACCTTGAAAGCTTGTTTAGATATTAAACTATAATATCTTTTTATTAGTAGTGGCATGATTTACAAAAAATACCTGTGTATGGTCTTTTTTCCCACATTTTATCATTTTATAAAGCACGTGTTTGCATGTCTTCTGAGTTGTTTCTTTTGCATGGCTGAACAGCTGGAACCTTTTCTGTTTTCCAGTTCAACTGTTTCATGCTTTATTACCCAACAGGTCAATAATGTGTGAGCTTTTTGTGTTGTGTGACTAGTGTGTGTGTGTGTGTGTGTGTGTTAAACAGCCACCTTTACCTGACCATTCACATCCTCAGTGCCTCTACTAAACCATGGTGCCCAGTTCCTAACTGAACAAAGATGCTGCTTTATCATGTGACAGTGGGAATGGCATTACTGGAGAGAACAGCAAAAATACCAGTTTAGAACTTAAGTCAAAGTAATGAAATTGTATTGTTTATTGTGCATTATAGGTTTGTTTTTCATAATATTGTTTATTTTAGATGTATTTTAAAACCTGATCGTCTGCTGTATCCAGTAATGCCTGCACAGTCTCAGCAAATCGTCCAAGCCTTAGCCATCTTTATGTCACTGTGTCTCAAAACATCCACTCTTGTCTTTTTCTCTTTCTGTCAATCCCTTGTTTGTGCTTTTCATCTCCCTCCCAATCCCTCTGTGTATCTTTGTCATTTTCTACCCTCTCTATGTTTTTTGTCTATGCACTTCTTCATACTAAAAATTATAATCGTGGATATTAGAAGAAGGCACCCAGTGGGAAAGCAGCTCCCACTAAATCAACTAAACCCACTCCAGCTAAGTCAGCCAAGTCTGGACCTTACAAACTGGTCGTCAAGCCACCCATGCCCACCAAAGCTATCAAGTCCTCTACAGCTAAGCCATCCAAAGCTAAACCCACTGCTGCAGGCATCTTCTTGTCAAAGATCAAACCAACAACAGCAACTAAAGCCAAAACCACAGCTGTCCCAGTTAAGAATGGCAATGGTAAAACAGCTTCTCCAAAGAAACCCAGTGGTGCATCTAAAGGTAATGGCAATGCCAAAACTGAGGCCAAAAATGGGAAGCTTGTAGGTGAAACAAAAGTTAATGGAAAAGCCTCTGCTGAGAAGAAAACCAATGGAAATGGAAAAGCTACGGTTGGGTCTAAGGTGAATGGAAATGGCGGAGGTAAAACTACAACAAAGAAAGCCAATGGAAATGGCAAATCTACCACTGAAGTCAATGGCAAAGCTGAAAATAAAGTCAATGGTGCAGCAAAAGCAAATGGGAACAACAAAGTTTCTTCAGAAGCCAAAAAGAAAGATGTTAGCAAAGTGGCTGGAAATAAGGCAAAAAGTGAAACCACTACAAAAACGAACACTGTAGATAGCACGGCCAAGTCAGCTGTTAATGTAGTCGCTACTAAAGCACCGAAACCCACAAAAATAACAAAACCAGAACCTACAAAGGTTTCTGTCACCAAATCTCCAAAAGCAAACATCGAAGAAAAAGCAGAGCTGAAAGAGAAGACAATAGCTAAAAGTGTGTTCAACAAAGTCCCTCCGATCAAACCAACAACCAAAAAGTTTTCTGTCCCAACAAAAGAAGCTCCAACACGTGCCCCTGTTCGACCTACGCTGCTCAGACCCACAAAGTTCAAGGACATGGACAACAACGTTAAGTCCCACCACAGACCTTTCCCACCGTTTGGTGAGACTGCACTGCGGGGAGCTTCGGTCCCAGCTAAGAGAACCGACATTCCCCAACAGGTACAACATGAAGATTCATGTTTGGGTCAACATGTCCAGAGATGTTTGTCCCGTCTTCCCAGTCTGTTTATCAGCCTTGACCATCATCAAAGTAAAATCTTTATATGCCTCTTTATTTTTGTCGTGTTTCATGACTAGTTGATCCTGCTTTAGGTCGACAGCCATGCACATTTTGATGATGCACAAGTTGGATGTCAGATTGGAAGTTGGTTCAAATCAGGCTAACAAGCTGACTGCGTTCTCATCTTTCCATATATCCTATCATTCTGACAACCTTCCCAACTTCTTTGTATGATATGATCCAGCGGTGCACATTGAAGCATGGCTTCACTGTTCTTTACTTGATCTCATACTAAAACTGGATCTTAAAACCTGAGCAGCTAGAGGACTCTGTTTTTCTTCTTTACGGAAACAGTTAAAGTAATGGTCAAACAAATGAGCATGGATTTCTATGGTTAAGAAACGTCTTTCTTAAAAACAGCTTCACAGAATCTAGAGAACTTTTGAGTCTTAACTTTATGACATTACATAGTATGACATCTTTTTTTAAGGTGAAAAATGTGTCCATGTTCAGGAGTTGATCAAGTTAAATGTGTTGCTGGTTAATGTTCTGTGAGGCTGTTGGTTTCTGTGTTATTTGGTCTTCAATGGATGAAACTAAACATGCTGAAGCATCAAGCTGTAATGTTTCCATCTTAAGGGATGGATATTTACCCTTTTTGGAAACTTGGCTTGTGAGCTTAAAACAGTGAAAATGGTTTAACAAAAGCATGAAAAGAAATTTCAGATAAGAAAAGTCAATAACTGTTAAAATTCTGCATCTGGCAAATTTTAAAGTCATTGATAATTCAATCCAAGCCTAATTGAAATTTCTTTTCTAAAATTAATTTTTACAAGTTTAAAATTGTGAGTTGCCAGTGAAACAAAAATGTGCCTGTCTGGCGATCACAATTTTATTTTGCTTTCCAATTTCTTCTTTTTTACTCATGATTTACAAGCAGATTATAAACTAACCCTGCTCTCAATCAAATCTGCTTACTTCCTCCCTGCTCACCACTTCCTGTCTACCTGACCAATCAGGATGTAGACACAGAATATTCTGAGGCTGGCCACACCCCTACAGAGACTGATTATTACTATGAAGAGATGGTCCCACAGCCAGACGGTGAGGTGGTTGGACAAGAAGAAATACCTGTACAGGTAAAAAGAAACGGACACACATCAAATCTAGCTTTTACATATCTTAGAGAATAAGATAGGATTAGGTCAGTAAAATCCAGGATCTCTAAAGTTAACCAATACAACTGAACCAACTGAATCAAATGAAAACGGTGTACCTGTATGACTGTGAGCCCAGTCTTAAAAAGATTAACAAAGTAGTAATACCTCTGTTCCTCTTTACTCTTCTAACACACACTAATCTGTTAAAGGCACCGATGCCTTGTAACAAGATGTGAGAGAAAAGGTGTTTTAAAAAAGAATGTACCACATTCATCTGCGTTTATCATCAGATATTTTTATGTGGTTCTCTTTTTCTCTAACAAGATTTGCTGTTTGTTCTCATCTCAAGAATCTTGGTTGATATTGTTGGCATCTTGAGATGAGAACAAAAATCTTGTGGAAAACAGGTCCACATGTGAGTATTTGATGTTCATATTTAACCACAGAAACAAAAGCAGATGAATATAATGCATTCTTGTTTGAAAGTACTTAACAGAACACAGTTGTTAATGAGTTACTTCGTTGTATTTATGTTTAGAAATAAGATGGGTATCTGACAGCTCATTTGCAACATAAAGCACGTTTGTATTTTTTTAGTTTGTTGGATTTATTTGTTTTGATATTAAGTTTTAATGCTACAACGTTTAGCTATGTTTACTCGGGTAAAAACAACAAAAAGAAAAAACAAACACGTTTGTGTTCGAAAGGCTTTGAATGTGCTACATTCTGCCTGTTTATTTTTGAGAAAATGTAATACATATTCCCAATGGATTTTTATTCGTAGTATACCATGTATGGTAAGTACAGACGCAAGATACCGTTTTTGGCTTTGCATGGTACAGCAGATAGAAGAAGCCCGTTTTCACAAAGTTTGTTCTTATCTCTTCTGTGATATCTAGAACCTAAGTTAAGTTGATTAGAATGCACTTTTATTTTCCAACTCATAAATAAATATGAATACTCATGGATCGATAATGAAAGGCTTTGGTGAAAACCTGCTGCTGTCAGCGAATATTAAGTAATTGACATAAGACTTAAAGTGACAGGACACATCTGAAAAAGTCAGCCTGGATCAACATTAGGCACTATCTCTGAGCTCTACATGTCTTTTTTTGTCCTAATGTCACATTATATTTGCAAAAGGTAAGATTAATTTATTTGAATGTGCTCCTTTCTTTCATACCTTCTTGTTGTTGCTGTTCATCTTCTTTTACTAACATCTTTCCATCCTGCTCATCTCCTTACTGCTTCTTCCATCCTTTTCTTCCCTTGTTTAATTCTTCCTTTTCGGACCTCTGTATCCTTCCTATTGCGGCTTTACTGAACCCATCGTAGCCCCAGGTCGAACCAGCCTTGGTGGGAGAGGAGGTAGATGCCACCAAAGCGGGCGATGTTGGTGAAGAAGTCTTCACTGAGGAGTATGTGACTGGAGATGTGGGCCTTAAGGAATACGACTATGCCTACAGAGACTACAATGAGCCCTTACCAGAGACCGGAGAGGTCGATGCCTACATGGGGCCCGCCTTGTCCGCTGTGACGGATGAGGGAGGCGTAAGTCATTTTGCTGCTGAGGCAAAAAGAAAAATCAGTTTCAACCAACAAATTGTTTTCAGTGTCCTCCAAGATGATATTGAGTTTTTTTTACCTGTCACAGTTCAGTACAGGAAAATATTTCTTTAATTTACTAAGTTTTTTTTTAATGAGACAGAAATTCTTATTTGTAGTGGTTAACAAGACCGCACTTGCCTTTAAATTGTGTTCCCCCACCCCCTCTTTCCAAAACCTGCCATAGTAGCGATAATGTCAACAAGCTTTGTTTAATCGTTCACTATCGTCCACTTATCCGGGGTTGGGTCGCGGGGGCAGTAGCCTAAGCAGGGAGGCCCCGACTTTCCCCTCCCTAGCAACTTCGGCCAGCTGCTCCGAGGGAATCCCAAGGACTTCCCTGACCAGCTGAGAGACATAGTCCCTGAAGCGTGTCCTGGGTGTTCCCTTGAATCTTCTCCCAGTTGGACATACCCGGAATACCTCACCAGAGGGTATCCTAACCAGATGCCCGAGCCACCTCAACTGGCTACTCGTGATGTGGAGGAGCAGCGGGTCTACACCGCTGAGCCCCTTCCGGATGACCGAGCTTCTCGCCCTATCTCTATGGGAGAGCCCAGACACTGTGGAAATAACTCATTTTGGCCGCTCGTATCTGCAGTCTCATTCTTTAGGTCACTACCCAAAGCTTGTGACCATAGATGAGGGTAGGAACGTAGATCAACTAGTAAATCAAGAGCTTCAGAATCGGTGACAAAGGGCAGCCTTGGCGGAGTCCAACTCTCACGGAAAACGAGCCTGACACTGTGGGAAATGCGTACCAAGCTCTGACACCAGTCATGCAGGGACCTAACAGCTCGTATCAGAGGGCCTTGTACCCCATACTCCGAAAGTACCCCCCACAGGGCCCCCCCAAGGTACGCGGTCGAACACCTTCAAATCCACAAAACACTTGTAGATTAGTTGGGAAAACTCCCACACACCCTCCAGGACGCCATAAGGGTAAAGAGCCGGTCCAGTGTTCCAAAGCCAGAATGGAAACCATATTGCTCCTCCCTCTGTAGTTGGAACACATTCTGCGGTCCCCCTTTTAAACCCTCCCACTGTCTTTATGGGTGACCTCGCGAGGAAAGTTGACCATTGGGCAGGATTGATGGTTTATCCCTTGAGGTCCACGTGACGGGGGTGAGGTGGTGCTCACTCCTCACCCCTGCCATATGGACCCAAGGGATAAACCATCAACCCTGCTCAATGGTCAACTTTCCTCGCGGGGGTCCTACCCATTAGGACAGTGGGAGGGTTAAATAGAGGGACCACCACCCCGGTCTGCCAATCCAGTTGAACTGTCCCCGATGTCCATACGATATTGCTCTAGTTAAATTTTACTAAATAAAATTTGTTTTTTAAGCTAAAAATGTTCAACTTTAAATTTCAGTTGTTTCTACGGCAAGCTCAATCAGTCAAAGAGGAACACATATTTGAATGCAATTCAAGACCTTGAAGGTGTGTTAGTGGTTGAAACTGACTTTTTCAATGACAATAATGCTTTAGCTGTTACCAAAGTAAAAGCTGTTGGGAATACTAATAAATGTAAGCAGTAGCTCTCACATACACTGAAAAAAAAGGCATTTTTAAGTAAAACTGTCAATAATGTCATTTTCTCAGTGTATGGCTTTTTATTGTTATTGCTAAGCTTTTTCATGCAATAAGTGTTGAAAAGTAATGGACCCGCTCGGTGGAAAACATAATAGTCAATGATGTTTGAAGGAAGGCTTTCATGCCTTTCACAACAACACAGGTTGTAAATTTGTTCTTTTACTATAATACAGGAAACGTTTTAGTTTATTTTCTTGGTGCCTGTTGTATATTTGAATGAACTAGACTTTTGTTTTGCTTTGCAGTTTCCTGTGTAAGTATGTTTATAATGACAGAACTATGTTCCTGGGTACTTGTGTTTTCCCTCAGGCCGCCTTTAGAGGCCAGAAAGGAGAAAAGGGAGAACCTGCTGTTTTGGAGCCTGTGAGTCGCAAATTCTCTTGAGCTTTTTATTTAGAGGGTCTGATTTTGTAAAATGATGAAAACTTTACCCCATCATAAGATATGAATTCTGGGTTTTTAAAGGAGCCAATAATTAGAAGTTAAAATTGGAGAAAGACTCCAAGGTTTTTGGCCAGTTATTTATTCAGCTCATATTTGAGAAGTATTCTGTTTTATTGTGTTTATATTTTAAATTATTTCCTATTATTAGATTTCTGCAAGGTGCATTCTGTTTTCTTTCTTTTTTTAATTCTCAGTTGTTTTATTTATTTTGTCCATTTTAGGGCATGTTAATAGAAGGTCCCCCAGGGCCTGAAGGGCCTGCAGTAAGTCCGTCATATTTATTTAGTCTTTATGAAAATTATTAGACCTTATGATTTTCCTCATTTCAACTGGTATTTTTAAGTTGCACTTCTACTCTCCTGAAAAATATACAAATTCTACATTTCCTTTTCAAGGGACCGTCTGGACCTCCTGGATCATCTGGACCTCCTGGTTCTGTGGGAGATCCTGGAGAGAGGGTAAGTAATATTTTCTTCTTTATTCTATTCAGGGCAGATTTGTGCATCAGTAGTTCTGAGGAATGTGTAATTACTGCTATTTTAGAGCTTTTTCTGCACTTCTGTCAGCTTCATCAATCCTCTTCACCCTGCAGGGTCCTCCTGGTAAAGCTGGTCTGCCTGGGGCTGATGGAGTCCCTGGACCTCCTGGAACCTCAGTCATGCTTCCTGTGAGTCACTTGTATCTTTTGATCATGGGTGTGATTCTACATTTTCACTAGATTTAGTCGTTTTTTGTTTAACTCAGACTGATATATGGTATTTTCATTATGGTCGCTCAACCAAACAATTTGGTCAATCAGCTACATCTTACAAAGACATTTTGGGTTCTGTTTGTTAGTTTTTGTTGTTCAGTTATATTTTCTCCGATTCGACACACGGATCTGCTTCATATCTTCTGTTTTTCTTCCTTTCTTTGCAGTTCCGTTTTGGGCAGGGTGGCGGCGATAAGGGTCCCGTTGTCTCTGCACAGGAGGCCCAGGCAGCCGCCATCTTGTCTCAGGCTAGGGTCAGTCAGAAACTTTTATGTCACCTGTTCACTGTGCACTTAGGGGATGTCTGATGCTTTACTGTTACCCAGTTAGAAATAGATTTATACCATTTTGGGCAGGTTTTAATTTTCCTTGCATAGAAAAAGCCATTTTAATTAGAAAAATGCACCAAAATTCAAATTAAATTTGTGACAATTGAAACTTGGGCTGAAAGTTTAATACAGGCTGCTAACGTAAAACCTACAGAAAATATTTCTGATTTAGAAAGAAGATTTCTGCCACAGATTCCTGATAAACAGCCACATCATCACTATTGATTTAGAGATGTAACTTTTTTTAGATGGCACTGAAAGGACCTCCTGGACCAATGGGATTCACCGGGCGCCCTGGACCTGTGGTATGTTTCCTTTTGTTTTGTTGTTTATACCAAGAGGTTTTTTTTTAATTGTTAACAATGTTTTACTCTAACAGATTATTCATGAACTCTTTGTTGTTATGTTTCATTGAACTGCGCCCGCCCAAAGATTTCAGACACATGTTTATTTTTATGATTTTGTTTTGTGTTGCAAATTGAATTGTTTTCATTTAAATATGTGTGTCAACAAATTAATTGTTTCATTTGTTGTAGGGAAGTCCAGGAAGCTCTGGGCTGAAGGGAGAAAGTGGAGATCCTGGTCCTCAGGTAAACCAGTCGCTTCTCCAAACTGGTGTTGATCATTTATACTGGCCACCAATCACAGACATTTGTTTGTTTTTAGGGCCCCAGAGGATCACAGGGGTTGCTGGGTCCTCCGGGTAAATCAGGAAGAAGAGTGAGTAGAAACAGCCACTTTGTTTATGTTTAGTTTTTATTTGTTGTATTTGTTGTTATCACAGATTCTACACATGCTATCACAGAGATTATAGTTTATAACAAACACTTGTGTTTTTTCAGTGGTCCAGGATAGCTCTTTGTGTTTTTTTTTTTTTTATAAGGTTGTTTTGGTCCTGTAATCTTTTTTTACAAACACGACCAAACAGAATCTTATTTGGGTTGTTTTAGTTGGTAAAAACAAACTTTACATTTAAAGTTTTAAAACATTTTAATATTGTCTGCTTGTGCTCTCAGGGTCGCGCTGGTGCTGATGGGCCTCGGGGAATGCCCGGAGAGCCCGGATCTAAAGTAAAGTATTCACTCTGTTATCATATTTGTCAAATAAAAACACAGGTTATTCCCTAAATAATAAATATTTGTGTTTTTTATCTATTCTGTTTGGTGTAGTCGTTTTGCCTTATGGTTTGTGTGTTCGTCTCAGGGCGATCGTGGCTTTGATGGTCTTCCTGGTTTGCCTGGTGACAAAGGACACAGGGTAAGTTCTTGGTAATGTGTAATGTATCCATGTGATATCATCGACGCTTGAATAACTTTGGGTTTTTTGGAAGTAGATGAAGTTCTCTGTGTTCTGATTTCTTCTGCTTTGGATCTTGTCAGGGTGACCCGGGACCAATGGGACCACCAGGATCTCAAGGAGAAGATGGAGAGAGGGTATGCACTGAAACAGAAAAACATCTAAAAATACTTCAGTAATCTTACTTTGTGTTACTTTATATCAGTTTTGTCAGCATTTATTCACTCTTGTTTCTGTTTGTAGGGAGACGATGGAGACGTCGGACCCAGGGGTCTCCCAGGTGAACCCGTGAGTGTTTCCATGGCATCCAAAGAGATTTACCAGCTCATTTTGATTTTTATTGGCTGTGCATATTTACACATAATTTATTCACATACCGTATTTTCCAGACTATAAGTTGCACTTTTTTTCATAGTCTGGCTGGTCCTGCGACTTATATACCAAAGTGACTTATATACCAAATTATGTATACCGTGCTGCTGCGGGCCGGCTCCAGACCAGGAATGAGCTCCCCTGCCCCGCCATCACCTGCTGGAGACCGTTGCGCGCTGCTGCGGGCCGGCTCCGGTCCAGGTTTCAGCTCCTCTGCCCCGCTGGGAGGGTTTCAAACACCGCCATCACCTGCTGCAGCCTGTGGCAGGCGGGGTACTGCGGGCGCTCTCCCCACCCACTAGGAGGGTTTGAAACACCGCCATCTTCTGCTGGAGACCGTGGCGCGCAGCTGCGCCCTGATTGTTTATTCTGTTATTATTACCGGTACTTGTCTTGCAATGTGAAACGCTTGGTCTCAGATTTTGTAAGAAAAGTAATAAAATTTCCCCCCAAAATGCGACTTATAGTGCGACTTATATATGTTTTTTTCTTCATTATACATTTTATGGCTGGTGCGACTTATACTGCGGAAAATACGGTAGTTGAATTTGAGAGTATTGTTTTAGACCTTGAGTTTTCCCTGTTACTGAGTTTTATCTTACCCTAGATGTGTTTCTGTCTTTGTCTTTAGGGACCCCGTGGTCTGCTCGGGCCTAAAGGTCCTCCAGGAATCTCTGGACCTCCTGTAAGTAAACCACACAACACCCACAGCCATGCCTGAAGCAACAGTCTGTATCCCGATATGACAGCCGGGAAAGCTACTGATCCAGAAATTAGGATGTGATATTCCCAAAGTTTCTTCAGTTTCTGCTGAAGGGAGGATTCTGGCAGCCATTTTTGACATCGACGCCATATATTTATGTCTAACAGCTGTTTTAGTGTAGTGTGACTTTTTTGTTTTGTTTTTATCTTGTTTTCATGAATCAGAATATTACAGCAGAACTTTATAGATATTGATGTTTAAAATGATGGACTTTCTCATCACCAGTGTCTGATTTGCTATGATTAAAGAATAAAAAGGGCATTTTCACTTTCTACCTGCAAAAAAGTGCTCTGATATAAACCAGTGAGGAAGTTGTTCACATGGGCAGCAATTTTTTTTTTACTGTGTGCTCTCTCTCTCCTTCCAGGGTGTACGAGGAAATGATGGCCCTCATGGTCCCAAAGGAAATTTGGTCAGTACTGGTTAAAGCTTCTTTCCGGAGTATTTCTGTTATCCGATGGCACCATCTAGTGGCTGACAAGCATATCACACAAAAACGCTGTTCCTGTTTTTTTAAGATGGCAACTTCACATTTCTGTTTATAAATGTGCTTCTGTAGCGACAAACAGCATAAACACGTTGTTTTACGAGTATTATTCTCCTGTCATGTTGTGTTCTCACATATTTATATTTTAGAGACTTTCTTGTCCGTGAAAAGTTCATCAACTCTGCATCAGCCGAGGTATTCCTTAAATTTGAAGCACGTACGCGGTAGTCTAACGCTATTGGTTAGTTCTGGATGGCGCTCAGTTTCCTATTGCACGGCGCTCTGCAGGGCAGGGGGCGTGGTTAGCAAAAAAAAAAAAAAAACAAGACGTATCGCTTACATTTTATCACAGGATGAGACAATCACTTTTACGGATTTCTGACAAATTATACATCATTTCTGAAACGGGAAAACTCCGGAAAGCAACTTTAACATGTCATCATGAAATTATCAGATTATTTACAAGTAGGATCTGAACTGTACAACCAGTAATTTTATACATTTTACTACTCCTTTTGTACCTTCCAGTCACTTTTTATTTTATCTCTCAGGGTCCTCAAGGTGAGCCCGGACCTCCAGGCCAGCAGGGAACTCCAGGAACTCAGGTGAGACAACCTACCTGCCATTTGATGTTTTTTAGGAGTAAGAAGCTGCATCACTGGTATCATTGCCTTTATGTGACAGACCGACGTTTCTGCAGTTTTATTGTTCCTGTGTTGCTGAAGAATCCCCAGCTCTCTAGTGTGCTCTATAGTAATTTACAGGCTGCATCCCCTTTGGGGAGAGCAGTGTGTCTTTTCTGCATTTGCATACGACGTTTAGAGTAAAGAATACATAATTGGTTTTATATTTGTTGTTTTTGCAGGGAATGCCAGGACCTCAGGGAGCTATTGGACCTCCAGGAGAGAAAGTAAGTAACCCAGAATTTGTGTCCTAGATACTAGAAATACATTAAAATGTTGAAATCCTCAAAGACCCTGCTGCTAGTTCCAGATCTTCCTCATGTTTAACTATTGTCTTCATGAACCAGAGGCCCTAATAACAAAAATCTAAAATATCCATGAACCTTATTTTTCAGCTTGCATTTTGGACAAACCAGCGGCAGTATAGATGTTAAACTGGTTTCACAAAAAGAATAGAAATACTGATATCCACTAAGGAATGTGAGACTCTATATCCACTGGGTCTGGGAATGCTAGAAATTAGGATTAGTCTTGGATTATATAGTTACCGTAATTTCTGGACTATAGAGCGCACCTCAATATAAGCCGCACCAACAAAAAAAAATGTTTTCTACACACACACGCCGCACTCAAGTACAAGCGCACAGCAGCAACATGCAGGTCTCTGGCGCACAGCGCATGTACGGCCATAACATGAGATAATTAGACAGAAAGACGCTACACGGAGGTTTTTCGTTGTTGTTTTAATTCAACAAAACTAATTTTAAACACAGGTGAACGTGCCTGCAAGTTTAGAAAAGAGAACAGCACTGATAGCATTCATATTTCTGGATGGTTATAAAATAAAAACAGCACTGACACGTTATTACCGTAATTTGCATGTTTAGAAGAAAAGAACAGCGCTGACACAGCATTAATAAGCCCTGGATGATTAGAAAATAAAAACTGCACACAAAACACGCCTGGTTAGTAAATAAAACACACTTGCCTACCAGAAGACGTCATTCACTCTCATCTTCCTCCTGCGCACTAAAGCCATTAAAGTCCTCTTCTTCAGTGTCGGAGTTGAACAGCCTCAGAAGAGCTTCGTCACATACCTTTTCTGTGGCGATGTCAGTGTCGCTGTCCGTGTTGCTGTCATCATCCCCGGGTGAAGCTGGCTTGAATAAGTTCTTCCCGCTGCCGTCTCCAGCGCCGAACCGTGGATTCATTCATGCCAAGCTTACGTGCGGCAGCACTGTTTCCCTCCTTTACTGCCAGATCGATGGCCTTCAACTTAAATGCGGCATCATATGAACTCATACGTGTAGTTACCATGATGAGGGGGTATGGATTTGAAAAAAATTCTTCGTGGTGCCGGCTGCTTGCATGTGTTAAATTAAAATGAGCACTTTCTTCGATTTCCACGTTTGACTTCCACCTGTTTCACTTTCTGCTAAAGCGCCCCCTGCAGGTGAAGGAAAATCTTTAGTAAAGCCGCACCTCATTATAAGCGGCATGATTCAAAGCGTGGGAAAAAAGTAGCGGCTTATAGTCCGGAAAATACGGTACTCGGATTAAGCTCATGACCACTTTGTGCTTCTTTCTAGGGTCCCACTGGAAAACCGGGTTTACCAGGAATGCCTGGAGCGGACGGCCCTCCTGTAAGTTTCCCTTTTAAAATATTAAATATGATTTTATGTATTTTTATTTGTCCAGAGACTCGAGCCCCGTTTTCTGTTCTCAGGGTCACCCAGGAAAGGAGGGTCCATCAGGCACTAAAGGAAACCAGGTAGGTGTTGATTTAAACCACCTAATCTGTTTCATCCTAAACTTTTTTCTGTGTGTATTTAGAATAATTAGAGTAGATCTTTGTGGTTTTAGTTGTCTTATGCTTTTAACTCATCTTCCTGATCATCTCCAGGGTCCCAACGGTCCTCAAGGAGCCATCGGCTATCCTGGCCCTCGTGGCATCAAGGTCGGAACATTTATTTAATATTTTATCAAAATGTTCATAGATACCAACACATTTTCTGTTCATGTCACTTAATTATGAGTGGCTGCCGATATCCAATACTTTAAAAATGCATTAAAATAAGAAAACGGGGGAACACACCTGAGTTGTGCTCACCAGAGGTGGTCAGACTGCCGTGAGACCACATGCTGATGCGGTTGGCCCTGGGTTCCTCCTAATGTGAGACAATGTTGGACCCCATGGCTAAAGTGTGTCAGCAGTTTCTGCAAGAGCAAGGCATTGATGCTATAGACTGCTCCGCCCGTTTCCCAGACCCGAGTCCAGTTGAACACTTCTAGGACATCATGTCTCGCTCCATCCACCCAACACCACGTTGCACCACAGACAGTCCAGGAGCTGGCAGATGTTTTAGTCCAGGTAGCAGCAGTAGCTCAGGAGGTTGAGGGGATTGTCCAGTTATCAGAAGGTTGTAGTGGTGTGGATTGACTTCGTATTTATTAAATGATCAATAAGATGTGGTGTTTCATATAAATATGAAATATCAATCTGATTGATCTTTGAATATTTGAACTAACGTTCCTTTAGGTTCTTTGACTCTTCAGGGAACACACACTTCGTATTCATTCAGACAGAGTCAAGGATAGGGCTGCTCAATTAATCGAATTTTAATCACGATTACGATCTGAGTTTTGAACGATTATAAAAAACAAAACAAGCCGATTATTTGCTCCTCCCGCCTGCGCTGCGCCGAGTTGCAAATGAAGCGCTCCTCCCACAGTGTTGCCAACTTTGTGACTTTGACGCTATTTCTAGCAGCTTTTCAGACCCCCTTCTTGACTTTTTAACTTAAAAGTACCTAGCGAACACCTCAGAAACATCTCTGGTAACCCTTAGCTACTTTCTGGATAACTGTCGTCGACATTTCCTGCAGGTTAGCTAAACACTCCGCCTGCTCTCCGGACCGTTCTTCAGGACATTAGGAAAGGGAATGATGTAGTGATGTGTCGGTCGCTAAAGAAACGGCTCTCGGAGCCGGCTCCCTGTTGGATTAACCAGAGTGAGTGACACACACACTGCACCTGCGGACTCCTGAGCCACTAAAACGGCTAAATGTGCGCGTGCAGCGTGCTAAACACACGAGCAGCTTGCCCTGATTGCTGTGAGACCGGGTTGGGGGGTGGGGGGTGCAGCTGTGGTTGGGACAATTATTACATTAATTGATGGACTTGTAAATAAATAGTTTATAAATAAGGTAGAAATAAGTTCCTCACGCTGATAAATAATAACTAATCTCTCTGAGGACACGGTGCTAGTGCACTCTCCAGCAGCACATTGACACGACTAAATACGTATTATGCAACATTTTGTGAACATCAATTTATTTGCATGTATTTGTTATAAATGCCACTGTATAATTCTTGCTGTCAGTATTTGCAAGATATTGGTATTTGGGTCTGTACTGGTTAGACTTAAATGAGTTAAACCAAGGTCTATAGACCTTAGGTCATAAACTATGAGCTATAAGTATATTGGTCTTTTTATACTGGGAATCAGGAGTTATTTTAGTGATCATCTTGTTTCTTATTTACTTTTGTCCTGATTGTGCCCTGAGCAATTTTATGACTGAATAAAAACAAATAAAATCAACATAAATTGAAAAATCGTCCTAAATAATCGTGATCTCAATTTCAGTCACCATAATCGTGATTATTATTTTTGCCATAATCGAGCAGCCCTAGTCAAGGATATAGTTTATAAAAACGAGTTTAATTGTATTTTCTAAACTAATGATTAAACATGACAAAGTATGGATGATGGTTGTACAGGATAACAGATGATGAATGAAATGGTGGAATGTGAGCTACATGTTTCAGATGTCTGAGTTTTAAAATCAGTTTGGCTGTATGGATTAATAAGCTCGATTGTTCATAAAACCATCCGATGCCATTTGTGCCGAGTCTACGCACCCTTGTACGAAGGTCCACGTGAGATCCAGGGGGTCAAGAGGTCAGGATGGAGACCTCCGAGTAGGGCTGCTCAATTAATCGAATTTTTATCCCAATTACGATCTGAGGTTTGAACGATTATAAAAACAAAACAAGCCGATTATTTGCTCCTCCCACTTGCGCTGCCCTGAGTTGCAAATGAAGCGCTTCTCCCACAGTGTTGCCAACTTAGCGACTTCAACGCTATTTCTAACAGCTTTTCAGACCCCCTTCTTGACTTTTGAAATCGTAAAAATACCTAGCGAACACCTCAGAAACATCTCTGGTAACCTTTAGCTACTTTCTGGATAACATGATTGCTGTGAAACCGGGTTGGGGGGGTGCAGCTGTGGTTGGGACAATTATTACATTAACTGATGGACCTGTAAATAAATAGTTTATAAATAAGGTAGAAATAAGTTCCTCACGCTGATAACTAATAACTAATCTCTCTGAGGACACGGTGCTAGTGTATTCTCCTACAGCACCTTGACATGACTAAATAAATGTTATACAACATTTTATGAACATCAATTTATTTGCATTTATTTGTTATAAATGCCACTGTATAATTCTTGCTGTCAGTATTTGCAATATATTTGTATTTGGGTCTGTACTGGTTAGACTTAAATGAGTTAAACCAAGGTCTATAGCCCTTGGGTCATAGACTATGAGCTATAAGTATACTGGTCTTTTTATACTGGGAATCAGGAGTTCTTTTAGTGATCATCTTGTTTCTTATTTATTTTTGTCCGATTGTGCCCTGAGCAATTTTATGACAGAATAAAAACAAATAAAATCAACATAAATTGAAAAATCGTCCTAAATAATCGAGATCTCAATTTCAGTCACAACAATCATGATTATTATTTTTGCCATAATCGAGCAGCCCTACCTCCGAGCATGACCCATCTAGTCTGAGATACCTTCAGGTGACGGCAGGAAGCTGGAGTGTCTATTTTGCATCTGAGGCTGTTGTGTCTGATGTCACTTGCAAGCTTTGCAGAGCAATGTTTTGACCTGAGGTCAGATAAGAGGGTGGTCCCAAATGCTTGCTCACTGGTCGGCCTAAACCGAGTGAACTCTGAAGAACTAACTAGATCAGGAAGTGATCCTTGTCTATATCCAATGTTTACAAATCAGAATTTGACACATTTAAAGGCGTTGTGATGCATCCCTGGATGTGTGATGCAGTTTGTGTCTACAAGTAAATTTCTGGTAATTTTTGATGAAATATTTGACCTTTTGGTACGTTACAAGTTTCAATCCTGGCTCCCCCAGAGAATGCTGCTGTTGTGTCCCTGGGCAAGACTCCTAACCCGCCTTGCTTGATGGTGGTGGTTGGAGAGACTGGTGGTGCCAGTGTGTGGCAGTCTTTGCCGTCAATGCGCCCCAGGGCAGCTGTGGCTACAATATAGCTCATCATCACCAGCGTGTGAATGACCGATTATGTTGTGAGGTTGTAGAACCCTGTGAGGAGATCCCTCAGGAGACCATCCTCCACCTCATCAGGAGCATGCCCAAGAGTTGTAGAGATCATACAAACGTGGAGGCCACACCTACTACTGAGCCTCATTTTCTTTTGTTTTAAGGACGTGACATCAAAGCTGGACCAGCCTGTTGTTTTTCCACTTTTATTTTGAGTATGACTCCAAATCCAGACCTCCGTGGGTTACGTTTGATTTCCATTCATAATTTTTGTGTTTGTTGTCGGGAAGTTCAGCTTCAGATCTAGTCTTATTTTTGTGTTACCTTTATTTTTTGAGCAGTGTATTAACTCATATACTGCCAATGATGACAAAAGTCAACATTTTAAATCCAACCGTTCACTGCCATTTGCATGTTTTTACTGTGTGGGCGTCGGACGAGCCCCCGCACCGTGAGAACAAACATCTCGGCTCTAAAGCCGATCTTCATCCGCGTACGTCACGTGATCAGGAAGCAGAACATCCAGGTGTTAGGAGATTGTTTTGGGCCGCTGCTGTAAAAAAAAAAAGTGAGGCGCGAACTGGAAAAGCTTCTGCCGATCACAATTCAACAACGGATTATGAGAGAACGGATAACGCTCGAAACGCGCGGACTCTTCCTGATGTAAGAGGTGGGTCTCCGCTTTGTTTTGGCGTCGACATCATCCTAGCGCGCAACGTTCTGTGACTCTTAAAAAATGGCGAGAAACGCTGTCAGCGAATGAGTTAATGATATATTTTAAAGTTTTTTCATGTCATATTTAAAAAGATTAAACCACCAAACGTTTTGTTTTGATTGCAGGGAGTGCAAGGAATCCGCGGTCTAAAGGGTCACAAAGGAGAGAAGGTAACTCCTGCGTTACCGCTTAAAATCAGTCATGTGAAATGTCCTAAATATCCTCGATTGACAGATAACTGTTTTTGTTTGTAGGGAGAAGATGGCTTCCCAGGAATTAAGGGAGATTTTGGCATCAAGGGAGAGAGGGTAAAATAAATGATAGCTAATAAGTTTGTGGTGGATAAGATTAGATGATGTTTCAGTCCTGTTTCATGTTTGCTTTATTGTGACTGTTGTTATCTGATGTTCCTCACTGGTAGGGTGAGATTGGAGTTTCAGGGCCCAGAGGAGAAGATGGCCCAGAGGGACCAAAGGGTCGTGTTGGACCTCCTGGAGAACTCGGACCAATTGGGCTTGCTGGAGAGAAGGTACGACCGTTTAAATCAGAGAAGAATATAAAGATGAGCTCATTGTTGTACTTCCTTTTGTGGTTTATGGAAAAAAGGGTGACATTTTTTACTTTGTGGCATTTTAATTAGTTTTAAAAGAGGATGTCACATAATACAGGACTTCTGGTTTAACGTCACGGGCGTGCGTTGTGCTGACTGCAGTTCCTCTAACGACCACACGTGCGCGCTGCAGCTTTAAATCAAAAATAACTTTAGGCCCTAGGCCTTTTTTCTTTGGGCCCTGGCGCTTCCCAATCAGGGGCCTTTGGAGTTTCATGTCCCAAGTGTCAGTGGTTGTTTGCATTACCCGAGCACAGCTACAGCTACAATCAAAACAGTTTAGATTGTAAACAAAGCTCTTTTTGGTTTTTGACACATTAAGATAAAATAATACTTGAACTTTATTTTAGAAGAGCTGCCCTGTGTGAAAGTGCTGACAGGATGGAGGTTGTGAGTTCAAATTCCATTTAGAAAATTTAGTCAATTGTTTTATTTATTCCATTTGTTCAAGGTTTTTTTTTTCAGCAGAGACCAGATAAGGCCAGATGCTCTTCTAAAATAAAGTTCAAACATCATTGTATCTTAATTTATTACAATTTAAAATGGCCATGCTTCCCATCTGAGCTGTTTGATTGTGGTTGTAGTTGTTTGGAGAATGTGGACAGTTGTAGATGTCTGGGACATGAAACTGTAGAGGCCCCCAGTTGGGGGGTGTTAGGGTTTAACAGGTTAAACAGGAACATTAAAGGTAGATAAATATTGATTAGTTTTATATGGTGATGTATATCAGTATCAACAGATGTGGAAAATAAGATAAGAATATGTCGCCCACCCCTGTTCTAAAGTTTTATTTTAGCTTTATTAAACTAAACATGTTTCCTCTAAATTTACTGCAGGACACAATAACTCAACTACAGCTTCTGAGAGTAAAACTAGCTGCTTGTCTCCTTTTCTACCTAAACATTTACCTGAAACCCGCTAATAAACTTTTTGTGCATTTTATGACATTGTTGACATTTTTCCAGGGTAAACTTGGTGTACCTGGACTTCCTGGATACCCTGGAAGACAAGGACCCAAGGTAAATAAACATTTGCACATCAGAAGTTAGTTAATGTTTCTATAATTACTGATATAAAGATTTTTGTTTTTAGGGATCTCTTGGATTCCCTGGATTTCCTGGTTCTAATGGAGAGAAGGGAACGCGGGTGAGCTGTTATACTTGTTATCAAAGCAGGAGTTACCTTCCTGAAACATTAAAACGAGTGATGATTTTACCCAGGCGTTGTCGTGCTTTATTAGTTTATAACATGTTTTCTTTTTTAAATCAGGGTGTTTCTGGAAAACAAGGACCAAGAGGACAAAGAGGACCAACGGTAAAGTTCTCATTTACTCAGAGCTCCTAGTCAGACCAGAGGAACTAAACAGAAGCTGATTTGTGTCGACATCATTTAGCACCAGTGCAGTTACAATTATAACCACTGGGGGTCAGCAGAGACTACCTTTGGTCAGTAACAGTTTAGGTGGTGTTGCACTGTGCTTACAATGATTCAATTCAAGTTTATTTATAAAGCGCCAAATCACGACCAGAGTCGTCTCAAGGACCTTCACACAGTAAACATTCCAATCCAGGTCAGTTCATTAAGCCAATCAGAAAAAAGTTTCCTATATAAGGAACCCAGCAGGTTCTAGTGACTAGTGTCAGTGACTTTACAGCAATCCTCATACTAAGCAAGCATGCAACGACAGTGGAGAGGAAAACTCCCTTTTAACAGGAAGAAACCTCCAGAGGATCCTGGCTCAGTGTAAGCAGCCATCCACCACGACTCACTGGGGATCGAGAAGACAGAGCAGACACACACACAATGGTTACATTGTGGTTTCTTAGTAAATATTCTATTTGGTGAGGGATAAACTTTATTGTATTTCTCCTAGTGAATCTATAATAAAGCGGGCAAACTAGTAGTAGCACATCATGGTTTAATGTGTTAATTTGGTTGCATTAATATATATTTTTTTCTGGATCAGGAAATCTATTTTAACTCTTGTCTGTGATCACCAGGGTCCTCGAGGGCAGAGAGGACCGAGGGGATCAACAGGAAAACTAGGAGCAAAGGTTTGTCTAAACATCGAAACACCCAGGCTTAGCAACGTTCTCCAAATGTACGCTTTTCCCTTTTATCAAATCTTCATATGAATAATTTCTTATTTATACAATAATCTAAAAGTATTTTTGTGTGTCAGACAGACCTAAAATATTATATTTCCTCATAGGGAACGTCTGGAAGTGACGGCCCTCCTGGTCCTCCTGGAGAGAGGGTGAGTTCTTATTTGCTGCTACAGGAAATCATGAAACGTTTTAATTAGGTTATAGTTTATGTTCTAATTTTATACGATGTCATGGTCTGATCAGGGATTACCCGGACCTCAAGGAGCCAACGGCTTCCCCGGACCAAAGGGACCTCCAGTAAGTCTGGTTTCTGCTTTTTGCTGCTGAACACTTTTAGGTTATTGTTTTGAAATGGGAGCTGAAGTTTTTGGGGAATTAAGGAAAACTAATACTTCACAGGGACCACCAGGAAAGGACGGACTGCCTGGACATCCTGGACAGAGAGGAGAAGTCGTAAGTTTGTAGATAAACTTAGTTTAAGGTGTTCTGCTGCATCTTTAGGTTCACCAAGTCTTCTTCTACAGGGGTTCCAAGGTAAAGTGGGTCCACCTGGGCCTCCTGGAGTTGTAGGACCTCAGGTGGGTTAATCCATCCGGTTCCATCATTTCACAGCTTTTGCAACAACGCAGTCATATTTAGTCTTTTCCCTCCATCCTCCTAGGGTCCATCAGGTGAAACGGGCCCCATGGGTGAGCGTGGGCACCCTGGACCTCCAGGTCCTCCAGGAGAGCAGGGACTTTCTGGTCCGTCAGGAAAAGAGGGCACCAAGGGAGACCCCGGACCTCCAGGAGGCCCTGGTAAAGATGGGCCTCCTGGTCTGAGAGGATTCCCTGGAGAGAGAGGACTTCCTGGAACCCCTGTGAGTGAAACGAGTTCAGACCATCAGAGTTTGATGCTTTATGTTTCTCTAGAGGGTTTAGTGGAGCTCAGGTGAAACCGTGATGAGATCTTTTGATGTTTCCTTCCAGGGTGGTGGAGGACTGAAGGGAAGCGAAGGACCTGCTGGACCTCCGGGACCTGCTGTATGTTTTGAACAATCTTATGAAACTTAGGCTTCGTTAGGGACTTTTTTGTCCATTTGGGCAGTTTTTTGTTTTTCGTTTTGACACCATTTCACCACCGTTTGTGCATACGGTAAAAAATGTTGTCGCAAAACCGCTCTCTGGACAAATTTGGAATTTTTAAAATAGACCAAGGGAACACTATGAAAGAAACACTTGAGACTTTAGAGGACAAAAACAGCTGCTTGTAATAGTGGCTATAAAAAAAATTACTTTTTTTTCACACATCTGTTGAACAACTTCAGCCCTGCTCAAACATGAAAAAAAATTCAGTCATTTTGAGGCTTTTAACCCTTGAAATGCCAGTTTAAATACTCAGTCATTGGTGTAATTTATGAAGAAGAAAAAAACACTAAAACTGAGTTATTTTCTAAAAGACATTTTTTTTGCCTGGGGGTGTTTAGTTCCAATCAGTCTTGATTATGTTATGAAATATCTAAAATTTTGAATTTTTTGCATTTATAGTTTTTACATAGCAACAGATTTAAAATTCACTATACACTCGAGCCATTAGAGGCAAAAACGTCCCATTGACTTCAATGCAAACCACAGTTTTTGATCCTGCATCATCTGCAGCTAGTAATCATGCTTTCTGTGATGTTATGGTTTCATTTTGGACAAAAGTAGTCAAATTTATTATTTTTACTGTTCACCACCAAATTCTGTCATTTCTCCATACGTTGCCCAGGCGAGAAAGCTAAAAACCCTTACAAGCGGACGTTTTTGCCCTCTAATGACTCTTTTGTATGAAAGTTAAAGTGAAGCCTGAGGGTTAAGGTCGTTTCTGTCAGAGTCAGGCTGATGTTGATGTCAGAAGACCCAATCAAAGGTAGAAGTACTCGCTCACTGTTAAGTGTACCAACATGTGTACTTTCTAGGGTTCTCCTGGTGAGAGAGGTTCTGCTGGAACCGCTGGACCTGTGGGACCTCCTGGCAGACCAGGTCCTCAAGGACCACCAGGACAAGCTGGAGAGAAGGGCGTTCCAGTGAGTTATCAGGACGTTTTTAATCAGTAACACAAACCTAAAATATATCCTTTAACTCGGCGTGGCGAGCTAAAGACGGAATAACTTCAGATGTTCTCCTTTACAGGGCGAGAAAGGCCCCATTGGCCCAGCAGGGCGGGATGGAGTCCAGGGTCCAGTGGGTCTGCCCGGCCCTGCTGGATCACCCGGAGTACCTGGAGAGGATGGAGATAAGGTGAGTAACTCCACATGACCGTCCCAAGACTTTAGTCACAGTCGACACAAAACCGACTTCTACATTATTTTAGTTATGGGACATTTTAGATCCTAATTATAGATATTCCTTATTAAATCCTTTACAATGTTCATTATGTCCTCTTTTTAAATATTAAACGAGGTTCCTTTTGCTTCGGACATGAAGGTGTTTCTAGTTACCTTTACATGTTTCGACCGTCGTCTGCGGTCTTCAGAAGTGTCACAGGTGTTTGTGTGACGCGTCTATCAGCTGTTCTTCCGGTGGGCGTGGCCAAGCCGGATCTGTCAGATCCGCCGGGTCGGTCACGCCCACCTCCGCTGGCTGGTCTTTGGAGAAGGGAATCCCAGGTGCGAGACAGCTGATAGGCCCCCTCGTCTCTGTTCATGTTCCCGTTTCCTTATTTCTGTTGCCTCACAAGGACAACAACAAAAAAAAAGCAGAGGAGCAAACCCTCAAGTCAGCCATGTCAGATTGTTGCAAACGAAATAATCACATCATGGACTGGGATCAAGGGAAAATTATCAACACCGAGAACAACCGGTTCAAACGTTGGGTCAGGGAGGCAATAGAAATAAGGAAACGGGAGCATGAACAGAGACGAGGGAGCCTATCAGCTGTCTCGCACCTGGGATTCCCTTCTCCAAAGACCAGCCCGCTCCGGGTTGGCCACGCCCACCGGAAGAACAGCTGATAAAGACGCGTCACACAAACATCTGTGAGACTTCTGAAGAAGACCGCAGACAACGGTCGAAACTAGAAACACCTTCATGTCCGAAGCAAAAAGAACCTCTAATATTCCTCATTAAATATTCTAAATGAACGTGCATCTATTATCCTGACCAATAATAGTCGTATGTGCTCAAACTTTGATAAAACGTGTCTTCAGGGTGAAGTTGGAGAACACGGTCAGAAGGGAGCCAAGGGGGGGAAAGGAGAGCATGTGAGTGACTTAGTGAAGCCCTCGTGTGTCGTATTATTATTAATAATAATATTCATGTTTTAAAGCTAAAATGTGTGTTCTCATGTTAGGGTCCTCCTGGTCCACCTGGCCCAAACGGTCCAGTTGGCCAACCCGGTCCTGCTGTGAGTAGAAACAGATCAAAATGCTGATTTGGTGCTTGGATGTGGGCTGCATACCATTTCTTATCTCCTCTGTGGGGCAGGGGGCAGATGGAGAGCTGGGACCAAGGGGGCAGCAGGGACCTTTTGGAGCTAAAGGTGACGAAGGAACTCGAGGATTCCCGGGAGCTCCAGGACCTATCGGACTTCAGGTGAAAGAAGAAAAACCAATAAACAGTTTTCTGTTGGAGTCGCTCATGTTTAGGTTCCTGAGCTAAGCTGCTAACCAGTTTTTGGTTAAACTTCTTCTGGTCTACAGGGCCTGCCTGGACCATCGGGTGAGAAGGGAGAGACTGGAGACGTTGGGCCATTGGTGAGTTTAAAACAACTGGAGATGTGGCTTCTTTCTTCAACAGCAATAAAACTTTTTTATGTCTCCAGGGTCCTCCTGGACCTCCGGGACCCCGCGGACCTGCTGGACCCAACGGAGCCGACGTGAGTGCTTGGAGCTCTTCTAGTTGCTTCTGTAATTTTTACCAAGTCAGGTCTGTTAGTAGGAATTTTGTCTCTCATTACATTTGTTTCATGGTTGCATTTCAGGGACCTCAAGGTCCTCCTGGTGGTTTGGGTAATCCTGGACCTCTTGGAGAGAAGGTGCAGCATTGGAGGATTTTCCTGCATGACTTTAATGGTCTCTCATAAAATAGCTGCTATAAGACATTCAGTGTTTGCTCCACAGGGAGAGCCTGGTGAGGCGGGAGCACCTGGAGTTGTTGGAGAACCAGGAAAGAAGGTGAGTACCTGAGTGAGCCAAAGTCTTCTGATGCCCCGCTGACCGGTTAGCTAACAGCCGTGTTTTCGTTGTCAGGGTCTTCGTGGAGAACGCGGAGAGAAGGGAGAAGCTGGACAACCTGGAACTGCTGGACCTGCTGGAGGACGAGGACGACCTGGAGATGATGGACCCAAAGGAAACCCAGTAAGACGCAGTGAAGCAGTTCTTCTACCATCCAGACACCCAGACCTGTCACTTATCGTGACTGGTTTTGTAATTTCAGGGCCCAGTTGGTTCCCCTGGAGATCCTGGTGCTCCTGGTGAGGTTGGACCCAGAGTAAGTGTCTTTAGTTTTACAGACCATCTTCTGCACCACCGAACATCTCATCTAATCCTGATCGGCTTTGACTTCAGGGTCAAGATGGCGCCAAAGGAGAGAGAGGAGAGGACGGTGAAGCAGGAGAGTCGGTGAGTAAAACGATGCAACAGGAACATCAAACACGGTTTGTCCCCTAAATCTCATGGATCCATTTCCTGTTACAGGGTTCTCCAGGACCTCCCGGTGAGAACGGACCACCTGGTCCTCCAGGAAAAAGGGTAAAGTTTGATAGCCCAGATGGATGGATCCGCCTATCGCTTTTAAATAAGCATCCGATAGATAAATTATTCCTAAACTATTTTATTCATCAGGGACCTGCTGGGACCAGAGGACCGGAGGGCCGACAAGGAGAGAAGGGAACCAAAGTGAGTCGTTTTTACAGATGATCAACATGCAGATTTAAACACTAGAAAACCCTTAACTCATTCGCTGCCAGCGTTTCTCACCGTTTTTTTAAGAGTCACAGGACGTTGCGCGCTAGGATGATGTCAACGCCAAAGCTACCAAAACAAAGCGGAGACCCGCCTCTTACATCAGGAAGAATCCGCGCGTTTCGAGCGTTATCCGTTCTTTCATAATCCGTTGTTGAATTGTGATCGGCAGAAGCTTTTCCGGTTCGTGCCTCACTTTTTTTTACAGCAGCGGCCCAAAACGATCTAACGCATGGATGTTCTGCTTCCTGATCACGTGACGTGTGACGTACGCGGATGAAGATCGGCTTTAGAGCTGAGATGTTTGTTCTCACAGAGCGGGGGCTCGTCCGACGCCCACACAGTAAAGACATGCAGTGAATGAGTTAAAGAGGACGTCTCCTGATCCCGTTAAGTAAATCATTTCCATCCATAAAAATAGTAATTTTACATTTACAAAAGTAAAGCTGGGAATTATGAGCTTTGTTTAAACAGCTTCATTGTTCTAAGCTTCAGTCAAATTAATAAATTACATTAATTTTGTGATTTTATTACTCAAACTCTTAACATGTCAAAATAAAAATATACATTTCAGCACATTTAGATTCAGATCAGCCTCCAAAGCAGTGATGGCCATTTCTGCTCCTGGAGGTCTGCTAACCAGCGTGTTTCAGGTGTTTCCCTGCTGACTAAAATCAGATGTTGGAGCAGAGAAACAACTAAAACATGCTGGGTAGCGGAGGACCTGGATTACAACATAAAACGCACTTTAAGCCTACAGAGTTTCTCATGCAGAAGTAGAAAATTAACACGCTGATGGTTCTCGTCACCTTTAGGGGGATCCAGGTGCCGTCGGGCCCCCAGGGAAGACCGGCCCCGTTGGTCCTCAGGGTCAGCCGGGAAAACCGGGAACAGAAGGTCTCAGAGGACTTCCAGGATCAGTGGTGGGTTTTCCTGGGAATCAGAATCAGCAGCGTTTGCATTTAGTTAGAATCCAGCAGCTGATCCTGTTTGATGTTTCAGGGAGAGCAAGGATCTCCAGGATCTGCTGGACAGACGGGCCCACCTGGACCTATCGTAAGTCAATGACATCATCACTATTCACTAAAGCTGGTTGGTTAAATGTGAGTTTACCTTTTCCTCACCTCCTCCTCTGATGTGCTGCAGGGACCTCCCGGTCTACCTGGCCTGCGTGGAGATCCTGGTGCAAAGGGTGAGAAGGGTCACCAGGGTCTCATCGGTCTGATCGGACCTTCAGGAGAGCAGGGAGAGAAAGGAGACCGGGGCATGCCTGGGCCTCATGGATCCACCGGACCTAAAGGAGAACCTGTGAGTTAACGTCATGAGCAGCAGCTCCACGCCGGTTATCATTTATTATAAAACGTGTCTCCCTACAGGGCATGGCTGGAGGTACTGGACCTCTGGGTCCTGCTGGTCCTCCTGGGCTTCCTGTGAGTTTTTTACCATCTTATTCAGATCTTCTTGTCATTGTTGGAAAACTGACATCTGCTCTGTTTTTCAGGGTCCGCAAGGTGTCAAAGGAGCAAAGGGCTCCAGTGTGAGTTGGTGTTTGCACGGCTTTAGTTGAGGCGTGTTAACAAAATGTTTAAATGGCTGATTCTAAAATCTTTCTGCTTTAGGGAGGAGCAGGTCCAAAGGGAGAGAAGGGTGTGCAAGGACCTCCTGGGCCACCTGTAAGTTTAATACTTGTTTAAATACTTCATAAAAATCGGAGTTAAATTAGATTCTTCTGTGCCAGGGTCCCCCAGGCGAGGCCATTCAGCCTCTGCCCATTCTGAGGAGTCCCAAGACTAAACGCTCCATCGATGCCAGCCAGCTGCTGCCTGAGTTCGACCCCGACGCGCCAGCCTCCGACACCGCTGGTACGGAGTTCCTGATGGGCAGTGAAGGCATGGAGGAGATCTTCGGATCCCTGAACTCGCTAAGGCAGGAGATCGAGACGATGCGTTTCCCTCTGGGGACTCAGGACAGTCCGGCTCGCACCTGCCAGGACCTGCAGCTCAGCCAGCCGGACCTCCAGGATGGTGAGAGGATCACATGCTGCTTATTCGGGTTGTTTTCGGTTTCCTTTAGAGTAAAAGCCACCAACACAAACACCACCAGAGCTTCTGTAACTTCTCACCTTTCTGCAGGAGAGTACTGGATTGACCCAAACCAAGGCTGCTCCAGAGACTCCTTCAAGGTCTTCTGTAATTTCACTAAAGGAGAGACGTGCCTGTACCCCAGAGACGTTGACACGGTCAGTCAGACCTAAATCATCATAGAAACATCAAACTAAACTGGTTTAACTGATGCCACGGGAACCTTTCTGACTGCAGGTGAAGATGAGCTCCTGGGACAAGGAGACTCCAGGGTCGTGGTACAGTCAGTTCACCACTGGTAGCAAGGTCAGTAACACTCGGAGAGGTTAAAAATGGCCGCCGCCATGACCTTCACTCGTTTACTTCCTGATCTCAGTTCTCCTACGTGGATTTGAACGGCGAGCCCGTGGGCGTGGTCCAGCTGGGCTTCCTGCGCCTCCTGAGCGTACAGGCCCGTCAGAACCTTACCTACCACTGCCACCGCTCCGTGGCCTGGGCCGACCGAAGCGCCAAGAACAACCACAAGAGGGCGCTGCACTTCAGAGGCGCCAACGAGGAAGAGCTGAGCTACGAGACCAGCCCTTACATCAAAGCCTTGGTGGATGGCTGCTCCGTGAGTTCACAGCTGATTCTGAGTGTGTGTTCTGGGCGGGTTCACCTGGAAATCTGACGCGTGTCCCCGTCTCTCTCCACAGTACCGGAAAGGCTTCGACAGGACGGTCCTGGAGATCAACACGCCTCAGGTGGAGCACCTCCCTCTGCTGGACATCAAGGTGTCAGACTTTGGGGAGAGCAACCAGCAGTTTGGGTTTGAAGTTGGACCTGTCTGTTTCCAAGGCTGAACACTCTCTCTCTCTCACACACACACACACACACACACACACACACACACACGATAAACATACAGGCCCAGTAATTTGTAAATTAACTTGTAAATGATATAAAAACACACACACACACTCGCCTACGTGCCTCTGGAGCCCTCCCAGCAAAACATGGACCAAAGAGAGGAAACATCGACTGGGAGGAAAATAAACAGGAAGAACGACGTTCCTGGGAATCAAACAAAGTGTTCTTCAACGGGCCTGGACCCAGGCTTACTCCTCCCTGCTGACACCTTCATCCACTTCCTGCTCCACCTCCCCTCCTCTTTAAGAAAAGGTCCACGATCAGACGTTACCCTACTTCTGTAATTCCCACATGCAGCAACAGGACCAACAGTTTCACACCCGAATCTATTCTTCTAAAGCCAGATTTGTCCTAATCTAAGCATCGGTTACGTCACATCCTGTCACTTCTAATAAAGCAAGCAGGGAACGGACCACATGCCACCAGCAGGCTCTGATCGGAATCGTCTTTCTGCTCTAAAAGCTTTATTATCTAACATTGTGCCTCAGAGCTCAAACGGATCATTAGAATATATATATGTGGTGCTTTTTAAAGGTTAGTGAGACCAGAGAGACGGTGAAGCGAGACTAAAGCCATCACGTACCTGAGTGGCCTCCAGACACCACTTCAGTATTCCGGTGCTGATCCAGACCCGGTGTTTTCTGTTCCTGCAGCAGAGAATAAAAATGCACACGTTACTGAGTGAAACTGTGGAAAGGTGCTAATTCTATAAAATAAAGTCCTCCATTTTAGTCTCTTCTAGGGAAATGTGCATTACATTTGTACAGAAATAGTGATATTCTATTGTATTTATTTAAAACCAACTGGGTGCTTTGAGATTAAAATAAGAACCGAGGATTATTTCTAGCAGACGTGACTTTCAGTTGTATTTATTTGATGCAGCTCGACTGCACAGCTGTGATGCTTCTGTTCACACCTCCACCAACCAAAGAATCTGGCCGTGACTAAAACTGTAATCCCTCCCTTATCTAGTTTCATCTGTACTGTGCTGTTTCCACTGCCATGATTAAACGGTGACTCCACTTCTCACATTCCTGTTTTCTTGCTGCAGTTTGACTCGACAGGTTTGTTCCTGTGTTTAGTGAAACCGAACTACATTTATTAAATAAAATCTTAATTATTTTAATATTTAGAGAGGAGTGAGGGTGAGAGAAGGGCAGTGACACGGTGGAGATGAACATCCGTCAGCAGGGACTGAGTGAAAAGTGATTTCTGGTTCTACGGGGCCGTTTTAGTTTTATTTGTTTTAATTTTTTATATAATTAACTGGTGGGACAGTCAGAACATAAAGAATCTGTCCCTTAAAGAAAATGACCTCAACTATTTGTTTTCATTGTGTTGAAGACATTTCAACACAAACATGGTGCTGAAGAAAAAAGTATTTTACGTCTGTAAGTAATTTTAAAATCGTGTTTCTGTAATATATCATCTTTTTAAAAAGAGCTGCTTGACTCTTGTTTTTATTAACACTTAATGTGGAAGTGATAAAATTTTAAGTGTTGCTATTTGAGTTTATCAAAACTTCTGACTAAATTTGGGTCAATTTAAGAAAATGTACTTTAAAGAATTTGTAATGTGTAATTTCCATGAGCCTAGAGTGTTAGACTCACCATCACACAGAAGCTAGCTTTAGCTTTTTCCTCGACATTAGTTTCTACCCGGCGCCATCTGGTGGACATCCGCGGCACTGCTCCTCGTTTCAATTTGTCGGAGCTGATAAATAAAAAAAATTATAAAAACAGTGGAAAACGATCAAATATATTTCTGTTAATCTTTAAGATGTAAATACATATGGTAGTTTACATATTTTACAATTAGCGATTTCAAAACTTAATAAAAATCAAAAGTTTTTTGAACACAACAAAAAAAACTAATATTTTTCTACTTGGTTTTTTTAGACCTTGTTGATTACTTTCGCTGTTTTTTCCGTAATTGGACTCGATATTAAACAATGAAACAAGCTGTTTAAATAAAGTAGTTAAATATAAACTAACCGGTGACCAGAGTCAGCCTGGCGGTAGCCGCCATGACAGTTTTTTGTTGTTTATGTAATATTCAGTTGTCCGCTAGAGGGCGTCTGTTACCTTTACGACAATTTTTTATTGTTTATTTTTTACTTTAATGTTTATAGTTTACTAGTTTTAAGTTACCCAAACAAGTCTTAAATCACGAGCCTAGAGTGTTAAACTCACCTTCATCACACAGAAGCTAGCTTTAGCTTTTTCCTCGACATTAGTTTCTACTGCTCTTCATTGTCCTGAAGGGATTTTTATGTCTCCACTGGCTGAAAGGGTCTGCTTACCTTTACTAGACGGTGAAAAGGCGCCATCTGGTGGACATCCAGCGGCACTGCTCCTCGTTTCAATTTGTTGGAGCTGATAAATAAATAAATAAATTGTAAAAACAGTGGAAAACGATCAAATATATTTCTGTTAATCTTTAAGATGTAAATACATATGGTAGTTTACATATTTTACAATTAGCGATTTCAAAACGTAATAAAAACCAAAAGCTTTTTGAACACAACAAATAAACTAATATTTTTCTACTTGTTTTTTTTAGACCTTGTTGATTACTTTCGCTGTTTTTTCCGTAATTGGACTCGATATTAAACCATGAAACAAGCTGTTTAAATAAAGTAGTTAAATATAAACTAACCGGTGACCAGTCAGCCTGGAGGTAGCCGCCATGACAGTTTTTTTGTTGTTTATGTAATATTCAGTTGTCCGCTAGAGGGCGTCTGTTACCTTTACGACCATTTTTTATTGTTTATATTTTACTTTAATGTTTATAGTTTACTAGTTTTAAGTTACCCAAACAAGTCTTAAATCACGAGCCTAGAGTGTAAGACTCCCCTTCATCACACAGAAGCTAGCTTTAGCTTTTTCCTCGACATTAGTTTCTACTGCTCTTCATTGTCCTGAAGGGATTTTTATGTCTCCACTGGCTGAAAGGGTCTGCTTTTCTTTACTAGACGGTGAAAAGGCGCCATCTGGTGGACATTCAGCGGCACAGCTCCTTGTTTCAATTTGTTGGAGCTGATAAAAAAAAATTGTAAAAACAGTGGAAAACGATCAAATATATTTCTGTTAATCTTTAAGATGTAAATACATATGGTAGTTTACATATTTTACAATTAGCGATTTCAAAACTTAATAAAAACCAAAAGCTTTTTGAACACAACAAATAAATATTTTTCTACTTGTTTTTTTTAGACCTTGCTGATTACTTTCGCTGTTCTTTCCGTAATTGGACTCGATATTAAACCAGGAAACAAGCTGTTTAAATATAGTTAAATATAAACTTTTTTTAAAACAAGTTTTATTTAACCAATGAAGCTTACAGGCTTACATAAGAATCAGTATTTACAGTTGAATTCTGAGCATGACAAAAAAAAAAAAAAAGCAGGTGTACAAACAGAAACAATAATATTAACCTAGCTCAATATCAACCTGCAGAAATTATAACCAAAAAAAATTATATATTACATCAAATAACATTAGGGTTAAAGGAAACATTCACCAAATTATTATAGAGCCAAATGGCTTTCTTGGAACTACATAATTTAAGAGAATCCATAAAGTATGCAAGTTCTTTCAAAACAACAATAAAGATCGGTTTGATATTGCCAAATTTACATTTGTGTATTAAGAATTTAGCGAAAATAATCAAATCATTGACAGTGAATTGCTGCATTTTATTTTCCAAAATAATACCATACTTGATGTCAGAAAAAGATAAGGAGCGTATAATGAAATTGTTATGCGTTAACCACGAGTGAAAACTATCCCAGAAACATTTGGTAAAGATGCATGTGAAGAATAAATGTATCTCAGTTTCTATATTAGAAGTGCAAAAGGCACAGTCGTTCTCTCCAATATTAAATTTAGACTGCAAGAAATCTTTGCAAGGATAAATACTGTTTATAGTTTTAAAATGAACTTCCTTGGCTTTAGGAGGGATTGAGAATTTGAGATAGTTGCATCTAATGTTTTTAACATCAGAATTACTAAATTGACGTACTAATTCCTGTCTTCTAAGAGGTAAGGGAAAGAGGACGTCAGTGAGCCAACATCTAAGGATTTTATTATTGCAGTTCCTGTCCACAAAAGAACAGTTCTTAATTGTTAAAGGAGGCATTATTGGAATAAGGCGAGAGTACAACAAAGTGCCTTTCAAATTAGCATATATAGCTGGTGGGATTGCCTTGATTACCTCGGCATATTGCTTAGAAGAACAAGTTAGGTTAAATTTGCGATTGAAAGCCGTAAAATTAAGAAATTCTCCATTCTGGTCCATCAAATGCAAAATGGACCATACTCCATGGAGATGTCAATCATTAAAAAAAAAGATTTCCTTTTAATCAGGATATAACGGTTGTTCCATATTGGCGTGTTGTGCGGTGTGAAGTTATGTGTATACATTAATTTCCAATATTGTAGAACTTGCTCGTGAAATTTGGATAACTTAATAGGGAGTTTGGATAATTCAAAGTCACATCGAAGAAGCAATAGGATTCCGCCTACACTGGAGAAAATTTTAGCAGGAAGATTAAACCACAACATATTTATATTCTTTATAAAATTTTGTAGCCATTTTAACTTAAGTGCACCATTCATTATATCAAAATCGATTGCATTGAGACCCCCTTCCGCTATTGATTTGATGATGTCATTCCTTCTTATATAATGATGTCTGTTTTTCCATATAAAGTTAAAATTGTTTTGGTTAATTTCTTTAATAATATTTTGAGGAATTCTTAGAGAATAAGCCGGATAGATAATTCTTGACAATCCTTCCATCTTGGATAGAAGTAATCTACCAAAAATTGAGAGATCTCTTTGTAGCCATATGTTTAAAATACTTTTACTCTTTTTAATTAAGCTCTCAAAATTACATTTTTCTCTCGTTTCTAAGTTTTTTGAGATTGTAATGCCCAAATACTTGACTTGATCTTTAACAGGTATGCCATGCAGAGTTGTTTGAGGATGATCATGAATGGCCATTAATTCACATTTATCTATGTTTAAATAAAGGTCTGAGGCTTCTGAAAAACAACTAACTACTTGTAAAGCAATTGGGATCTGTTCCTTATTTTTAAGGAAGAGCGTAGTATCGTCTGCCAGTTGAATTATAGCTAACGAATTACCAAAAACATCTAATTTCTCTATCTGACTATTCTTAATCATGATGCTGAGAATTTCCACGACCATGATAAAAAGCAGAGGGGAGGCTGGACACCCGTCGGATGCCTCTTTCAATGTTAAAACGTTTGCAGGTTCCAGATGGCAACAGTACAGTACTATTAATATCCCTGTATAAGGTTTGAACAATTTCACACAACTTTGTTCCAAAGCCAAAATGGTGTAACGTGTCTAACATGAAGGAATGGTTGACTCGGTCAAAGGCTTTGCAGAAATCCAAAAAAAGAACAAAGCCATCATCCTCAATTGTGTCCCTGTAATCTAACAAATCTAGGACCAACCTAATGTTATGTATGGAGCGACCCCTGATAAACCCAGATTGGGAATCGCTGATGATTTGTAAAATACCTTCTTTGAGCCTATTAGCCACAACATGAGCGAGTATTTTGTAGTCCACATTAAGGAGCGTAATTGGTCTTAGATTGCTTAGAATTTTTTTTATCTTTGCCATTCTTCAGAATCAAAGAGATGAGTCCTTGTTTGATCTTTAATATTATTCCAAAAATGTTTATAAAAGTCAGATGTCAGACCATCTTGACTAGGGGATTTCCCAACGGAAAGTTGTTTGACTGCTGCCTCTACTTCAAAAATCTCAATCTCTGCATCACATATCATTTTAAATTCCTGACTGATTTTTGGGATGAGATGTGTAATATTATCCAATAGGTTTGATTCATTGCCACTAGATGATGAATAGAGGTCTTTATAAAATGTATAAACTTCTTCAGCAATAATTTTGGTATCCGTGCATTCTACATTGTTGATGATAAGTGAATTAATTAAATTCCTCTCCTGTCGTCTTTTTTCAAGTCCACAAAAGTATGCGGTATTGCGTTCACCTTCCTCAAGCCATTTCGCTCTTGATCTAATAAAAGCACCTCTGTTAAATTTAAACTAACCGGCGACCAGTCAGCCTGGCGGTAGCCGCCATGACAGTTTTTTGTGGTTTATGTAATATTCAGTTGTCCGCTAGAGGGCGTCTGTTACCTTTACGACCATTTTTTATTGTTTATTTTTTACTTTAATATGTTTATAGTTTACTAGTTATAAAGAGATCCAAACAAGTCTTAAATGAACAAAAGGTCTCAACTCCAACCAAACATGCTTAAGTTACTAACAGGAAATGAACCCTTTACTTTTCTTGGTAACTTGATATTTCCATCGTGGCCACAAGGGGGCAGAGTAACACTTGTTTTCTGTTTGCACCGAAGCTTGCTAAACTGATCTTTCTCCTCTTGTCTGGTTTTATGACAAGTTTAGTGAAACCAGACCTAAAGTACAATATTTGTACCACATTTTTAGATTTGATTGATTAAAAATCTTCTCTTAAATTTTACAGTTTTAATCAGTAATAATAATAATAATAATAAAATACAATTATTGTAAAGTCGTTAGCATGGTCCAACAAACATATGTAGAAAAATAACTCAATAATAATAATAATAATAATAATAATAATAATAATAATAATAATAATAATAATGTTTTATTTTTATTAATATTATTATTATAAACAGTTATTTTTCTACATCTGTTGGACCATGCTGAAACTTCACACAGCTCAGTTAGAACAAATCCTAAATCTGGACAAATAAAGAAATAACTTATTTGAATTTTTATTATAAACTTCATGATGACATTTTTATTGCCCTACTGAGCTCCAGCACTACTACAGATCAGAACTCCTTTTGTTTTTCCTCTGAACCATAACCAGAAACACATCTAATTATGACTGAATGTGGAGTAAAGACACAAGACTTGCCACACCTGCTGGTTCCTCGCCTGTGCAACGACGCTGCCCAAAGTAATGATGGATGCTTTAGGAGCTCCACGGGCCACCAGAGCCGGAGGCACCAAGAATGAACCCTGAAAGGAAAGATGAGGAAATAAATGTGTTGTTTCTAATCACTGGTTGTACTTTTAGATTTGATGTTAAATCTAAATCTGTGTTTTGATGTTAAATTTCTTTTATCCTGAATTCTGAGTCTGTTTTTTTAGACACTCAGTGGAGCGTCTCAAAGCTCTCCTATCTTCAGGTTGACCCTTTGCTCCTTGTCGTGTTGAGCAGGAAGTCATCCTGAGGGATAACTGGTGTACACACACACACACACACACACACACACACACACACACACACACACACACACACACACACACACACACACACACAATATCTAGAATGAGGACACCAAAGCGCTTTACACAGAGTATCATTCATCCATTCACACCCCGGTGGTGATGAGCTACGTTGTAGCGCGGCTGCCCTGGGGCGCATTGACAGAGGCGCCACCGGTCCCTCAGACCACCACCAGCAGGTAAGGCGGGTTAAGTGTCTTGGCCAAGGACACAAAAGCAGAAATCTCTGTCCAGAGTCAGGATCAAACCTGCAACCTTCCGATTACTGAACAAGCCACGCTACCTGCTGAGCTGCTGCTGCCCCAAGACAGTTTTTTACATCTACATACTGGAAATGAATAATCCAGAATATATTTAAACACACATATTTTATTGTAAACCCCAAACTTCCACTTTTCCTGTTAAACATCTGATGTGTTTCAGACTTCTGACTGGGGTCAGACCATGTCATAAAGTGGGTGAGAACAGTCACCAGTTTAATCTCATTTAACTAACTAGTTCCTGTTTAACCAGGTTACTTTTATTCTGTGGTCTGCAGACAACATGAACTCCTCTGGGTTTGTTTATGTTCTGCATTCAGTTACTGAATATGTGCAATATTATCATTATCATTATTATTATTATCATTATTATTATTATTATTATATATATACAGTATATATATATACTGGTTTACAGCAGCTCCTAAATATCTGCTCTGAATATGGTGTGCAGTACGATATTCAGTATAATGCTGTTAAAAGTGCTATCTTGATATGTAGAACTAAGCAGATAAAAAGTTAAACTTTCCTGTGTTCAAACTGTCTAATAGTGATCTTAATGTGTGTGAGAAGGTGAAATACCTTGGCCATTTTATAACTGATCAAATGCGTGATGATGCTGACATCCACAGACAGTGCTGTAAGCTGTATGCACAAGCTAACACTATAGCACGTAAGTTTAGTTTTTGTTCACCTCCAGTTAAGGTGGCTTTATTTAAAGCATACTGTACTCCGCTCTAAACAGCCCAACTGTGGTCATCCTACAATCAAAGCAGCATGAATAAGCTGCAAGTTGCACACAACGATGCCTTAAGGATCATACTTAAAATACCCAGAGGGGGCAGTGCCAGTCAGATGTTTGTAACAGCAGGCGTTTGTACTTTTAAAGCACTTTTACAGGCCGACTGGATAGCTCTGCCAACAGTATAATTTTAGCAATCACTGATCCTGCTGTGAGCAGTTGTCGCTATTTGTCCAGTATAAGGAAACACTGGTTGAAGTGTTTGTGTGGTTAACCTTGTGTGGAACAGTGTATAGTAAAGTTTTTAAATTACATTTAGATTTTAATTTAGTTTTATGCTGTTATCTTTTTATTTCTATTTTATCTATTTTGTTTCATTGATCTGTTGTTTTATATACATTTTATCTAGAACTAAGAGTCTGTCAATAAAGATTATCTATCTATCTATCTATATATATTTTATCATCATTGCTCAAATCAACTCACAGATGTTAGGAATAGACATGTTTGCTGTTCTGTATATCTAGTGTAACTTCAAATCATTTATTTTTCCTGTTTTTGGTCTAACTGTGATCATGGAGGGTAGCACCACGACTAAAGTGGTGGAGAATTAGCAGGAGTGAATCAAGTGTTCAGTTTTACAACTAAACCAACAAACTATGTTCAAAAATGAGAAAGATCCTAATTTAAATGTTCATTCGACGCAAATAAAGTTAAAATAACAAATACGAATATGAAAAGCACAAAGCTACACCAACCTGCTTTTCCTCCTTCCTGCACAGGTTCAAGTAATTATCCTAATGACCCAGGTGGGCTCCCTTAGACTGTACCATTTACACAGGTAGAGCTAAACAAACCCACAACTAAAGTTAACCCAGCTGTAAAAATGACAATAAAAGATTCTTTACTTCAGTCAGAGAAACAACGTTTTATGTCAGAAGGAAAGTAAATAAATTAGTCACTCATGTTTATGTAAAAATGTATGGAATCGTTACTGCTCACCTTTAATATCCAGCGGATTGGCGCCATCTAGCGGACGTTTGTTGGTAGTACTCCTCTTCGTCCTTCAGCTGTGGAGAAAAAGTGAAATCGTGTTAACTCTGTCAACTTTCTGTAGATCTAATAAGTACAAATATTTGACAGTTTTATAAACTTTTAATTTAAGATTTATAAAATACTGAAGGCTTTTTGGAAACAAGAAAAGATTTTTTTTTCTGCAAGTTTGATGGACCATGCCGGTAGTTTCTCTGGTATTTTTACTGTGGTCTGAGTCGATATAAAACCAGGCAATAAGCATTTATAAAATTATTAAAAATTACAAACTAACCTGTGTAATCCTTGTCAACCTTCCTATGAGTCTGGTACGACGGTTTTCTAGGTTGGTGAAGGCTAGTCATCGTATTTTATTTAATGTGTGCATATTTTACCGCTTACTAAGTGAAATAAACAACGTTAAAGTCAACAAAATGTCTCAACTCTCGCATCAAATCTGTTTTATTTTGAAGGCACCAACAGGAAGCGAACCTTCTACATGTCTTGGCCAACTTGACATCAATGCTGCAGTTCTCCTTTCTCGCCACAAGAGGGCAGAAAACCCCTGATCCCCACACGAATGTCCATATTCGGAGTCCTGTGTCGTTAATGTGGGCAGCGCAAACTAGATGGAAATGGTTTCATCTTTAAACACTCCCATCCTAAAGGTTTTTCAGTTATTGGTAAAGTAATTTTAATACGTTTTGGTAATTTGAGGCTCAACCGGGAAAAGCAGACTGATAAATAAAATTATATTTGTTTTAGTTAAACAAATACATTTTGGCTGAACAAACACGGATTTTTGTAAAACATTTCACCTGTTTTATTTAGCTAATAAAACATAAACGTTAGCTTTTAATTCGGCCCGCCAGAGGGTAATAATAAATCAGTTTCACCATTCATTTCTATTTAATATCCTTTTAGAAAATCAATAATTTAAAAATACATATTTTAAATCTCACGTGTCTCAGCTGTCATTTATATTATTTATTATTTTAACCTGAAGGAAGAGAGCAACGTCACGAAGGATGACTGACAGCTTCCCTCCAGCAGAGGGCGCCCAAGGCAACCACCGGCCCGGTCTGCCAGTTTTATTTTGAAACTACTGGCAGGAAGTAACACATTTAACTTGACACGATGAAACCCGAGGAAGATTTAATTAATTATCAGTCTTTTTGTTCATTTGTTTGCTTATTTGTTCTGTTTGGGGTTTGTTTTTATTTTGTTTATTTATATGTTGTTGTTAGTACTTCCTGTTCATTATCCTTCTTCTATATGTTGGAATTCAGCCTGTTCTGGTACTATCTCATGTTGGTAAAACTGATTCTTTGTAGAGATTGTTATAATTGTTGTACATTATATTTTGTGCAAAAAAAAAAACCGAGGAAGATAAGTGACAAATAATTCCGCAAACACAGTTAGTAACTAAATACGTTTTTTTTAGATTAAAAAAAATTACAAATGTATTTTCTTTAAACATTAATGTAACTGATGAAAAGCAATAATATGTAAATTAGTCAGATCAACCTTTATTTATATACAGATGAAACAACAGAGGCTTTCTGACAAACTCCTGCTTAAATCTGAAGCTTTTGTCACATGGTGGAACGTCTGCATGATAATTAAAGCCACAACGACAAACCAAACCCTGGTTTAAGTCGTGTAAGTTTTAATAACTCCTTCTGTCCAGCATGGACACTCATAATAGCTTTGCTGTCTGTGTGTATGAGGCTTTATAAATAAGTCATAACTATAGAATCCGTTTAGAAAATTATAACCTGCAGTTTGAGAGCTGCTCATACTTTTACCACTGTGGTCGGCTGGGAGGATGAAGGCAGAGCTGAGATCAAAGTTCACTTAGAAAAAACTCTGCATTCTCTGATGGGCCTGAGATGCTCCGTGCTACAGCTTAGGGAGGTCGTTGTGCACCTGCAAATGTACGAGTGTGTGTGCTTGTGTGTGTGTATGTGTGCGTGCGTGTGTGTGTGCATGTGCATGTGTGCTTGTGCATGTGTGTGTGCTTGTGTGTGTGTTTGTGTGTGGGTGCTTGAATGTGTGTGTGCATGTGTGTGTGTGCGCTTGTGTATGTGTGCTTGTGTGTGTGTGCTTGTGTGTGTGTTTGTGTGTGTGTGTGCTTGTGTGTACTCACACGTCTTTTCTTGGCAGAACTTTGCCAAATACCAGACACACACTCCAGCTGACACGTTGACCTCGTCACCTCTCACCTTTACACAACAACCATATTGTTATTCACACAGAGCAGGAAGAACGTGTTATATTTACAACAACGCTACACACACACACACACACACACACACACACACACACACACACACACACACACACACACACACACACACACACACACACACACACACCTCAGTTTAATGTTAAAACTGGAAAGCATAAAACATTTTTAAAGAAATTTTTAAACTAAACTCTAATTATTGAAGTCATGAACAAGAATATTTATTCATGAATTTGCCAGGTTTGTTTTTTGTTTGTCTTTTTGACATCAGGCCAGTTGTTCAATTCAATTCAAAGATGCTTTATTAATCCCAGAGGGAAATTAGAGTTTCAGTACACACAAGTCTGAGATCAGACATACATACATAGGCAAAGACACATGACAAGAATTGGTGACTGTGGTCATTCGCAACCCGAGTCGCACTACCTTAATAGAGATCAGAGGGGTTTACATGAGGATTGGGTCAGGTGGAGGAAAAAAAGGCACTTCAGAGTTACCCTCCACAGGGAGGGCAGCTTTGCTATGAAAAAAACACCTCAGACAGAAATGCAACAGACTTCAGACATCACACAAAATAAGTGTCCACTAGGTGGGGAGGTAGGGTTGTGGACTCTCCACACATCAGTGCATGCAGCCGCGGTGAGCAGCGCTCGTCACCTCCGTTTGGACAGGGGAGGGAGGTCGTTAGGTTTAGAGAGCACAGTGACTCCTGGAACGATTCAACGGCCTTCACCGGTCGCAGTCCCGCCCAGGCTGGGATAGGGAGACAGAGTTGCCATGGTGACGGCAGCATTCCACATTTCTTCTGAGGGGGAGTAATCACTTCAGCTTCGCAGGCTCAAGGACACCAGATTCAGATAGAAATTGTTTTGGGGCCAGACAGATAATTTCCTCTCTGTCTTAAAGTTCCGTTGGTCCTCAACCCCTCTAAATCCAATAAGGGCGTAATTAATCTATCCCAATCCGTGTTGATCCATCCACTTTCTCCTTGATCGAATTCACCTTCTGTGCCAGAGCCTGAATCTCAGCCAAAGTTCCAAGCTTACGACTCATCTTGACAATTATATGAGTTTGTGCATTCACAGCGCGGTGCAATCCATCCCTGAGCTCCAGGATTGAGCCAATTCTCAACAGCTCGTTAATTTTCCGGTAAGCCAGGTAACCACTCAGGCCAAAAAGCAGGAAACCTGAGGCCAACACCACGAATATCCAGACGTCTTCAGAATCCTCTACAGACAGTTGAGAAAGGCAGATCAGGTTCCACTGTTTCCAGGAGTCCATGATATGCCCAGCTGGCTCTGTCCCAGAGGGGCATCTGGGAGCCCCTTCTCCCGTTCTCATCGTTGAAAAAATCTTGTCATTCGCGTTGAGAGACCAACTGACCAGATCCATTTTTAATAATTTCCAGTTTCCAGAAAGAATGCAGAAGCGCCGTCCACCCAAAGACAGACAAAGAGCCTTGTAAGATAAGATAGGGAGGAGAGGAGGAAAAAAGCGTATGTGCTCTCCAAGAGCCGGAAAAAGTTCTCTAAGATATTAAGATTTGCAGATTGACATTATCATTATTATAATTTGAACAATCAAATTAGCCTCTTTACACTCTTCTATTCATAATTTTAGGAATGTTGAGATGTTAGCTGATGGATAGCCACATCCCCTTTTGTTTCTACATGCGGCGCCTGTTCTTTAGAACGCCTTACCTTACGATCCGCCAGTCAGCTTCTATTGAAGCCTTAAAGTCATGACTAAAAACCCACTTTTATTTACATCTTGACTTGTTCCTTGTTAAAGTATTACTTTTAGTTCTTTTCATTCATATTTTTATTAGGTTTAACTCATTTTTTAGAATGGCCATTCTGGCAGTTTTACTTGTTTTATCCTTTGCTCTGTTTATCATATGATCCATGTTTTAGTACTTCTGTACGTAAGGAGCTTTGGTTGTCTCTCATGTTGTACTGAAATGTGCTCGACAAATAAAGTGGTATGACTATTTTCTGATTTAATTGATGATCTCTGATCATTTTTACATAATCGATCAAACCTTTCTCTAGATGGAGCGCTAATCTCAATTATTGACATGTTCTTGCTATTAAATTTACACTTTTGTCATTTAACCGGAAGCATCGTGTGTGTGTGTGTGTGTGTGTGTGTGTGTGTGTGTGTGTGTGTGTGTGGCTGCAACCTTCCATGCAACAAGGGTTAATTAAATCAGTTTTACTGCCATCTAGCGGTCATTTTGACGAATTTCAGTTAAATAAACATCAAACTTTAGTAGTTTCTCCTTTTATAAGGAACCTGCCTCCATGTGTAAATGTTGTTATGTGGCTGGTGTTGTCTGGAGAACAGCTCTGAGATAACTTCAGTCATGAAAACATTGTTTAAAGTCTCACTGACCCCAATTCAATCCAAGTTTATTTCTATTGCGCCAAATCACGACAAGAGTCGTCTCAAGGCACTTCACACTGCAAACATTCCGGTACAGGTCAGTTCATTAAGCTAATCCCATAGTTTAGTGTTCTATTATTCACCAACACATTATAATTTAGCTTTACCTTTTAAAGCTATTTTTATTAATAGCTCAGCTGAATGAGAATAAACCTTAATGAACAAATAAAATGTTAGAATCTGTTTAAATTAAATGTGAGCACATTTCATTTATTTAATGGCTTTATTCAGATATTTCTGAAACCTTCCACAAACCTTCCCACCCCAGCACACACACACGCACACGCGCACGCAAGCACACACACACACACGCACGCACACACACTTCCTTCCATGCTTCAGACATAATGTTCTCTTCTAAATCTGCAAAATTCTTAAAAATTCTGTTTCAAAACAGATCTTAAATCGACATAAAATCTCCATTGATCATAACTCCACACTCTCTACCAAGTCTTCTGTTAAAAAACCCATTCAGAAAACCTTTTCTCACATTTCTGCGTGAGCTTGTTCATTTAAACTCACATTACCCATTTTACCTGCATAATTTTAATTTCTTCATCTTGCACCCTCCCCTTTCCCCCTACCTGCTTCCCCTTGCTGATGCTTCTCTCCCCTTTTCTCTCTGGTGTAGAGTTACATTTGGCGGAGGTCTAGGCACCCATATGAATGCACCATTTGGCCTCTCTGGGTAAATGTTATCATCTGCAGACCCATCTGAATCACTGTTAGCTCTGAAACACTGGGGGTTACCCAAACATAAGCACCTCTGAAGGGATTTGCAGGAAATGAGAACAAAAACAAGGAAACATCGCATCAAATTTTATCCTATTTTCCTGTAAAATGTTCACTCCATCCGATGTTATAGCATTACTACGTTCATCCATCTTTTATTGTCAGGGTTGCAGGTGGATTCAACTCTTTTTTTCAGAATCTGCTTTGAAGAAATCCTGAGTTAAGTTTTGTAGCTAAAATAAGTTTGGTGGATTTTCACTTTTAACTTTCTGACTTTCTACAAGAGTTTGTTATACTTAACCCAGCGGTGTCCTCGGTGGTAAAGGGGGTCCCTAACAGCTGTGCTAGCTGTGATTTTACACATCTCAAGGTCAAATTACTTCATTTCTATATAAATATTTAGCTTTTTGGGGCACTAGAGTTTATTATTGTGGCTTTAGATCTTGCATTGATTTAACCAGAGAAAAGCATCAGTGACCCTGTAAGTTTATTATGGGGAGTGCCGCAGCAGGGCTGGCTGCAAATGGATTTAATTGACTGTTAAAAACTAAACTGGCTCTCTGCTGCAGCTCGAACACAGACCGAGGGAGGAAAACTGGGAAAATGTGAATACAGGTTCCTGTTTTAGTTCTATGGCTGCCTCACTTTAAACCTGTCCGTAACTGGTTTAACTGGGATAATTAGATTTAGTGGCTGCGCAGTGGCACAGTGGTTAGAGCTGCTGAGGGACTTCAATGCTCACGTGGGCAATGACAGCATGACCTGGAGGGGTGTGATTGGGAGGAACGGCCCGTCTGATCTGAACTCAAGTGGTGTTTCGTTATTGGATTTCTGTGCAAGCTGCAGTTTGCCCATAACGAACACCATGTTCGAACATAAGGATGCCCATCGGTACACTTGGTACCAGGGCAGCCTAGGTCGCAGGTTGATGATAGACTTTGTAGTCGTATCATCTGACCTGTGGCCGTATGTTTTGGACACTCAAGTGAAGAGAGGAGCTGTCAACTGACCACCTGGTGGTGAGTTGGATCAGATGGCAGGGGAAGATGCTGCGTAGACCTGGCAGACCCAAACGCATAGTGAGGGTCTGCTGGGAACGCCTGGCAGAAGAACCTGTTAAGACGGTCTTCAACTCCCACCACCGGCAGAGCGTTGACCGCGTCCCAAGAGCAGTGGGGGTCATCGAATCCGAGTGGACCTTGTTCCACTCTGCGATTGTTGAGGCGGCTATTGCTAGCTGTGGTTGCAAGGTGGCCGGTGCCAGTCGTGGTGGCAACCCCCGTACTCGCTGGTGGACACCAGAGGTTCGGGGAGCCGTCAGGCTGAAGAAGGAGGCCTACAGGGCGTGGCTGGTCTGTGGATCTCCTGCGGCAGCAGACAGGTACCGGATAGCCAAGCGGGGTGCAGCAGTGGCAGTTGCCGAGGAAAAATCTCGGGCGTGGGAGGAGTTTGGTGAGGCCATGGAGAAAGACTATCGATCGGCTCCAAAGAGGTTCTGGCAAACTGTCAGGAGAGGAAGGCAGCAACTCGCTCACATTGTTTACAGTGGGGATGGGGAGCTGCTGACGTCAACTGGGGCTACAGTCGGGTGGTGGAAGGTGGTGGAATCCCACCTACGCGCATTCCGAGGAGGAACCAGAGCCGGGAGACCTGGGGATGGACTGTCTAATCTCGGGGGCAGAAGTTGCTGAGGTAGTCAAACAACTACACAGCGGCGGAGCCCCGGGGTCGGATGAGGTTCGTCCTGGGTATCTCAAGGCTATGGATGTTGTAGGGCTGTCATGGTTGACACGTCTCTACAACATTGCGTGGTCATCGGGAGCAGTTCCTGTGGAGTGGCAGACCGGGGTGGTGGTCCCCATCTTTAAGAAGGGTGACCTGAGGGTGTGTTCCAACTATAGGGGGATCACACTCCTCAGCCTCCCTGGAAAGGTCTACTCCAAGGTACTGGAGAGGAGGGTCCGATCGATAGTTGAATTTCAGATTGAGGAGGAGCAATGTGGTTTTCGTCCTGGCCGTGGAACTGTGGACCAGCTCTATAGCCTTGCAAGGGTGATGGAGGGGGCATGGGAGTTTGCCCAACCAATCCACATGTGCTTTGTGGATTTGGAGAAGGCTTATGACCGTGTCCCCAGGGGCACCCTGTGGGGGACGCTCCAGGAGTATGGGGTGGGTGGCTTTCTGTTAAGGGCCATTCAGTCCCTTTTCCAGAGGAGCGTGAGTTTGGTCCGCATAGCCGGTAGTAAGTCGGACCTGTTCCCGGTGAGGGTTGGACTCCACCAGGGCTGCCCTTTGTCACCGGTTCTGTTCATTACCTTTATGGACAGAATTTCTAGGTGCAGGGTGGGATGGAGTGTGTCGAGTTTGGTGTCAGGAGAATCTCGTCTCTGCTTTTTGCAGATGATGTGGTCCTCCTAGCTTCATCCAGTTCTGACCTTCAGCTCTTGCTGGGTAGGTTCACGGCCGAGTGTGAAGCGGCTGGGATGAGGATCGGCACCTCCAAATCTGAGACCATGGTTCTCGAACGAAAAAGGGTGGCTTGCCAACTCCGGGTCGGGAGAGAGGTCCTACCTCAAGTGGAGGAGTTTAAGTATCTCGGGTTCTTGTTCACGAGTGAGGGTAGGAGGGATCGGGAGATCGACAGGCGGATTGGTTCGGCATCTGCAGTGATGCGGACGCTGAGCCGATCTGTCGTGGTGAAGAAGGAGCTGGGCTAGGAAGCCAGGCTCTCGATTTACCGGTCGATCTACGTCCCAATCCTCACCTATGGTCATGAGCTTTGGGTAATGACCGAAAGAACAAGATCGCGAATACAAGCGGCCAAAATGAGTTTCCTCCGTAGGGTGGCCGGACTCAGCCTTAGAGATAGGGTGAGGAGCTCGGACATTCGGGAGGGACTCGGAGTAGAACCGCTGCTCCTCCGGATCGAAAGGAGTCAGTTGAGGTGGTTTGGGCATCTGGTCAGGATGCCTCCTGGACGCCTCCCTGGGGAGGTGTTTCTGGCATGTCCTGCCGGCAGGAGCCCCCGGGTCGACCCAGGACACGTTGGAGAGGTTACATCTCCAATCTGGTCCGGGAACGCCTTGGGGTCCTGCCGGAGGAGCTGGTGGAGAAGGCCGGGGAGAGGACGGTCTGGAGCTCCCTAGTTGGGATGTTGCCCCCGCGACCCGGACCCAGACCCGGACCCGGATAAGCGGAGGAAGACGACGACGACCTAAGTCAAACTTTTGTAATGCATGCCAGTGTTTGGTTTTTAAACCTTTGTTGATTTTGCTTTAGTTATTAGTGATGTTCCTAGACAGCAGGGCAGAGTAGCCATGAAGAGATACTGATGAAACTATTCATGTTAGATTGAGCAATTATTTAAAAAACAGCGTTAATATGGGAATGTGTGTTCAAGTTAGTTCTGAGATGCATGATTTGTTTTATGTCAGTACTTGTGTGTAAATAAAATTTGTCTTTTTAAAGAGTCAGTATTGTTTATTTGAAGTGTGTCAGGAAGCTGCAGCTCAGACTGGAGGTGGGTAAGCAAACTAGTTTAGTGTGTGACAGGATGATAGACTGGCTCACTGTCTAACTCTGTATTAGTGTTATATTAGAGCATCACAGGAGTTTGTGTGGATTTCAACATTTTAGATCCCATATTTATGTCATATGAATAGTAACATGACTGTGATACCAAATAAATATTAATTTGACTCAGTACTTTATCACATCAACAGCCACTCGTCCCAGCTGCTAACAGACGAGATCGTCTTCATTCAGATGGAAGCTGAGCTTTGCTGTGCCCACCGTGCACTCGCTCATAAATGGTGGTTGGACTGTTGCCCATCTCCTCCAGCACAGAGCATCCTTTCTTATAGTTTACCTAAATGTTCAGTGAACACCTCCTATACTACATCCCGTATCACGTTAGTACAGCTGAAACATTTAACATCAACTTTATTGAAAGCAGAGTCAGTAGAGCTGTAAAGTTGTTGGAAACAATAACTACATTATTCATCAAACTACTAAATAGCTTGCTTAATGGTATGTATGATATGAAATTGTAATTGTACGTCAAGTTTAAGCTACATAACATTTGATAAAGGGTTCATTGTTTGTTTATTTAGCAATAAAATTAATTTCTTCACTTGTTTCTCTTTTATCAGATCCAGTTGATGTGCTGCGGGCTCTGCAGGTTCCCTCTCTCCCCGAGGGTGTGAAGAAAGTCCCTGGCTTCCGCACATCCCGTCGCTCCAGCAGCCCTGATCATGCTTACCGCATCACCAAGAAGGCCCAGATCTCTGCCCCCACCAAGCAGCTCTTCTCAGGTAGTTCTCAGACTGATGCATAGTATTTAAGGTGACTGCTTCACAATAAAGATATTTATTTGTATATACTAAGTCATGTTTTAATATAGGTTTCATGATTTCACATAAAGAGATACTAAATTGATGTTTTTTTCTTCATATTTTCTAATGGTAAAATTTTTTTATGGAATTTTTATTTTTATAGTGGACAAAGTAGTGAATCTCATTAAATGTCATAGAAACAAATCTTTATGCTTTATATGAACGGATGACAAATAGAAAACCACATAAATTACCTGGCTATTCCAGTTGAAATGTGAAATTTTGTTAAGTAAAAAATTTTTGAGTCAAAATAAAAGTTATTTAATATATATAAACATTAAGACGTGCAGTAATGCTTTACTTTTTTGTAAGAAGAATTATGAAAAACATCTTATCAAAACGCCTCATTCATTCAATCAATCATTCATTCGTTGGTTGAACTTCAGAGGAAGCGCACGTGACCTTCAGGACAACTTCAGGCTAGGGCTAAGCTAGCTTTTATGGGCACCGATACAAGCCAAGATATTTGTCATAATAGATAGTTGGCGGTTTTTTAACATTTATTTTGTTGTTTTACCGTGAGTAACTGCGTAATATTAAGTAAAGGACAGGAAATAGTAGCGAATACAAACATTTATGCTTTCTAGCTAGCTAACGAGCAGCTAATGTTAGCTATCTATCGCTAAACGACTTTCCGCCTTCTTTGTCCTGATTTCTCCCATTAATATATTCATGTAAGTTTTGATGATGATGATATATTTAGATGAAAGATACGATGAACGTTTGTTTTGTGAAGCAAAGGTTTGCTTATAAATTCGAGGCTAGAGTATTTTGAATACTCTTAATTTCCCTCTGGGATTAATAACGTACATTTGATTTGATTGATTGTTTTATAATGTGAAACGTAATTATTGCAGCTTGCTAACTAGCTTAGCTTTGAATTAATTTTGAAGCCTTTTAAATTTCAGAGAGAAAGTTTGTGCTTTGTTCTGATTTGTTAATTTGATAATTATGTGATTCTGCACTTGTGAATAGAAAATAAAAAGCCTCACTTATGTTAAGTAAAATCTTCTTAAGTACAAAATGATTTCCACCTCTTTTTATGTTTGTTATTTTTTTGTACAGCCTGTTATTATTAGCTCACATCTTGATTCGTTCTGATGCATTTTAGTGTGGGTGAATTTCTCTCATTGCTTTATTTTCAGCGGTGCCACCAAACACAGCTCCTAGTGTCTTGTCTACTTTTTTGTGAACTATCACTTCTCATTTAGATGTTACCTGTATCTTTGATCAGTTCTTTCTATTTTATTTCCCTTATTCAAGTATTCACTATAGTCACTTATTCACAGCACCAGAGAGCCACTATATTTTATACACAGGGTATGGGTAATCTAAACACACTTTTTTCTAAAGGGCACATTTATATGATTTATTAAATCTTTTTATTGGGGCATTTCTACCTTTTCTGCTAATATTTATTAAGTTTTTTATCTTTCCTTCCACCTTTAGGGCGTTTCCCAGAGAACTTCTCCATCATGGCTCTGATAAAGGCCCAGGCTGGTCTCCAAGCTTTCCTCCTCTCTATCTACAGTGAGCAGGGCATTCAGCAACTGGGCATTGAAATGGGACGCTCGCCTGTTTTTCTGTACGAAGACCAGAATGGAAAGCCAGCTCCTGAGGACTACCCGCTTTTCAAAGGCATCAACCTGGCTGATGGCAAGTCAGTAACCAGCAACACCAGTTTGTGACTGGTTGAGATGAGTTATTTGTGGTTATGTGGGTGGTGGTGGTTAGGAATAGTATGATCTGCATGATGTAGGAGATGGTTGGTTTCTTTATTCTTTATTTGACATAAATGTTTGCTCACGGATTCTTCTTCTGTCACTAGGTGGCATCGCATTGCCTTCTCCGTTTCCAAGAAAAACGTGACTCTGCTGTTGGACTGCAAGAAGAAGATGACCCGTCCTCTTCCCCGGGGCAACAATGCTGTGATTGACACCAATGGCATCACAGTGTTTGGAGCTCGTCTGCTTGATGAGGAGGTTTTCCAGGTCAGAATCTTGAGAAAGTAAACCTTATTGTTAGGTGACTGAAAGCACTTCCACTGGTTCTACAAAGATTAAACATTTCTGTTGAGTCTGAGATCATAAATAAATTATAATTGTTTTTGTTTGTTTTACAGGGAGACATCCAGCAGCTGTTAATTGCCTCCAACCCTCAGGCGGCCTATGACTTCTGTGAACACTACAGTCCTGACTGTGACTCCCCTCTTCCCAAGACCCAGGCTCAGGACCCAAACACATACGTGAGTAACACCACAGAACAAGTCCATGCAAATATAAGTTTCACCAAGGTAGAATAGCTCGAATAACCATTATTCTTCCCAAATTCGATCGACATTTATGTAGTTACAAAATGTCACACAGCCACATGGAAATCTAATTAGAACTAGCAAGACAAATGAGTAATTTGACCTAAAGTAAAAATCCTCAGACAGATATTGTACGCTGTACACTTTTAATTTTAGGCTCATTTATAGCTCCAGTAAAGCTGACCCAATAAGAGTCTGGGGACTTTATTTACAAGGGTCATGTTCTCCATAGACTTGAATGACAAAGTAATGTAAGGACAAAAATTAACTGCATCTAGATTGGATTTTTTTTAATAAACCTTTTTCCCTTGAAAATAAATGGCCGCTTTTGTAGCGTAACCCTGGGTCCACACCGGGGGCATCAGCGGCACAAAACTGCAGCAAGACGTTTTTTTTTACTAGGTGCGTTAATCCACACTGCAAGCGATGCAGCATCTCTAACGTCCTCCTTGCTGGGCTTGTGAAGTCATCAAATCCCTCAACACTTAATTCACCATTAAAGCAGGAAGAGGAAAATGGACATCACATCCATGAAGAAAAACACGCTGTTGCACTTCTTGAAAGATACTGGGACTAAATAAGCCGTGAGATCACACGTATAGATGTTATCTTATCTACATAGATAAGAAAGCACATCTCTGCAATAGGCTTTTATTTTTAAAATTACCGGACGTATTACACTGATACCAAGTGTGAGTTCCTGTCTAGCCCTGTGTTATTTGCTGAAATTGACGCATCCCAAAAAGCGGCCCACGGCTAAAATATAACCCTGTCATGTATTTAGCAGCACACCACCACCTGAAAAGTTGGGTGCCATTGCCAGTTTGGATCAAACCCATAGACTGTATGGATTATATTTGAATTTGCAACGTTCTGCTGCTGTTCAGCGCCGCTGATGCCCCCAGTGTGGACCTGGGGAAGATCAGGGGAAAAAAAAGAAGAGAAATATTTACAATAAGTTAGAAATCCAACAAAATACCAGAGGCCACCCAACAGCGTAGACCTATTCACTTTTTTGCCACTGGTGGTGTGGTCCAGTGGTTTTTACTCACGTTTCCCATTACAAAAAAAAAAATTCTTTGTAATGTAGCCGTTTTCCTTTTACCCTTTTAAAGGAAAATTGTTTAGATTTTTTATTTATCATTAACTATATTTAGTAACAAAGCTTCAGCAGATGGACAGGCTGGTTAAAAGGTCCTCAGGCTCAGATTGGGTCATCTGATAACATCATCAAAGTCCTGCTCACCCTTTCTGTCTTCCTCGTGCATCCTCGTCTCATCAGCAGCAACAGGTTGTATCCATCCGATTTTCCCCTCACCATCACAATCTGTGTGTCCTGTGGTATTTAGAATAAACTTATGTTGCTCATCGTTTACTTCAAATAGATGCAGATCGAGCTAGATCCAAAGAGGCAGAACAGTACTCCTGCACACTGCCAACATGCAGTGGGAATTTATGTGCAATATTTCAGTGATTACACCATCTGAGATTGTAATCACTGAAATATTGCACATAAACAAGCTTGCTCCTGATATTTAGAAAAGCCGGATAGTCATGTTCCTTACAAAACTTTTCCCACTATAATGGACATTTTAATCACGATACACACTTTCAGTAGTGGACTAGCTGTCACTGTTTCCCGCTCTACTGCAATGGAACACAGAAAGGTAGGGGAAAAGGATGATACAATAAAACATGAACCCCTCCTTGTTTTATTCTGATAGATTGAAATGAAGAGAACCAGCTGAACACATAATTTATGGAAATTAAATTCAGATGATTATTCTGGTAAAGTTGTGACATAAAATTTGGCTAAAGTTTGATGTAGGAGGGGTCTTCTGAGACTGGTTGTGCACATCACATGCATAATAGGCTTTGCAAGCTTTTCCCAGAGTCGACATTCCTCATCGTCATATCACAGATTTATGTAAACAAATAAATTTCATCTGCATTCATTCATTCATTCAAAATACATGTTTCCAAGCTTGCATGCCTGGTCTGAATCAGTGGGTGTTTCTCAATGCCAAGGAACCTTGCCTTGATGTCTTGGCCCCGCCCCGGTTGCCTAGGAGATTGAAAGGTAGCGCAACTCAGGGTTGCGAATGACCACAGTCACCAACTCTTTGAACTGTGTGTACTGAAACTCTAATTTCCCTCTGGGATTAATAAAGTATCTTTGATTTGATTTGATCAACGGCTGCCAAGACGTGTTCCAATGTTCATGTTCTACCGAGGCGTGTGTTCTCCGTTTGTTAGCCGTTTAGCTAGCTGAGCAGGATACACGGGAGGTGTCTTGTAGCCTAGCCTTGGTCAAAAATTGCCCACAATACACTGCTGCATTTTCAAAAAGACGGCGGACCAGAAGCCGGCAGCTACTTCAGGGAGAATTTTCAAATTTAAAAGTAAGTCAGCTAATTTAAAATGTTTTTTTTTTTAGATCCAAAGAAGTTATCTATGGTTGGTTAGTTGCTTAGTAGTTGCAGCTTCGGTGGCTAGCGGGTAGTAACTCACTTATATTTTTAATTTAACAAATATATACACAATTTAAAAAGTAAAAGGCTCGTTATATATTTATATTGAAACTAATACGTATAAAATATAACGTAATCTCCCGTGTCACGTGACTTTACGTGACCACCATGGAAGCTGCGGTCACGTGATGCAAGTCTTTTCTAGTCTTTCCCCTAGGAATTTTTCCAGCTGTGGTGGTGGGAGGGGTGAAATTATGACACGTCTCACCTTTATGTTAATATTGTTTTATTTGATGCACTCCACTTTGAACTGCACCAATCCAGCAACTGCTGCATTTTAATAACTAGTATTAAAGGTGATTACACCAATATTTGCACAAGAATAATTTTTGTTTTAAACTCTGTGACACACTTTGCAGGGGGATTTGGCGTTTAATTTTTCTTGGCGTTGGGAAAAACATCTCCTTCTGCCCCCTTTATTTGACTTTCTGCCCCCTTTATTTTGGTCCAAGATCATTACTGGGCTGGCCCTCTTAAAAACCTTCTACACCCATGCTTAGTAGACTTAATGAAGTATTTTTAAGCCAGTATAAAAATGACTGAAACACAAATTTACATGTTTGGCATTATTGACCAATATTTTTGATTTAATTTATTTGTTAAGAACATCAACTTGCATTACAGTGAACATTGTAATAAAGTACATTTTTCTAGTGCAGAGAGGAAACAACCCATAGAAGCACTGATTTGATCTCATTTCAGAGAAAAACAGAACAGGTCAGATGCACCTAATAAATAAAATTACTAACAAACTCAGGAATCTGTTTCTTTGCTTCATTGTTCTGGTGCTGAAAACATCACTAATGCGGATCAAAGGACATCGATGAATGCACCTCCTATTTATAATTTGGAAATTAGTGGGTGTGGTTTACATCAATACATTATTTTAAATCTGAAATTGATATGGATTGATCAGAAGTTGTTTATTTATAAGCTGTTGTTTATTTGAAAACTATTTACAGAGTTTACCTCAGAATTGAGATTAAACATTTTTATCACAATAGTAAAGGAACTATTACAGAACAAGTTTTTCAATTAAATAAGAACATTAATATTTAAGTGCATGAATTAATACATCTGAACTCATGCAGTAGGAACTAGGAAATATGAAATACTAGAACCAGACACAACTTTTTAATTTTGTTTTTATTTTAATTTGATTAAACAGAATTTTTTCCTAACGTTGTTGGCATTTTTCCCACACACAGTTAAACAAAACAATGTTTATTAAGGTGTGTGTGTGTGTGTGTGTGTGCGTGTGCGTGTGCGTGTGTGTGTGTGCGTGCGTGTGTGTGTGTGTAAGAGAGAGAGAGAGTTAAAATTTAAAAAAACCCGACCGTAGCGGAGGCAGTGACTGACGCGACGCAATCCGTTTTTAGCTCTGTCTTGTCAAATGCACCACATACGTTACAAAAAAAATGTAGCTTTAAATATTCAACCGAAAAAGAGGCGAGCTGAAGAAAACCTAGGGAGTTCTGAAGAAACATGTGCAACACTGAAGCAAGCGCAGAGAGATCCGTTGTCTGTGTGCGTGCGTGGATGCATGGGCTGGACTGAGCTCCCAGCTGCAGAGTTTTGTGTGTAAGGAGGGGCGGGCGCTCGATGTGACTGGCCAATCACAGAGCGTGAAGACAGTCAGTTACCCAATCAGGATTTTCCTTCAGCACGGTTACAGATTTTTACGAGTTTTACTTGTTTAATGCTCGTATTCGTCAAAAATGCTTTATTCAATTCAATTCAATTTTATTTATAAAGCGCCAAATCACGACAAGAGTCGTCTCAAGGCACTTCACATAATAAACATTCCAATCCAGGTCAGTTCATTAAGCCAATCAGAAAAAATGTTTCCTGTATAAGGAACCCAGCAAATTGCATCAAGTCACTGACTAGTGTCAGTGACTATACAGCAATCCTCATACTAAGCAAGCATATAGCGACAGTGGAGAGGAAAACTCCCTTTTAACAGGAAGAAACCTCCAGAGAATCCTGGCTCAGTATAAGCAGCCATCCACCATAACTCACTGGGGATCGAGAAGACAGAGCAGACGCACGCACGCGCGCACACACACACACACACACACACACACACACACACACACACACACACACACACACACACACACACACAATGATGTGTCTATGGTTACATTGTGATTTCTTAGTAAATATTCTATTTGGTGAGAGATAAACTTCATTGTATTTATCCTAGTGAATCTATAATTAAACGGGTAAACTAGTAGTAGCACATCCAACGTCAAGGAAAGCAAAAAGTTATCATCAGGAGAGGGAGAATGTTTAAGTGGTTAGCAGCAGTGTGCTAGACGATGGCCCCTCCATGAGGCCACCACAGCTCAGTAGAACATCACTGTAGCTTCTTCTGGGGAGAAAAACACTTAGAGCATACCGGATCCGGCTCATCCCTAGCTGTAACCACCCTGCCCTGCCTCCTCCTCCTTGCTGCCTGCCGGCTGTGATCACAAGCAACAACAGAGTAGTTCCCGCTGCTTCTTTGGGAAACAGCGCAAAAAAATTTCAATAAAACTTGGGATCTTGTTGGCGTGGCGCTGGGATTTCAGCCATGGCAGGCTGCCACGGCTACGCCTATGTAAGGGAAACACTGTGTTCCATTTAACCGTTTTCTTTGACCAAGGAAGGACAGCGTCCTCGTAAGTAAGGCGCCTGCCCTCGCAAGACATCGCCTCGCAAGGCCAGGCGCCTTGACGTTGAGAAACACCCAGTATAAACGTTTGGTTGCTAGAGGACTCTTACTCTGTCATGTTGAATCTGTTGAGATGACTGCTTCTTGAATGAATATAAGTTAGTGTGGTTATATTCATTGGCTTTGTTTGTTTATGATTTTCTCTTTCATCAGGGTTGATTTTCTGCTGACATCTTTTTGTCAACACCTATAAGCTACTTGTGCAGACTCTGATGAACTGAGAAATTACAGCTTTAATTTGTGTCTGTCTATTTTGCTGTCTGGTGCAGTCTTTCAACACATGACTTTGGTCTTTCACCTTTGGCCTTTGCAGTCTCTCATTCTTTCTGCTTTTCACCTGCTTTCATGAATCCTCCTGCCCCATTCAACCCACTGCTTTGGTTGTTTGCTTACAACCAAACAAAACCTCCACCTTTTCTTTCTTTTTGGTACTTTGATGAGGAGCAGGATGACCATGAATATCCATATTATTATGAGGAAACCACAGGCCTTCCCTCCTCATCTTCATCCCCCTCTCCCCAACCAGGGGACCACAAGCAGCAGGTAAAGTGGGAGCAAGAGAGAGGGAAGACACTAGTTGGGTTTGTGGAAGGGAAGGGCAATGAGAGAATGAGAGGAGCATTCAAACAAAAACACATTCTGATCATTTAAATATAATTCAAGTTATCAAAATTGCTGAAAAAAATTCTTTGGAAATGTTTATAAAAGTTGTTTAAATTTAACTTCTGAAAGCCTCTCATCACTTCATACTTCCCTTTTATTTAATGTCTCATTTCCTCATTAAGAATGATCTCCTACACATTCGCCTTATTTCATCTACTTGTGTCACACAGGATTACTTTTGCGCCTTGTGATATTTTTGTCCTTATGTCATCCACATGTTGTCTTTTAAGTATGTGTGTTCACACGTGGCCATGTGAGGGCACTGGGGAACTGAAGGTCCAGCTGTGTCTCACACACACACACACACACACACACACACACACACACACACACACACACACACACACACACACACACATTTTCTACGTTTTTTTTATTACTCCCTCTTGTAGAAGTAATTTGTCCAACTATTTTGTTCTTTTACAATTTAGACCTAAACTAAAAGTCTTTGAAAATTAATTTCTGAGAAAATATAATTAAAGTTTCCATCATATAATGTAATATAAAAAGAGAATATGCAAATACAACTAAGTTTAGAAAACCTGAGTTATTTTATCTTCCTTTTACATTATACATAAATACCATTTCATAACCACACAAGAAGACACTAATACTTTTGGTTTTCTGATTCTTTCTGGTGTTTCACACATTTTTAATTGCTTTCCTTGCATGTTATTTTAAAATAAACGTATTCTGTTTGGGTTCTTAATTTTGCACGATTGTTTAATGAAGGATCCTTATTGTCCTGCTACTTGCATGTTTGTGACGGAGATTTAAGAACACCGCATGCACTTTAGTTTTGCATCATCTGATTATCTTTTTTATAGATTTCAAAATAGAGATATATTCAATGCCTAGTTTTACATCAAAGGTTTGTATGATGGACTGTGAATGCTTATATACTAGTTTAAAAATCCATTGGTGCTGTATTACATCTATGGGTTGTCAGTTCACCTTGAAAGCTTGTTTAGATCTTAAACTATATTATCTTTTTATTAGTAGTGGCATGATTTACAAAAAATACCTGTGTATGGTCTTTTTTCCCACATTTTATCATTTTATAAAGCACGTGTTTGCATGTCTTCTGAGTTGTTTCTTTTGCATGGCTGAACAGCTGGAACCTTTTCTGTTTTCCAGTTCAACTGTTTCATGCTTTATTACCCAACAGGTCAATAATGTGTGAGCTTTTTGTGTTGTGTGACTAGTGTGTGTGTGTGTGTGTTAAACAGCCACCTTTACCTGACCATTCACATCCTCAGTGCCTCTACTAAACCATGGTGCCCAGTTCCTAACTGAACAAAGATGCTGCTTTATCATGTGACAGTGGGAATGGCATTACTGGAGAGAACAGCAAAAATACCAGTTTAGAACTCAAGTCAAAGTAATGAAATTGTATTGTTTATTGTGCATTATAGGTTTGTTTTTGATAATATTGTTTATTTTAGATGTATTTTAAAACCTGATCGTCTGCTGTATCCAGTAATGCCTGCACAGTCTCAGCAAATCGTCCAAGCCTTAGCCATCTTTATGTCACTGTGTCTCAAAACATCCACTCTTGTCTTTTTCTCTTTCTGTCAATCCCTTGTTTGTGCTTTTCATCTCCCTCCCAATCCCTCTGTGTATCTTTGTCATTTTCTACCCTCTCTATGTTTTTTGTCTATGCACTTCTTCATACTAAACATTATAATCGTGGATATTAGAAGAAGGCACCCAGTGGGAAAGCAGCTCCCACTAAATCAACTAAACCCACTCCAGCTAAGTCAGCCAAGTCTGGACCTTACAAACTGGTCGTCAAGCCACCCATGCCCACCAAAGCTATCAAGTCCTCTACAGCTAAGCCATCCAAAGCTAAACCCACTGCTGCAGGCATCTTCTTGTCAAAGATCAAACCAACAACAGCAACTAAAGCCAAAACCACAGCTGTCCCAGTTAAGAATGGCAATGGTAAAACAGCTTCTCCAAAGAAACCCAGTGGTGCATCTAAAGGTAATGGCAATGCCAAAACTGAGGCCAAAAATGGGAAGCTTGTAGGTGAAACAAAAGTTAATGGAAAAGCCTCTGCCGAGAAGAAAACCAATGGAAATGGAAAAGCTACGGTTGGGTCTAAGGTGAATGGAAATGGCGGAGGTAAAACTACAACAAAGAAAGCCAATGGAAATGGCAAATCTACCACTGAAGTCAATGGCAAAGCTGAAAATAAAGTCAATGGTGCAGCAAAAGCAAATGGGAACAACAAAGTTTCTTCAGAAGCCAAAAAGAAAGATGTTAGCAAAGTGGCTGGAAATAAGGCAAAAAGTGAAACCACTATAAAAACGAACACTGTAGATAGCACGGCCAAGTCAGCTGTTAATGTAGTCGCTACTAAAGCACCGAAACCCAAAAAAATAACAAAACCAGAACCTACAAAGGTTTCTGCCACCAAATCTCCAAAAGCAAACATCGAAGAAAAAGCAGAGCTGAAAGAGAAGACAATAGCTAAAAGTGTGTTCAACAAAGTCCCTCCGATCAAACCAACAACCAAAAAGTTTCCTGTCCCAACAAAAGAAGCTCCAACACGTGCCCCTGTTCGACCTACGCTGCTCAGACCCACAAAGTTCAAGGACATGGACAACAACGTTAAGTCCCACCACAGACCTTTCCCACCGTTTGGTGAGACTGCACTGCGGGGAGCTTCGGTCCCAGCTAAGAGAACCGACATTCCCCAACAGGTACAACATGAAGATTCATGTTTGGGTCAACATGTCCAGAGATGTTTGTCCCGTCTTCCCAGTCTGTTTATCAGCCTTGACCATCATCAAAGTAAAATCTTTATATGCCTCTTTATTTTTGTCGTGTTTCATGACTAGTTGATCCTGCTTTAGGTCGACAGCCATGCACATTTTGATGATGCACAAGTTGGATGTCAGATTGGAAGTTGGTTCAAATCAGGCTAACAAGCTGACTGCGTTCTCATCTTTCCATATATCCTATCATTCTGACAACCTTCCCAACTTCTTTGTATGATATGATCCAGCGGTGCACATTGAAGCATGGCTTCACTGTTCTTTACTTGATCTCATACTAAAACTGGATTTTAAAACCTGAGCAGCTAGAAGACTCCATTTTTCTTCTTTATGGAAACAGTTAAAGTAATGGTCAAACAAATGAGCATGGATTTCTATGGTTAAGAAACGTCTTTCTTAAAAACAGCTTCACAGAATCTAGAGAACTTTTGAGTCTAACTTTATGACACTACATAGTTTGACCTCTTTTTTTTTAAGGTGGAAAATGTGTCCATGTTCAGGAGTTGATAAAGTTAAATGTGTTGCTGGTTAATGTTCTGTGAGGCTGTTGGTTTCTGTGTTATTTGGTCTTCAATGGATGAAACTAAACATGCTGAAGCATCAAGCTGTAATGTTTCCGTCTTAAGGGATGGATATTTACCCTTTTTGGAAACTTGGCTTGTGAGCTTAAAACAGTGAAAATGGTTTAACAAAAGCATGAAAAGAAATTTCAGATAAGAAAAGTCAATAACTGTTAAAATTCTGCATCTGGCAAATTTTAAAGTCATTGATAATTCAATCCAAGCCTAATTGAAATTTCTTTTCTAAAATTAATTTTTACAGGTTTAAAATTGTGAGTTGCCAGTGAAACAAAAATGTGTCTGTCTGGCGATCACAATTTTATTTTGCTTTCCAATTTCTTCTTTTTTACTCATGATTTACAAGCAGATTATAAACTAACCCTGCTCTCAATCAAATCTGCTTACTTCCTCCCTGCTCACCACTTCCTGTCTACCTGACCAATCAGGATGTAGACACAGAATATTCTGAGGCTGGCCACACCCCTACAGAGACTGATTATTACTATGAAGAGATGGTCCCACAGCCAGACGGTGAGGTGGTTGGACAAGAAGAAATACCTGTACAGGTAAAAAGAAACGGACACACATCAAATCTAGCTTTTACATATCTTAGAGAATAAGATAGGATTAGGTTAGTAAAATCCAGGATCTCTAAAGTTAACCAATACAACTGAACCAACTGAATCAAATGAAAACGGTGTACCTGTATGACTGTGAACCCAGTCTTAAGTAGTTAACAAAGTAGTAATACCTCTGTTCCTCTTTACTCTTCTAACACACACTAATCTGTTAAAGGCACCGATGCCTTGTAACAAGATGTGAGAGAAAACGTGTTTTAAAAAAGAATGTACCACATTCATCTGCGTTTATCATCAGATATTTTTATGTGGTTCTCTTTTTCTCTAACAAGATTTGCTGTTTGTTCTCATCTCAAGAATCTTGGTTGATATTGTTGGCATCTTGAGATAAGAACAAAAATCTTGTGGAAAACAGGTCCACATGTGAATATTTGATGTTCATATTTAACCACAGAAACAAAAGCAGATGAATATAATGCATTCTTGTTTGAAAGTACTTAACAGAACACAGTTGTTAATGAGTTACTTCGTTGTATTTATGTTTAGAAATAAGATGGGTATCTGACAGCTCATTTGCAACATAAAGCACGTTTGTATTTTTTTAGTTTGTTGGATTTATTTGTTTTGATATTAAGTTTTAATGCTACAATGTTTAGCTATGTTTACTCGGGTAAAAACAACAAAAAGAAAAATCTAACACGTTTGTGTTCAAAAGGCTTTGAATGTGCTACATTCTGCCTGTTTATTTTTGAGAAAATGTAATATATATTCCCAATGGATTTTTATTAGTAGTATACCGTGTATGGTAAGTACAGACGCAAGATACCGTTTTTGGCTTTGCATGGTACAGCAGATAGAAGAAGCCCGTTTTCACAAAGTTTGTTCTTATCTCTTCTGTGATATCTAGAACCTAAGTTAAGTTGATTAGAATGTACTTTTATTTTCAAACTCATAAATAAATATGAATACTCATGGATCGATAATGAAAGGCTTTGGTGAAAACCTGCTGCTGTCAGCGAATATTAAGTAATTGACATAAGACTTAAAGTGACAGGACACATCTGAAAAAGTCAGCCTGGATCAACATTAGGCACTATCTCTGAGCTCTACTTTTCTTTTTTTGTCCTAATGTCACATTATATTTGCAAAAGGTAAGATTAATTTATTTGAATGTGCTCCTTTCTTTCATACCTTCTTGTTTTTGCTGTTCATCTTCTTTTATTAACATCTTTCCATCCTGCTCATCTCCTTACTGCTTCTTCCATCCTTTTCTTCCCTTGTTTAATTCTTCCTTTTCGGACCTCTGTATCCTTCCTATTGCGGCTTTACTGAACCCATCGTAGCCCCAGGTCGAACCAGCCTTGGTGGGAGAGGAGGTAGATGCCACCAAAGCGGGCGATGTTGGTGAAGAAGTCTTCACTGAGGAGTATGTGACTGGAGATGTGGGCCTTAAGGAATACGACTATGCCTACAGAGACTACAATGAGCCCTTACCAGAGACCGGAGAGGTCGATGCCTACATGGGGCCCGCCTTGTCCGCTGTGACGGATGAGGGAGGCGTAAGTTATTTTGCTGCTGAGGCAAAAAGAAAAATCAGTTTCAACCAACAAATTGTTTTCAGTGTCCTCCAAGATGATGAGTTTTTTTACCTGTCACAGTTCAATACAGGAAGAAATTTCTTTAATATACTAAGTTTTTTTTTAATGAGACAGAAATTCTTATTTGTAGTGGTTAACAAGACCGCACTTGCCTTTAAATTGTGTTCCCCCACCCCCTCTTTCCAAAACCTGCCATAGTAGCGATAATGTCAACAAGCTTTGTTTAATCGTTCACTATCGTCCACTTATCCGGGGTTGGGTCGCGGGGGCAGTAGCCTAAGCAGGGAGGACCCGACTTTCCCCTCCCTAGCAACTTCGGCCAGCTGCTCCGAGGGAATCCCAAGGACTTCCCTGACCAGCCGAGAGACATAGTCCCTGAAGCGTGTCCTGGGTGTTCCCTTGAATCTTCTCCCAGTTGGACTTTCCCAGAATACCTCACCAGAGGGTATCCTAACCAGATGCCCGAGCCACCTCAACTGGCTACTCGTGATGTGGAGGAGCAGCGGGTCTACACCTCTGAGCCCCTTCCGGATGACCGAGCTTCTCGCCCTATCTCAATGGGAGAGCCCAGACACTGTGGAAATAACTCATTTTGGCCGCTCGTATCTGCAGTCTCATTCTTTAGGTCACTACCCAAAGCTTGTGACCATAGATGAGGGTAGGAACGTAGATCAACTAGTTAATCAAGAGCTTCAGAATCGGTGACAAAGGGCAGCCTTGGCGGAGTCCAACTCTCACGGAAAACGAGCCTGACACTGTGGGAAATGCGTACCAAGCTCTGACACCGGTCATGCAGGGACCTAACAGCTCGTATCAGAGGGCCTTGTACCCCATACTCCGAAAGTACCCCCCACAGGGCCCCCCCAAGGTATGCGGTCGAACACCTTCAAATCCACAAAACACTTGTAGATTAGTTGGGAAAACTCCCACACACTCTCCAGGACGCCCTAAGGGTAAAGAGCCGGTCCAGTGTTCCAAAGCCAGAATGGAAACCATATTGCTCCTCCCTCTGTAGTTGGAACACATTCTGCGGTCCCCATTTTAAACCCTCCCACTGTCTTTATGGGTGACCTCGCGAGGAAAGTTGACCATTGGGCAGGATTGATGGTTTATCCCTTGAGGTCCACGTGACGGGGGTGAGGTGGTGCTCACTCCTCACCCCTGCCATATGGACCCAAGGGATAAACCATCAACCCTGCTCAATGGTCAACTTTCCTCGCGGGGTCCTACCCATTAGGACAGTGGGAGGGTTAAATAGAGGGACCACCACCCCGGTCTGCCAATCCAGTTGAACTGTCCGCATTGTGACACCTTGTATATCTGTAACACAATAAATAAATAAATAAATAAATAAATAAATAAATAAATAAATAAATAAATAAATAAATAAAATGTTCTATAACAAAATTCAACAAAATATAAATTCTGGTCCTTTGGTCCACCTTTGTAAAATAATTCCTCCCTAATCAGTTAGCTTTTATTTATTTTTATTTATCTATTTTTTTTATTATTAAATGTTTGGTTAAGGGACGCATTGCTAATTCTATGGCGTTAGCTATAACGCCCCTGAGGACCTTGTACATCTAGGCCGTACCACCATTAACTGGCGGTTTGAGCCGTTAACTCCTGGGAATCCCATATGCCCTACCGCCGTTAACTGGCGGTTTGAGCCGTTAACTCCTATATGCCCTACCACCGTTAACTGGTAGTTTGAGATGTTAACTCCTGGGATCTAACGTCTAGCAGCCCACTGCTGTCACCTCGGTTGCTGTAATTAGCTTTTTGAATTTAATAATTTACTGAATTTAATCTCATTCACTCACCAACGCGCTCCAACGGTTCCCTCCTACAGAGGATTGGTTCACTCTGTCGTCTCCACACAAATCTATAAGAATGGAATTAATTTGATAAGCTATTTAAGTTTCCTTTTTTTTTTAAGTTGCATCGTTAGCTTTTTCTCTTCTTTTTTCTTTACTCACCGCGTTGGTTCCAAGTTCCTAGCTCTTATTAGAAGGAGTCAAGTCCGCCTCTCCCTCTACAGGTGCTGGCCAGTAAATTAGAATATCATCAAAAGGTTGAAAATATTTCAGTAATTCCATTCAAAACGTGAAACTTGTACATTATATTCATGCAATGCACACAGACCAATGTATTTCCGATGTTTATTACGTTTAATTTTGATATTTATAGGTGACAACCAATGAAAACATCAAATCTGGTATCTCAGAAAATTAGAATATTCTAAAGGCCAATGAAAAAATGTTTGTTTCTCTAATGTTGGCCAACTGAAAAGAATGAACATGAAAAGAATGTGCATGTATAGCACTCAATACTTAGTCGGGGCTCCTTTTGCCTCAATAACTGCAGTAATGCGGCGTGGCATGGACTCGATCAGTCTGTGGCACTGCTCAGGTGTTATGAGAGCCCAGGTTGCTCTGATAGTCGTCTTCAGCTCCTCTGCATTGTTGGGTCTAGCGTATTGCATCCTCCGCTTCACAATACCCCATAGATTTTCTATGGGGTTAAGGTCAGGCGAGTTTGCTGGCCAATCAAGGACAGGGATACCATGGTCCTTGAACCAGGTGCTGGTGGTTTTGGCACTGTGTGCAGGTGCCAAGTCCTGTTGAAAGGTGAAGTCTGCATCCCCATAAAGTTGGTCAGCAGCAGGAAGCATGAAGTGCTCTAAAACTTCCTGGTAGACGGCTGCATTGACCCTGGACCTCAGGAAACAGAGTGGGCCAACACCGGCAGATGACATGGCACCCCACACCATCACTGACGGTGGAAACTTTACACTGGACCTCATGCAACGTGGATTCTGTGCTTCTCCGCTCTTCCTCCAGACTCTGGGTCCTTGATTTCCAAAGGAAATGCAGAACTTGCTTTCATCAGAAAACATAACTTTGGACCACTCAGCATCAGTCCAGTCCTTTTTGTCCTTGGCCCAGGCGAGATGCTTCTTGCGCTGTTTCTTGTTCAAGAGTGGCTTGACACACGGAATGCGACACCTGAATCCCATGTCTTTCATGAGTCTCCTCGTGGTGGTTCTTGAAGCGCTGACTCCAGCTGCAGTCCACTCTTTGTGGATCTCCCCCACATTTTTGAATGGGTTTGTCGTCACAATTCTCTGCAGGGTGCGGTTATCCCTAGAGCTTGTACAGTTTTTTCTACCACATTTTTTCCGTCCCTTCGCCTGTCTGTTAATGTGCTTGGACACAGAGCTCTGCGAACAGCCAGCTTCTTTAGCAATCACCTTTTGTGTCTTGCCCTCCTTGTGCAAGGTGTCAGTGATTGTCTTTTGGACAGCTGTTAAGTCAGAAGTCTTCCCCATGATTGTGGTGCCTTCAAAACAAGACTGAGGGACCTTTTAAAGGCCTTAGCAGGTGTTTTGAGTAAATCAGCTGATTAGAGTGGCAGCAGGTGTCTTCTATATTCAGCCTTTTCAGAATATTCTAATTTTTTGAGATACCAAATTTGGAGTTTTCATTAGTTGTCACTTATGAATATCAAATTTAAATGTAATGAACATTGGAAATACATTGGTCTGTGTGCATTGCATGAATATAATGTACAAGTTTCACGTTTTGAATGGAATTACTGAAATATTTTCAACCTTTTGATGATATTCTAATTTACTGGCCAGCACCTGTATCTATGCGGCACCCAAATCAGGGTTCTTCACGGCCTCGACCGTTGTTTTTTTTTTTTCTCTCTCTCTCTCTCTAACCGCTCAGTCTTTGCTTTCTGTATCTGCGTGCTGCACAGCCGTTTGTCTCTCCTCTCGCTCAGCTGCGTCGCACGGTTTTATTTCGCGGAGGCGGGACTTATTTCTCTCAGCCAATGAAATTTCAGATTCCCACCTGGACCAATAGTATACAGCTTTCCTCTTCTGTTTCTGTTAGTGATGTTCAAGATTCTTGTTTTAACCGATGTTTAATATTAAACTCGTTATTTTAGTTATTCACCCTTCCAATAATTCATTATGAAATTATCTATTAGTTAATTAGATATCTATTAATTAGTATTGTTAATTTCCTTAATTTATATTTTATATTTTATCTAAATTGAGGATGGATCATATTAGTAAGCCAATTAGTTAATACCTCATTAAGGTTCTAGCTTCTGGGTTACATCATGTATCCATGTGATATCATCGACGCTTGAATCACTTTGGGTTTTTTGGAAGTAGATGAAGTTCTCTGTGTTCTGATTTCTTCTGCTTTGGATCTTGTCAGGGTGACCCGGGACCAATGGGACCACCAGGATCTCAAGGAGAAGATGGAGAGAGGGTATGCACTGAAACAGAAAAACATCTAAAAATACTTCAGTAATCTTACTTTGTGTTACTTTATATCAGTTTTGTCAGCATTTATTCACTCTTGTTTCTGTTTGTAGGGAGACGATGGAGACGTCGGACCCAGGGGTCTCCCAGGTGAACCCGTGAGTGTTTCCATGGCATCCAAAGAGATTTAACAGCTCATTTTGTTGTTTTTTATTGGCTGTGCATATTTACACATAATTTATTCACATACCGTATTTTCCAGACTATAAGTTGGACTTTTTTTCATAGTCTGGCTGGTCCTGCGACTTATATACCAAAGTGACTTATATACCAAATTATGTATACCGTGCTGCTGCGGGCCGGCTCCAGACCAGGAATGAGCTCCCCTGCCCCGCCATCACCTGCTGGAGACCGTTGCGCGCTGCTGCGGGCCGGCTCCGGTCCAGGTTTCAGCTCCTCTGCCCCGCTGGGAGGGTTTCAAACACCGCCATCACCTGCTGCAGCCTGTGGCAGGCGGGGTACTGCGGGCGCTCTCCCCACCCACTGGGAGGGTTTGAAACACCGCCATCTTCTGCTGGAGACCGTGGCGCGCAGCTGCGCCCTGATTGTTTATTCTGTTATTATTACCGGTACTTGTCTTGCAATGTGAAACGCTTGGTCTCAGATTTTGTAAGAAAAG